GCAGGCAGGCACGCGGCAGGCGGTATTGGCTGGTGTGTCTGTGAACTGCTGGCTGATCCGACTGCGGGTTCGCGGTGCTTCGGTTGGTTGCGCGTTCAAGCCGGGGGCGTGAATCAGCAGCTGAGGGTCGGCGTCGGAGACTGATCTGGCGGAGCTGTCACCAGAGCGAAGGCCAAGAGGCGAGAACGAGGCCGAGCAACAGCGAGAGGATTTGCGATCTCAGATGTCGCGCAGCTCATCGACAGTGGGTTGGTGCGCAAGCCATCAACTGCAGACAGCTGGCGACCAGAAGCTCACCACCCGCCCGCCGAGTAGCCAAGCCCTGTGCCCCGGCTCGATCCAGCCTGTCCCAATTCATCTCTCAGCCTCAATCTAGCAGCAGCATTGCACTGCCCGCATCCCAGCGAGTCCATCTCCAACGACCCTCCCATCGGTGCCGCGACGTGCGGCCCTGTCGCTGCGCTCCGAGCTTAATCGCATAAGCAGGACTGCTACTGTTTCATGGCCTAGCATGAAAAGCACTGTCTACGCGCTCTACAGTCCCCGCGTCCGCTGATGATTGCATCTACGAATCTACGACCAGAATTCGGTGCGGGGCGGTGAACGTCCATCACATCACGCAGGGATCCGCTTTAATTCTACTGTATTGCCTTTCTCGGCCACCAATGTTTCCGGCGGCGGAAGCAATGACTGCCATTGACACTCGCGCTAGCTCGCCGCCATAGCTGTCCTCACCAACACGAGCATGGCTGGGAAAATTTCATCCCTGCCTACGAGCGTGGTCTCAGGCGCAGCACCTAGTTTTCAGCTCGTCCAGGGCGTGTCAGCGTGTTGCAGAACCTGGTACCTCGACTTTCGGCTGGTGGCGTCCCGGACTGCACTTCGTCTGGAGCAGCGAAGGATCTCCCCCACCCAACAGTACGGCTCAGTCCACCAAATCCTTTCGCGTGCGAATGACAGACAGCCATTACCGAGTGATGATACTGTCAACCCTCGGCCGGATATGGGCCTCACATGTCAACGTTTCACAGGCGTTTATGCAGCTTCCGGTGGATGCCCAAGTCCAACGAACACCACAACCGTGCCACCAGCTCTACTTGCCCCTTTCAGAAATCGCAATGGCTGCACACTGCGTCGACCTGCTTGGCATCGACCAAATGAACAAGCTCCGCATCACCTATATAACATGACACGGACTGCCCAGGAACCCTCCTGCAGATGACACGATACGCATCTGTCTTCTTACTCGTGCTTCCCGCTAGCGTGGGGAAATAATTTCAACTCCATCGATGTGTTGAGGTTATGACACTTCCACTCATTGGGAAATTGCAGACATGTCTTTGCAGACGCAGTTGCCTCACGCACCGACATCTCCTGGACACAACAGTTGACAGTCTCAGCGCCGAACCGAATGTCACAAGATATTGGCCGCCACCTTGCGAATCTGAGACACTACAACCTGAGACGAGATGACGAAGAAAACACAACACCACAACCTCGTGTCAGCCATGCTCCACCATATGGACACTGCTAACGTTGAGATGTTCCGTCTCATGCACCTAGTGTAACCATCACCCTCACGAGGCACCTTGTTGCACTGAAGCTCCCGATGAAAGACATTGTCTTTCCTGCTGTGGTGGCACTCGAACGGTCAATTCTGACCGGCGTTGAGGTGTTCCGACGTCCCCTCAGCACGTTTCGAACGTCTTCGATGCTGTCGATTGCCACTCATAAAATTTGCAAATGCTGAAATGGCGTGCAAAGAGAATGAATTACTACGGCATGCCCGTGCATGCCTGCTGGCGCATCGAGGAGGGCTGCCAGTGTCGTCACAGCCCCTGCTTGACGATCAAATATCATTCGGACTATTCTCTAGTGCTACCGATCTTATGCGCAGATCTACAGTACCAACCCGGAAACGTCGCTGGCACAAGCGGTGTTTGAGCAGGCGAAGGTAAACGCATCACATTGAGCACTTGTGGTGGGGCTCAGCATCGTTTTGGAGTGTGCCCGAAGTTTTGCTGAGAACCCATCAAAATCTCACATCAAATCTCTACACGCGCGGTAGAGTTGCGGAAGGCGCGCTGGCGCGCTCTTGCCAGCACCACCTGCAGCTTACGAAGACCAGCCATGCGTGTACCTCACACTATCACCTCGGTCTCGAACTACAAAGGCCTTGCCAATGTGGTGCTCGTACCATTCGAAGACAGCCTTGCGCAAGCCGCAAGCCGCTCTCCTTGACTGGACATCCGATCCAAGCGGCTCCGGGCCCCGCGGCAGCCTTCAGACACACGGAGGTTGCTTACGACTGGCACCGCCACCAAGCATACAGAAAAGGGCCCGAAACTCACAAGCCTGCGTAGTCCTATGCGAAGAAGTGATTGGCGCGAGACCTGCTTTCGGACCCGAGTCTAGACCGCGGGTACACGCGAAAGCGAGCTATGGTCTTCAATGGCCTGATCAGTTTGGTCTCTATGCCATCTCATGGCCAGTCTCTCTCTCCCGGTCAACAGCGATGGACATTGATGCATGGTGCTGCTGGCTTTCCAAGTGTGGGCCCCGGTCACTCCGTCATGGGGGACGCGTCTCTTGGGACCCTACTCGGGAGAAACGGATGAGGCCAAGCTCACCAAGCAAAGAGCTTGGTATGCTTGACCCATTCAAAGCAGGCCAAATGTGCCCAGGCTTCACAGAAATCTGGAATTCCGCAGAGGAAGAATGATTCTACGGCTGAAGAGTACGCATGGCATCCGCGAGAATCGATTGAGAGGTGCGATACGGTTCAAGTGACAGGTCGCACATGACGAGAAGTCTCACAGCACGCCGTCTGAATAGCCCACGATGCCAGAGTAGCCTTGCACTGCAAAGCGAAAGGAGCTGGCTTTGAGCATGCTGCACAATGCTGTGAAGTACTCATCATTGCACTAGGTAGGCCTACCCGCATCAATCGGGTTGCGACATCAGTGAGGCTATTCCACTATATTGATCACGAATCCTTCTCGCCAGCAATTCTCAATTTGGACAGTCTCCCTGCAGTGACCGACTCCACGAATCGACCAAGGCACACGGACATCGTTGTCCGTGTCAGACTCTTCATAGTCTAATTGGCGCGTCGAGCTGATGCGGGCATTGCTGTGTCTCCTCGGAGACCGTCCAGACGATACAGTATGTCCGACGTTCGCTCTTCTTCCGAGGAAATGCTTTTCGGACTTCTTTCCGGAGCAACTGCCTGGGAATTTTAGCGCCGCAACAACAAGCACACTCCCGGCAACCAGCCAAATGGGAACTGCGGAACTGTTGCCGGAGGCAGGGAAGCCGTGAACACTTCCTTGATCCATCTGGCCTTCAATTGACTTGCGGGCGAGAAAGACTCAAGTATGGAGCGAAAAGAGTCAAACACTAGGATATGCGTCTCAACGCCCAAGTGACACCGAGGCAGGCTCTGCTGGCAAGCTGTCCTGGCTGGCGGCTGAGGCGCAGAGCTTTTTACCTACAAATCCATTTCTCGCGTTGTCCAGAACGAACAGGGTCGACTGGTTCCTGTCAAAACTGCCTCAAGAGACCGCAGATCGCCTCAAGAGCATTCTCAATGCTCCTCGGACGTTGAACTGCCCCGGGCTCACTCTCTTGACGACCTAGAAGACGATGATCCTGACGAGGCATTCTTCACGACATTGAAGTTTCGCAGAGGTGTTGACCGTGCATCTGTATGGAAGTCTTTCTTTCAGATGGTCGCTGAGATCTCGATATCTTGCCAGCACCTTCCCAATACCTCATTCACACCACCTAAGGGATGCCCTGCTCAGGCCAAGATCGTTGTCGTTGGCAGTTATCCGTTTACGGTCGAAGAGAGCACGTCAGTGGCGTGAATGCAGACGTATTGTTCTGGCCCATTCGACCACAGTGAGCTTTTCATCGACGCGCGGCCTATCAAACAGACAATTCTTGAGCGAAGAACTCCTGAAAATCGTGCGGAGCGGATAATCGGGGCTTAAAATATGGCCAAGATCGAGCACTTTAACAATTGGCTGGTGGCTTCATCCAACGGCAGGTTGAGATTGGCCCTCGGAGCTGAACAGTTCCCATATCAGAAGCATCACATCATGCTACACAACAGGCGTACGTCGAGTAATCGCTGTAACGCTCCCGTTCAGCTTGCCAACGACGACTCTCCCATCTTCTTACCATTGTACCATCCTCAGCACTTCGATCAATCGGAATTGACCTCTGCTGCATTTGTACGGGGCATGCAAGCTGTCATTCGCCTCGCACACGACCTCGTCGATCATCCACCGCCACCTTCAGCCCTTGCTATCGCCGTGAACATCGCTCGAGAGCGGCCCAGTTGGAACGTCGTCGGCTCTTTCCTTTCTGGGGAGTTAGGCGAACCTTCATCTACATTCCCCTGGCCCGCGGTTCCATTCGAGCTCAGGGCCTGGCAGCGAACCGAGATCAATCCCAAGCTTTAGTACCAGAGGGCACAAAACAAGAAGAGCAGTTCAGATGAGCAACAGCCGAAGCAGAGGGGCCGCGACTCTGTGAGGGCCCACAGAAGCAGATTGACCGCGCAAGCGACAAAACTCTCCGGTCCTAAAATGCCGAAAGTCCATCGAGACGAATATGTTGACCAAGCAGCAGCCGCGGCGATCGAGATGCGCCAAACTGTTGCTGTCGACTCTCTTGTGTTGCTCTCAGAGTCCGATGAGGCCCCAGTGGCTCTCGATGGAGCGCCAAATTCACGTCGTTCGGTCACTAAGCCCGTCTCGGATCGAGACTTGGCGATACTGCAGAAGGAACCGAAACACATGACAGGGAAGGAGTTGCATCTTTTGATGCAACATGGACACCCAGCTGGCTTTGTCCGGGCTGTTGTTAATCGGATCGGTATCAAACTCGGCGTGGCAGATTGTCATTTCAGAGAGCAAACTTCCTGGAGGCGACTAAATAACCTGCGCGTCTAGGAAACGTCCATGGCTTACATGACAAGCAATCAATCCTAGAGGAAGCAGAGATCTTTGCCACTGAATGGTCGAAGATGACAGACGATCAGCTTTGTGTGTTAATCTTGTCAAACTAAGGCATACGGATTTCATGACTAGACTTAGCAGGAGCGGTCAGTGAAGCTCCTCCTTTCGATCATACGCCGACAGAGAATAGGGTCTCTATTGCCTTTAAAATCATTGTTCATAGAGACATGCAAGCAGCGCATCCTACTGGCCTTAACGAGGCAGGCCGTTGTACACTATGCTTCTATGCTCTGATTACTTTCCTGCGTTGGCCAAAGACTTACAGGAACCCCGCTGCCAAGTTGTCAGAAGGCTGAGCGGCATATAGCTCAGGGGCCACAAGGCTGAGGTACTTACTGCGAGGCTGAAGTTCCGCCAGTCCGAGGCATCGCCCGACCGAGCGCGGCCGTGTGAGATACGAGAAATTTTACAAGGAAGTCTTGTCCTCGTGGGGAAGACAATGGGGAAATCATAGAAGTATGCCAGTAAATAGAATCTTGAACGCACACAACGCGAATGTTGGGCTTCTGGTCTCGCTGAGAGTCCGCGAGAGGGCTCGCAAACACGATCGTCGGCCCGTCCATTATGCGGGCGTTCATCATGCGGGGAATCGTGGCTCTTGAGTTCGATAGTCCTGCATTGGACACATGTGAGGGTTGTCGTTCTCCGAACTCGGTACCGCTAGTGATGTCGACCGGGGACGATATGACTAGAACCTCAAGTCTGCTCACACTGTCGTTCTTGGCATGAAAATGACAAAATATCGATCAATTTATCTTCATTTGAGATCCGTAGACCTCGTGAATGAACTTCGATTCCAGAACTACATACTCGAGGTAACACTCTAACACGAGTCGTGAGCAGCAATCTGATCACTCCATTATTTCGTTTTCATCAACTTGATTAGTCGCGTCGTTGTCATCTGTCCGCAGTCTGATTCGATCGCTCGCCCCCTACTCTGTCCGTTTTTATCATTTTCTTGTTCCTGTCCAAGTTCTCGCCAATGACTTGGGAGAGGAATACTTTACCTCGCCGCGGAGTGTTCCTATGCCGTCCAGGCCGTTCTGTTTCGTTGAATCGTCGCTGCGCTTTGCGTGTGTCCAAGCGGCTCAAGTATTGAGCGAATCTGGTGTCGCGACTCGTCGCCGATCGGTGCAGTAAGTGAACTTCTGCGTAGCTGCTTCCCGTCTGGCGAGAATGCTGCACTGGCTAGTTATGTTAGATCAATTGTATGCTGCTGCATCTCAGCCGAGATGCAGAAAGGCTCCCACCCATTGTTCATCCAGCAGCTCCATTGACGATTGGTGTACCACTTCCGTTCACAGACGCAGACTGACGGCGCTTAGCAGGATTGTGGTTCTCCTAAGATCGAGAATCAGCTCAGTGAGCTCGTCATCCACGTACGCTGGTAACAGGCCCAGCCAGTCTCTTAGCAGAGCGTGCACTCTCGTCACTCACGTCCAAGCCTGCATTTGTAAAGCTCCGCTTCTTCTCGAGAGGCTCTTTCTTGGCCTTCTTCTTCTTGACGGGTCGGGTCTCGCCCGCTTCGAAAAGGTCCGGTGGGAGCTGATAGCTGCAGCAGCGTCAGTAAGGTTCGAAGTCTTGGGATGCCGCAAACATACTCTCGATGATACTTGATCTGTACCGAATGCACGTCTGGATTGTACCCAGGCCAGGACGTCACATTTGTTTTGAAGTCATTAACCGAATAAGAAATGTCGAGGTTCTTCTCGCCTGCCGAACGGGTTAGCCAAAGACGTGCCACTCATAGCTTTGAGAATCCGACCTTTGTTGAGCTCAATACCGAGATAGAAAGTGGTGGTCCAAAGCTCCAGTTTGCTGTCTTCCTTCTTCTCGGCTTCCTCGCTGGTTGAGTCCAGCCCGTTCACGACGTCAGCATCTCCCTCAGCGGCGGCCTGCTGCTTTACGTCTGCGGTCTCTTCGGTCGTAGTGGTCTTGTCAACCAGGCCTTCGAGGCCGCCACCTAGCACTTTTTCAACTTCTTCTTCATCCTTACACTTGTGATGTCGCTCGATGCCCTTGTTGAAAGGCTGCACAAGCTTGACTTTGTCGGCGCTGTCTTCGATACCTTCAACCAGTTTGTAGCGAAGACGCGATGTGACCAGACCAGACCACGCCTGCTGCTCTTCCTTGGTCTTGGATGCAGTCACGACGACGATGTAGTGCTGGTATGCCGAGGTGAAGAACTCATGCTTCACGAAAAGGTCGCGCCACTGCTTCTTGCCCGCGTAGACTTCAGTCATGATCTCGTGACCTCGGTTGAGCTCGCGAAGAATGACAGTCTTGGTAGACCGCGTGATAGTGTGAGTGGCGTTCATGACAGGGTATGCTGGTGTGATCACGGGCATCAGATGTCGCTTGTCACGGAAGTTCTTGTTGGGGTCCCACTCCTGCTGATTGAGCGAAGGTCCTTTCTCACGCGCCTGCAGGTATATTGGCGATGGCCACTGCCAGCTCTTGACGACCCAGAAGAACTTGGCGACAATCGACGAAGCGGCTGCCTTGGGGTATAGTTGACAGACTCGCGCCACCATCATGGCATAAGCGACACCACCTGGGTAACCGTAGACATTGCCGTAGAGACCACGCTTCTGTGCCCATATCTTGATGGCACGAACGGCCACGCGAAAGACTCGTGTTTGTGGCACTAGAGACAAGATTTTGTTTGTGACCCGGGTTCCGTTGATGCACTTGAGATCGGTCTCGCTCAGGCCTCGGAGCAGTTCTGTATCATCCAGGGAAAGGCCCACAGGGACTTTGTCCTTGTGCAGGGTGCACCAAATCAGATCGATGGAGATGCCGTCGATTTCGGTCTTTATGATGGGCACTGCGATACCAGGTACAGGCACGAGCTCGGTGAGTTGCTCGGGTGGAACACGTTTGCGGATCATGCCTGGCATGAGTTCGAAAAAGTCGTCTCTCGACACGTGCTTTGGCCCAACCATGAGCGTGTCGATATCTGAGCCAGGACCGAAAACGCCCAACTGGTAACTGCCATAAGCAGAGACCTTGCCGCCAGCCTCCTTAAGTAGCTCCGGATTGAGGCCTTTCTTCTTGCCAGCCTCTTGCACGAGCTCGATAGCCAGCTGTTGCAGTAGACCGAGGACCTTTTTCCTGCGCGGATTGTCAGCTCTTTATCCCTTGTTCGCCATTGTACGTCTTGCGTCACCAACCTCTTCTCCGAGCCTTCCTGCGACTCGAAATTGTTCTGCGCCTTCAACTCGGCCATCAACATGTCGTTCAACTCATTGTCGCGGGGCTTTGGCAAATCGGTGGACAGCGGCGCACTAACGCCCAGATACTGGGCGGTCTGTTCCGCCATGGTGGTCGTGGTGTTGCGCGGCGATGAAGGTGACTAGGAGGAGTCGGAAGTGTTGGTCTGCGCGGCTCAAGGTTTCATCGGAGCATGCGTCGCGAATTCTCGAGGAAGTCGCTGGGCCAATGGACAGAAACGGAGACGGCGACAGGGCGAGATATGGATACGAACGCGATCAGACCGACGGTGAGTGCGCGCTGCCGCACAATCGCTTTGAAGGTCGGTCGGAGTGGATGGACGAAGATGAACGGCAAGTGCGCGTGAAAGGCAGACGTTCGAGCGTTAGCGCAGATCCGGCTGCCGGCTGCAGACCCTGGTCCGACGCCAGCCAGCCCTTTACTTTTCAGCCACCGCTATCCGACAAAACACGACTCGCACAAGATCATGCGGCATATGGACATGACACGGCGCACGACACGGAAACATGCACCCGCGCTCACTGAGACGCGTGACGCGCTGCTCGACAACGTTATTCACGTCCGAAATGAGCTCACGTCGCTAGCGAGACCGCGGAAAATGCAGGAAGACCAGATGGTAATATGTGCTGTCATTCGCGAGATGCACTTGCCCATCGACGCGTTCGAAGCTCAATTCGAGGCAAAGAACTCGCGCAGCTGCTGATCTAGCCACTTCACGTCCTCAACTGACTGCCCAGGTCCGCCAGCCCAATGGCCCCAAATGCTTTCGAATGGGACGCACTTTCCGACGCCGGTTCTCATACGGGCGACTTCATCTTCACTGTCCTCGGGAGCTGTGTGCAAGTCAGCGTGGCACTTCACGACATGGTCATACGGCAGGCCTCACGGAAGTAAAGATCAGTCCTGCCTGGCAGCACAAGAGCCTTCGCCTTAATACCTTTCATAGCTGCGTCGAAATCGCCTGGAATGGATCAGTCCTGCCGCAAAAATAGTCCCTTCCTCGCAAGAGCTCACCATTGTAAGGGTCCTGCTTGGAGCAGTCTCCAGCCTGCCACGTGTAAAGCATGGCCACCATATTGTCAGGATCTTTGGATAAGGCCCATTCTTCCCAGAAGTTGACCATGAAGTCTTCGATGTCCTTGAATCCTAGCGCGCTCTCGAACAGCTTTGCGCGGTAAAATGCCTGACTGAAACCCCAGCCGGAGTACACCCTTCCGAGTGCTTTCAGACTTACGATGCGCTCATGGTCGCTCCAGGCCCGATACTGATTGATGGTTGCCTCGCCCTTGCAGACACCTCCCGAAGCGATACCTTTGCCTCCCAGCACAGCTACCTTGACGCCCTCGAGCATCGACTGGTTGTGCAGCGATGTCTTCGCAGATCCACAGAACGGCACGATCAGGTCCATGAAGTCGGGGAATTGAGTCGCCCACTGGTATGTCTGGCCAGCGCCCATAGACCACCCGAGGACAGCACGGGCATGGCGGACATTGAGCTTCTTCGTGACTAACTCATGCTGGGCACGAACGTTGTCATAAAACGTGACCTCTGGCCAAGGTCTAATGTCCTTTCGATTGCTCGGGCTGCTGGACTGGCCGTTGCCAAACAAAGCTACGATGATGATGAAGTATTCCGCTGGGTTCAACGTCTTGTCGCTGCCGATCAACCATTCGTTGTCTGCAATGGCTCCAGAATACCAAGTGGGATAGATGATGGCCGGGCTTCCGGGCTCGCCAAAGGTCTTGTATGCAATCTTCGCATCAGGAATTACGCCTCCGTTCTGGAGTTTGAAATCTCCGAGCGAATAGGTCGAGATGTCGGTTGACATGTTGTTCATCTGCTTTCCCAAGTCGGCTATCTTGTTTGACAAGTCTGGTTGCTCCTCAAACGAGTGACTGCTACGCAGAGTGTCTCCCCGCTCCATAAAGAGAGTTTATGCTTGCCACGCAAGCGATAAGAATAATGCACGTCGTATCTGATAGCAGCCGACAAAATAGTCAGGCCATATTTTCATGGCCGCTGGGTAAGGATCAGGTACTGGACTCCCGCCCATAACCCCGCTATTGTGGTTGCTGTGGTTGGTTCAGGTGTGGGGTCCATAAGACCTCGAAATTGACTGCATCAATCGTGCTGTGCATTGCTTTGTGCCACAATTGTCAAGGTAAAGTCAGGAGGATCAGCTCATCGAGCATATAGCCAGATGCATATGGCATCTAATGCATGAAATCAAGAGTCGCAGCTGGCGTCGTGACTTCCTCCGGAGTAGACACAGCGCGATGTGACGCCGGCTCAAGCTTAGCGGAAACAGTTCCATTTGCCGATGACGTTTGCCATTGCGGGATATGGCAGCTTACCAAATGACAGCAAAATAGTCACCAGCCGAGTTCATTGCCGCATTAACATTGGCTAAGGACCAACTAGACGTTGATCAACTTCAGACCGAGATCGAAGCGCTCCTCTTCTCTCATACAGAGCTCACAAACTTTTCATAACATCACTTACGGCAGAGACAAGAAGTCAACAAGCTTCACCAGGATCTCCAGATACACTTTCCACCTCACAGAGAAAGGAAGAACCGCCCATCATGTCCGGCGAACCCGAACAAAAAAACAACGACACCGCCACCCACGAAAACATGTACGACTCCGAAAAAGCCGTCCAACGCAACCCCCACGGAAACTTCAAAGAAGTCGAAGCCTCCCGTCCAGACTTCGACACCCAAACCCAATGGCACTACACCAAAACCAAAAACCCCTCCTGGAAACCTGGCCAAGGCGCAAACGACAACGGAGCCTCCCTCAAAAAGAAACACATATCCATCGACCCTTATGCCGAAGGCCGTCCCGCCACATTCAACTACAAACTCCTCATAAGCGCCATCATCCCCCGACCCGTAGGCTTCATCTCCACACGCTCAAAAGACGGGACTTCCACCAACTTAGCCCCCTTCTCATACACCCAAATGGTAAACCACGACCCACCAGTCTTCATAATCGGCTACGCAGGCGGCCTCGATCGCGCAAAAGACAGCTTACGCAACCTCCTCGAAACCGAAGAATGCACAATCAATATCATTTCTGAACACTATCTCGAAGCGGCGAATGCCACTTCTGTGAACGCCCCTTATGGAGTTTCGGAATGGGCTCTGACGGGTCTGACGCCTGGAGAGACAGAAGTTGTGAAACCTAGTAGAGTCAAAGAGGCGGTGTTTTCTGTCGAGGCGAAATTGATGAATACGCAAGAATTTGAAAGTCGGGCGACACCGGGGAAGAAGACCGGAGTGTTGGCTGTTGTGGAGGGGGTGAGATTTTGGGCGAGAGAGGATGCGATTAATGAGGAGAGGAATTTGATTGATCCGAATGTGAGTTGCTCTCTCCCGTTTCTACGCTCTGTGTCTGTGGATTGGCTGACGAATCGCCCAGGTCCTGCGTCCCATTGCCCGTCTCGGAGGCATCACTTACGCACGCGTGCTTGAGGGCATCGAGCTTCCGCGACCTGATTGGGAAGAGCTCAAGAAAGAAGCAGAGCCAGCAGGTCTCGTGAAGCCGAAGCGTGATGACCAATGACTGTCTGTACCTCGACAGCGTCTCTGAGACATAGACATAGAGTGAGATGGATAAATGAGAAAGGTAGCGTCCAAATCAAGAGCTTCCGTCCTGTTCGCAGCTAGAAAGCTATTTTCTCTTTTTGCATCTTATACAATCCTTCCAAGCAAAGGCGACCAGTCGGCCGCCGCCGTTCTGCAAATCGCACAGACGGCTGAAGGCTATATACCTTTGCCTCACACTTCCGCGGCTCGGACGCATGCAGTATCCGCCGGAGTGAAGGCAGAAGCCATGCACAGCCTGCTCCGTGTTAAGAAAGTGCGACAGTCGCCCAACTCTTGTGTCCTCATTTACGCCTTTTTCCAAGGCAACCGCACGCAATCTAATCTTCCGATGCCCAACTCAGGTCCATTCGACTCCACTTCCATGCAACTCCCGACAGATGATTTCTGGCACATCAACGAAGCAAAGGGTATCTGGTCTGGTGCTCTAGTCAAGCTTGTCGAAGAGCTCGTCTTAAATGATCCGGCATAAAGTGTGTAAGAGAAGCTTGAGAGAAACGAGGTTGCTCCTTGCATCCTCGAAAGAGCGATTGGGGGCAGTTGGTTTGTGAGTGATCAATCTCGCACGTGGGTGGTTCCAATTCCAGTGTACGTTTGGTCGGCAATGGCTCACGTGCTAAAAACTGGTGCCTTGACGAGAATAGCACGTCCTCGCACAGACACACTAATGCCTGCGGCCATGCGCACGCGTGGCGGCAAGTCTTCCTTGACACCTTGAGCACTTTCAGGGCGACCAAGGCTACCAGACGAAGCACCGGCGTGCTTGCTCGATCTTGGTTTGCCTCCTGTAATTGCACTGAGCATACTTCTCTTTTCCCGCCGGACAGAGCTTTGGTCAGGATTACTGTCGGTCATGTCTGTCACGTCGCTCGCAGCGCTCTTCATGCTCGCACGGTCTGCCTGGTCGTCTGCCACAGAAGTAACCAGGGGTGGGATTCCAGATTCAATCTTCATTTGATCGCTCAAGATGCTGTAGCCGGGCGGGAAGTATTCAATGTTGACGTCTCTGCTTTCGAGTGGGAGGTGTATCGCGATGCTCACCACGAGTTCGATGATCATGTGGACCCCACCTTCCAAATCCGATGGAGGAGGGTCTTGCAGGTGCTGTGCGAGGGCAGAAACAAGACCGTCTTTGAGAGAGTCGGTAAGACGTTGACGGTTCTCTGGGCATTGTGGAGATCGAAGAGTCTCCGCCAGTCCATCCAGCGTTGCCAATCTCCAGTTGACTACCTTTGATGTCAAGTACTCCTCCTCTTCTGTGCTCTGTGCCAATGGAGCATGCCGTCGGATGTTCGCCTGGATGCTCCGGAGCTGCGCGGAAAGGGAGGGCTCGAGGTCCGGATGGAAGTACTTCTGGAAGACTTCGCTCACCAGCCAATTTGATATGAACGCCCTGCCGGCAGCAGTCATCTCTTGCTTGCCTGTTGCAACTGCATCTTTGTTCATGGACGCCACGAGCCATTGCGGTATGCTCTTCCAACTCTTACGTATGCTGAAAGCAAGCTGTGCCACCAATCCGTCCAATCGGTTGAATCGCGTTGTGTACTCGCTATCGTCAAGTGAAGTTCGAGACTGTGCTAATCGCTGATGTGCGAGGCTGTTTTGCAGTTGTTTGACTTGATCCTCCTTTTCGAAGTAGTATTTCTTGACCTTAGTATACTTCTCGCCTGTTTCGATTGTCAGCACGCAGTAAGTAAAGTGATAGTGGGAAGCTGCTCACGAAGCTCTTTGTGGTCCTTGACCAGTTGCGAGACTTCATCATCGTTCATCTCATCGGCAACGGCCAGAGGCTGCGGGGTGGCCCGGCCGACTTCAGGCTGCTGTTGCTGAGGCGGCACCTGCTGTGGCTGACCACCGTTGCCCTTGTACGGCTGGCCTTGACTCCCCGGAGGTACGACTGCAGCGCTGAATGCGGCCATTTGTCCTGCTTGTGTCGAGTGAGACCCCTCACGTGGCCTCATGTCATGGACACTTTGTCGATTGCCGTTGCGCACCGACTTGGTCTGCGTCATGGAGCCATTGTTCGACATGGACGACGAGTCGTCGGTCTGCCCCGAATAGCTTCGCGCTGGGTTCAAGGCGGGGCGGATGGTGTTGTCGGCGACGTAGTGCGAGTGGTTCTCCGGCGGCGAGTATTCCTGCTGGTGTGAATGCGGCGGGGGCGGATTCTGCAAAGCAGGCGATTTCAGCGGAGCGTTCCATGATGTGCTGGGGGTTTGGATAGCGAGGCCTACATTGGGAGCGGTTACGGAACCACTACGTGACGTCTGGTAGGCGCCTTGCTGTTGCTGCTGCGGCTGGTGCAGGGATTGCGGGGGCTGAGCATCAGAGGTGCCGTAGTGCGAGAGGCCACCCGGCTGCTGTATATAGGGCTGATGCTCGTGGGAGTGGGCGGTGGCAGGTGGACTGAGCACACTCTGCCCACCCTGCCGCTGCTCGCGGAAGCCCTGCTCGGTGTTCAGCCGCTGCAGCCGGCGTTGCGACCAGCGATCCAGGGCGGCGGGAGTGTTGCCAGAGTCGGAGGAAGTCTTGCCCGGTGCGCCGCCGGCGTGCGCGCTCATGGGCAGCAATGGCGAGGGGCTGTTGGAGGAGAGGGAGTTGCTGGCGTCGTCGCTGCGCAGCGCGGAGGGATGCGGCGGGTCTATCTCGGAAATGGTGGCCGGGTAGTTTGCGGCGTGTAGCGAATGGAGCGACTGGGCACTCGTGCTGTAGCTAGCAGTGCTGCTGGTATCGCCCGCTCTTCGCACCGTCTGGGAGCGCAGGACACCAGAGCCGGGCTGCGGTGAGGGGTGCGCGAGGTCGCTGGTCGGCGGCGACGAGGTGCGGCGATCTGCGATAATATTAGAACAGCGCCGTCAAAGGATCGCGCCGAGCGTTCTTCCCTGCTGTCGAAATGATGTTCTGCGTGCTGGCTCTCCTATCCAGCGCGGGAGCGGCACTCGATCGGCCGTGGTGGTAGCGCTGCTCACTGTCACGCGGGGCGTCTTGGCTGCGAGGAGCAAAGGGCAGATCTTTTGCACGATCGATTGAGTGTTAGCATACGAACTGCAGCGAGAGTCTATCCGCGCTCAAGTGTAGCAGCGCGGCAGCCAATAGCCAGGATGGCGGGAGAGGGCAGCAGCAGGGATGTGTCGTATGGGAGCGGCAGCAGACACGGCGGCGGAACAGCCAGCTGAAACACGCAGAGGCAGCGGACAGCATGAAGAGACGGGTGTTTGTGTGACACGACCGCCGCCGTGTGCTCCGTCCCATCCCATCGAGCTGTGCCATGCTGTCCTGGCCTGGCCGGCGGGGCCCGTTGTGACAACGCTGCAGCAGCTCTCGATGATCGTAGAGGAAGAGATATAGGCCTAGTACGCACCGGGATGGTCGAAGCCCGTCTTGTTGTTCGACGAGAGCGCTGCTCGCAGCGACTTCCGCATATCCAACCCTGTCTCCGTCTCCCGTCGCGGTGCTCTGTCTCTGCTGCCAGTCCAATGCGTGCGTGCCGGGCGGTCGGTATGCGGATGGGGGGGTGGTGGAGCTCGCGTAACGCTGGCGGACCGCGCCGAGCAGAAGGGCGGAGGAGACAGCGATGCGGCGGCTGCGAATGCGAGGAGAGGTGTTAACAGTGGCAGCGGGAAGCACAGCACGGCGAGCGCGTGTCTACAGAACGGTGGAAGTTGAGCTACTTGCGCGCACCCAAAGCATGTCACATCCGCTGCGGCCATGGCCTGCTGGCGTGGTCACTGGTTCCATCTCCGGCGCGCTCGGCTGGCCTCCACCACTGCCACCCAAGACCTGCAATTGCGTCTGCAATCGATCACCACGCTGCCCAACGAGCTTCCTCGGCGCCGGCGTGTCCCAGCTGCGCTCACGGCGATGTGACTGCGGAGGACCGCTCGCGCTTATTATATGGAGTCGCTCTCATGCGCGTCGTCCGCAGGCGCAAACAGCCTCGCATGCAGCATGCATGCAGGTGGGCGGTGCATGCCGGGACAGGCCCGCGGTTTTGCGGGTTTTGACCAGGGGCCCAAATATAGCCCTCATGGCACCAGATTAGATCCGCCCCTCAACTCCTGAAGGCTCTCGCACAAGCACAAGCACATCAGCACGGAAATGACACGTCCTCATTTGGCACGCCCAAGTGCCCCCATCTTGGCGCCGTATTTGAATCAACTTTCGGCTGAGCTCGTCATGCCAAGCTGCATCTCCTGGCCGTTTCAAAGGAGAGCCCTGCTGCGTCTTGCTTTCGCAGCCCTGCGCTGACGAAATGTACACATCAGATTCGCTGTCTGATGTCGACAGTCGTGGATCACCCCGCTGGCCATCCACACGCAGGCTGCTGTATCAGCAGTTGCGAGAACAGCCCGACAAAGACTGCCTTCTCCGCCCACCTGCCAGACCGCCCGCCCGCGACAATTCTGAAGATCGTTCTTTCCCAGGAAATACTCCACAGATACCTGGCAATATCCAAGTAGACCCTTCCTGGAAGCAACCAATGAAGAACCCCCTGATGTCCATACACTTTCGTTGCTGTTACAGGCTACTCGCAGCAACACGCGATACGCAATCTCTGTACGGCACTCAAAGCCGTTCACTCGCCCAGAGGGACACTCTGCATTGCAATGTTCCCTGCCATAGGCCAATGCGAGCCTTTTCGATCACCTGGTCCAACTCTCCACGTGTGTTCAAAGACGTGCAGTTCGTCCTGTCTAGACCTGCCCGTGCTAACTCTTACTTCCATCTCCAATTCTCATCACAGTGACAATTGCTGTCTTAAGTGTCACTGATCTAACAACATATCCTGCAGCAGATTGACACTCGTTCACAAGCAGGCATCACATATCTATCTTTTCAACTGAGTGGATCTACTGCAGAAATAGCCCCCGTCGCCGAGCGTCACAACAAGCCACAACAACGTCGCCGATTCCGCAACGATGCTCTTCTCGGCCGCCACAACAGCCATTGCGCTTCTAGCGTCAACAGTTGCAGCGGTTCCAGCCTCGCTCACAATTATGGCTGATAATCCCAACCTGGAGATCAGCCAACTGGTAGTCAGCAGCTCTGCCACAGGGAATACATTATTGCAATTCAACGTAAAGAACCCAGAGCCGCTGGCGGCAAAGGGCACTGCAGTGTGCAGAGGAGAATGGGACTCGGTCAAGAAGGACTGGCCAATCAGTGGGAAGGCCGTAGGTGCCATCGAGCACTCTCGAAAACATTACCCTTGACTGATCCTGCTGTGCAGCTTCGATGTGACAAGTCACAATCTGTCACCTGGTACATTGACAGCTGGACGGACGCTACGAACTTCGTTATCGCCATTCAGGATCGATTTAAGGACCACAGGTTGGTCTGACCAAATCGCTTAGATGGGATCATTGCTAACTTGTGAAGTATCGGTGAGCCTCCTTACGATCGAATGACAACCTTCAGCAAGGCCACCATTAATGCATCTGTGGTGTCCTACGACAATCAAGATGAGAAGCCAGACGCATCTCAGGGCACAACCTCGGGCACGAACGCGGCAGGCACGAAAGCAGGCACAGGGACAGGAACAGGCACAGGCACAAACGCAGGCGCTGGCGCCACCGCAAACGCACCCGTGGACACGCAAGCCAAAGGAAGCTCCGATTCAGTGTCCGGAACCCAGATGCCAGACACCATAATATACGCAGCCGTGTACGCCGTCTCTGCTTGATCACTTAATGGACGAGATGATTGACCACCATCCCAATCAACAATCCGGAGCCCCAATTGAATCTGCCCAGAATTCCATATTCGGACATATGGTTTCCCTTTCAAGCTTCCATGACAGGGATGACCAAGCCCAGAACTGGCGATTGCGAGGCTCCCTTGTATTTGTATGTTCAGGACGGATCTGCGAACGGTTTGCGAACGACATGGACTCTGGCACAATTGAGCAGATGATGCAAGATTGGATTACGAGCGCGGATCGATATTTTGAATTGATGCGAACACGACAGAAGAATCATGTTTGACGGGCTACCCGTGTTTTCGAAGAAGCCTATGATATAGCGATGTATTGACTAACACTTAAATCCTAGGCGAGTTAAACTAGACTTCGTTGCATCTCCTCGCCTGTGACCCACGCCTGTGCCGTGCCACTCTTGTGCGGCAAGTCCGTTCTTTCGCTTGTTCGTGAACACCTTCTTTCCCAGAGAAGCACGTCGATGCGTGGCGTGGTAGTCGCAAGACAAATCTCTCTCCTGCCTAGCAGTGGCGAAGCCCGAGCCCTGCCAAGCCAGGTCACATGTCCACGTTCCGGCGTCGTGACTCACACTTCACTCCAAGAAATCCCAACAACGAAAGTTCCTTTCCCAGCGACTTTTTCTGAATCCTGTCGATGACACCATGAGTCTTTGTGAGAGACAATAGAGAACCAAGCTATCGCATAGCATCGGCGTTCCGAATTCGGCGCCCGCCCACCCGACCGCTTGCGTGACCTGACGTGCCTGGCCTGCGTAGAAGCCCAACTCAAAGACTCATACTTTTGTGCTTTCTTTGGTCTGGTTTGGTCCTTGCACTAGTAGTCATCTGATGCGTCGACAGAGGCGGCAGTAAGTATATAGCGCATGTCGCTCTCGGCATTCAATTTGTCTACACCGCATGTGGGGATTACACACCGCTGCTCACATCACAGTCTCTACATCTTCTTTTGCAGCACTCGACACATACGATAATTACAAACAAAAATGCTCCTCAACGCGAATTCCAGCGCTATGCCGCCACTGTATTCATATCAATATCAATATCCTAGTGGTGGTCGTTGCCACCCAGTTTCCTGGCAGGCTTCATCACTGCCACTTTCAACGACGACAACTTCTGTTTATTCGGCGACTTCTCCTTCTTCGCCACCATCAAAAGCAAACCGAAAACGAATCCGACATCGATCGAATAAGTCTCGAAGAATTATGCGTACTGCAGCTGCTGCACAGCAACTACAGCAGTCAACAGGATCGACACACAACTTTCCTCCTTGTCCGACGAGTATGAGTACATTGAATTATCAGCCAGTCTTTCAACGAGAAGAGTCTTTTCATTCGAGAGATAAGAGGATGTTTGGAGGCGAAGATGATGATTCGGCTTCGGCGATGGAACTGAGAGGTCCGATGTTGGATGTGGTACTGAGATTGTTTGATGGGGTGGATTATGATGATGATTTATGAGTTTCATGGGGTTGTACGACCAGGAACAAGGCATGGGCGGTACTTTTGCTGAAAATTGGGGCATTGCAAAACGACCTTTGGTCAGGCGGAAATCTGAATACATCAAACGGCGTGGTCAACAGGTGTTACGGGTGGCGAATTTGCAGCTTCTGGATTCTACGGCGTTGGAAGGCAGCATGATTACGGTTGTGGCGAGTGATTTGGAAACCTCAAAGAGGCTGAACCCAGTGGTGTAAACAGCGACACCACATCATTCATACCATACGCAAACAGAGCAGGCGCTCGAGCGGCTGTGCTATTCTCCGCTCAGTTGATCAGCCATATCTCGCCTTCAAATCCCTCAAATCACCTAACATTTGCTCACGTAGCGTAGGATTATCAAAGAACAATGCCGAAATATGCGTGTTAAACTTTCTGCTAGACTGTCAGCTAACTCATGAATGGAAATTCACCAATGCTCACAATTTGTACAGATCCACTCTTCCATCATAATCCTCCTCAAGAGCCGACACTTGAACGTTTTTGAAGTAAGCCTGAACATACTCGTCGCCGAATCGATTACACACAGGTCTCCACTGCCCGAATTCATACTCGTTATGAGCGTAGAATGAACAAGCATCGAAGACGATGGGTTCCCCTGTGTTGCTGTCGATTCCCGAATTGGCATACCACAGATCGCCATGGACTAATGAAGGTTTCACGGATCTACCGTCGCTTTCGAGTGGTCGTAGCAAGCGTGGGATGATTGTGTCGAATAGGGCGGGAATAAGTTCATCGAATTCGGGATCGTAGCCTTTTGCGGCGATCTCGAGATCGAGAGCCTGCCTCATTGCTTTGGCAAAGAAGGTCTCCCATTTGTCTTCCCAATCTGAGTACTGCGGCAGATTACCGGGATAGGTAGTGACGTGAAAGCGAAATTTGCCATTGGGGGATTTGCTGTTGTGATGTAGATCTGACAGTCGAGCGGCGAATTTGTCTGGATCTGGCATTTCTAGGATCATGTCGCGGAACTCCATGATGATGAAGTGTGTGTCTTCGGTTTCTGCGTATGATCCCCAGGCTATTGGTTTGGGCGAGAAGTCCGGGAGTAGGGTGTAGATGGCTTGCATGGATTCGAACTCGCTGTGCAGCATATTTTTGCCTGTTTCCCCTTGCATTACTTTGACGAAATATGCTTCTTGAGTGCCATTTGACAATTCGACATCGATTCGGCTTGTGCTAGCCCAGAAGCTGACTCCGTGTTGTTCTGTTGAAGTCACCCGGCATCCTTCTGGTAATGCTTTTCTGTACGTTAAAGACCGACTGGAGCAACAAGGTGAAGGGATGCTCACCCTTGGTCACGCTAGGGTCGACCTGAAAACTGCTTCCATCTTCAGAGTCCATTGCAATGCTGTGCAGGTTGTTGAAATACGAACGAGGTTCAAAGTTTTGCCGAATAAAGCTATCAAGCAACCTGGAAGCTAGAAGCGAAGCTCCGTAGGTTTTATCGAAGAATGTTAGCGCCGAGAAGGATGTATGCTGTGCCGCTGGCGGTTACAACAGCTGCGTTTGCATTAGCTGCAGGGATGTAGGCCCACAGCAGGAGTTTGTGGCGGGGCTCGAACACCTGCGAGCTCCAGAGACCACATAACCAGTAGTTAGTTTGTGTCGAGACTTGCTCGCTTAGACGATTGTCTCAATGATGCTGTCAACTTCGTTTCGCTGTTCTTCGTGATGTCGAAGGTATCGACAGAGTTATCTGCCTTCGTCCTCGTGCCCAGTCATTGCTACCTCATAGCACAAGTCGTGAACGTCGTCTACCATTTCAAATCCGACGCCCTCGCTTTCGAGACGTTGCTTGCCGTCGTTATCAACTATGAAGGTGTTGGGCTCTCTGATGCCAACATAGACAACACGAAGCTTGGGTTTGAGTGCAATGATACGATCGCAACATGTCCGATTGCCACTCAATCTCGCATTGCAAGGCTCCATAGTGGTGTAGAGAACAGTGTTGTCGGGCAGTACAGGTGCAATGTGTGCCTCGGCTCGAACAATCGGAAGGCCGTGCTGCTGAGCCACCTTGATGAAGCAACATTGCTCAGCATGCGTGCTGCCCATGTCCCCTTCCATATAACCAGGCAGCTCGAGAGAGTATCCAGTAGACAGAATTTTCCCAGAGTCGCCGTCTGCCAGAACTGCTCCGACGCAGAATTTGTCAGGTCCTGGCGGAGACAGGCGTGCCTGTTGAACAGCATACTTCATGAAGGCACTGTGATCGCCAGGTTGTATCGTTGGATGCTCAGCCATCTTTGAGGATTCGTGTCGCGGAAAGTAAGGCTGTCCAGGTGGTGGTGGTGGAATGTGGCGGAAGGAAGGACGGGAGAGTGGTGAGGAAGCCGACGGACGCGCCCAGCCCGACATCGAGCATCTTCTGTCGCGTCCGACCGAGCCACCTGCATGTGCACAACAACCACGCGCTATCGCCTATCTCTCCGGCCAAACTGGTATTGCATTATGGGTACCCATGTGGGCGTCGGTTCAATGGAGTGGAGGGCCAGCAAAAGACACGACACGCTCCAGATCCCTGCTGGCCAACGCGAAGGCGGCGGCTAGGCCACACGTACATGTCGCACTACTGTATGTTCATGCAATGTACACACCCGGGCGGCACACGGCTCGGTTCGACAACATCATAGTCTGCCGGACTGCTACTTCCCACGTCAATTTGAGACGATTGCACTTCTGCGGCACAATACTCGCCTTTTTGAGCCATGGCCCACGCGGTCGCGAGTCCACTGCGTGTTGCCAAAGCAGCGCGGAGCGCCTACTAAAGAATGTACCTTCTGTTCCAGTCGATCCGGCACCTTCATGATGGATCCAGTCAGCGCAATCGGGCTCGTGGCAGCCATCTGCCAGTTCGTGGATTTCGCAGCGAAGATTGTCTATGGAGCTTGACAAGTCTATAAATCAGATGCTATGATGGCTGCCTCAGATGCCGATTCACTCGTCTGTGCTTCAGAGCTGGATGCGCTGTCCACACGATTAAACCCTCCTGGCCTCTTGGCTCAAAGCCTAGATGATGAAGCACTGTTTCGCCTGGCGAACCGCTGCAGAGTGATCTCTTCAGAGTTGTCAGCGCTCCTGAGGACAACACGAGCGAAAGGACCTGATTCCAAATGGCACTCTTTTGTGTCATCGCTGAAGTCGCAACTCAAGAAATCTGAGCGAGACGATCTGCTCAGGCGGCTAGCTGATTGCCGTGCTCAACTCAACCTTCAGCTAATCCGTATGAACAGGTATCTCCCGCTAGCCAACTATTGAGACACTATGGTGGCTGATGACCTGCAGTCTCGACAGCAAGGCACTACATCAACAGGTCCTTCAGTCTATGCAATCTAATGATGTCGCATTTCAACGACTTCTTGCCGAGATATCTAACATCCGAGCAAACGTCACGATCACATCTCTGAGCAGCCAGGCCGAGCTCCAGCTGCAACGGATATTCGCTCTTCCTGACGATAGCCGAAAGGCACTCACAAGAGGCAAGATCCTCAATCTCTTGCAATATGAGACGGCACACGAACGCTTCGACGATATTATAACTGTGGACCAAGATTGCTTCTCCTGGGCTATCGATGAAGATGCTCATCTGGAACCAATGCAGCAACCGCAGTTTCGGTTGCAACAGTACAGCCAGACCGGTCCCGCTTCACACTCAGAATTGCACCAACATATCGATTTCGAGGCCAGTCCTCATGAATCAATGGCGTTATCCTTTCACGACTTCGATGGGTCTGCCTCAGGCGGTGCAGAAGACGAGTCGAAGTCGTCCTCGGCTCCAGTCAGTCTGGGTAAGAACCAGTTCTGCTCATGGCTACGGGGCGGCGCTGGAATATTTCACGTGGTGGGCAAGCCATATACCGGGAAGTCGGTATTGATGAAAATTTCTGTGCGACCACGAAGCGACAGCACGAATGCTAAACGTGTGGGCTGAAGGCTCAAAGCTCATATTTGCCAAATTCTTCCTCTGCTACGATGGATCTAAAAAGCAGAGAACAATCGCAGGTCTATCTCGCTCGATGCTCCACGACATTTTGGAGCAATGTCCAGAGCTGATCGAGAAGGCACTGCCGGATCTAGTAAGATTGGTTGAATCCCAGCCCTGGCAGCTGGAACTCAAAACCCACCTGCGAGCAGATCGCATGGAGAACGCATTGATTCATGTGCTTCAAATCGTGTCGGGGTCTCTCGAATGCAAGATTTGCATTTTCATCGACGGATTAGACGAGTACAACGACGACTTCCGCGACTTCACTACCTTAAGCGGTGTTTTATGTCATTGGACCCAATCAGGAGGGCAGAACGTAAAGCTTTGTGTGGCAAGTCGGCCAGAGCCCGCGTTTCTCCAGGCGTTTGATCAACGTCAAAGAATCTGGATTGAACAGTACAGCGATGCAGATGTCAGAAAGCTTGTTGGTGAAAGGTTGCACGCGGTTGTTGGTGCTGGTGGCTACGAAAAAGATATCATTGACCAGATATCGGATGTGATTGTCCAAAGATCAGCTGGCAATTTTCCTTGGGCTGCCTCAGCTGCCGTCGCTGTAGCCAGTGTTTTGCAGCGCGATGAAGCAGCAGCGCTGCAGCTGACATCGGCGCACAGTAGGACGCAAGATCAGGACCCGAGCACTGTAGATCCGCTTGCTCTGGAAGAAATGCTACTTCGGCAACATGTCCCAAGCCATCCTTCAATGCCGCAAAGTGCGGGACGTCTACGCTCTATCGCTCTGTCTCCCGGGCCTCCTGGTTTCCTGGAATCCGAAAGCCGGCAGCAAAGTGTGGTGACCCATCGGGAGAGTACCAACGCCGAGCAAACTTCACAGCTAAAAAGCCTTCTGGGAATCACCGCCCATTACGAAGATGATCACTTTGAGGCTGAAGATGCTCGACTTGCGGGGACATGCGAATGGATCAACGAGCGAGCTAGTTATCGAGACTGGGTTAACTCTAAGGCTAATGGTACCCAAGTGTTGTGGCTTGCTGGCAAACCTGCGTCAGGAAAATCGACGCTCACAAGCTACATCATCAGTCAGCTGCAACAGCGCGGCGCAAGCGTTAGTTACTTCTTCTTCAAACATGCCGACAAATCCAAAGCTGTATTCGGAGCTTGCTTGAAGGCTTTGGCGTACCAAACAGCGCTTCGTAGTGACCAAATACGAGCGGAATTTCTAGCCGTGGACAAAGCGCAAATCGAATCGATCGACCCCGGGACTGATGCACTCTCGAGCCAGAACCAAAACGAACGTCTCCTCTGGCGCAAACTTTTCGTTGACATCATTTTACGCTCCAGCCTCGAGGAGCAGTACTGGGTGATTGATGGCTTAGACGAGTGCGAGAACTTCGCAGCGGCGTTCACATCGTTGTTTGGCAAAAGTGTCCATTCAATTCGTCTTCGAATCCTGATCACCAGCAGGGAGACGGCATCTTTGAAGACAGAATTTGACAACGTTGCAGCCCGCATGTCGTTGAACATAGAACATATCTCGGCTGCGGACACGCTCGAGGACATCAAATTACTGATCCAAGCACGCGGATCCTCGATCGAGGAACACTCCGGCCAGCATTTGGTTGAACAGATCCTGAGCAAGTCCAGGGGGTCTTTCCTGTGGACTACCCTCGTCTTACAAGAATTAGTCAACACGTACAGCGAGTCCGAAGTTCAGCGGGTCCTTGAAGAAGTCCCGCGAGGCATGACTGCTCTCTACCAGAGGATACTAAAGACACTCGCACAAGCCGATCGCGACCATACATTCATGAGGGCAGTGCTGACCTGGATTACATGTGCCCCCCGACCACTTTCAGTAGAGGAGCTCGACGGAGCACTCCTGCACCATCTCGGAAAGAGCTTCCCAAATTTGAAAGCTCGCCTCATGGCTGTGGGCGGCCAGCTTTTGACAATTGATAAGGTTGGGCGTGTAAATCTAGTACACGAGACCGCTCGGGAGTTCCTGCTCGATACTGTAGAGGCGTCTGGTTTCTCCATCTCGGCCGGGACAGCACATGCGATTATGGCAGCTGCGTGCTTGAACTGCCTCTCAGGTCCCGATATGCAGGCGCCTCGACCGAGGAAGAGATTTAACTCTAACAAGACGCCCAGCAAGCGGACCTCGTTTTCGATCTATGCCGCTCTTAACTTCTCTTATCATTTGAGGCTCGCGAATCTCACCGCGGCAGATTTGATATTGCTGCTCGATATATTTCTGAAGACCAATGTACTCTCGTGGATCGAATGCATTGCCAATACATCGTCTATTGCGCCATTGGTGGCAGCTGCAGCCGATATGGATCATTTCGTTACGGAACACATGACCACTGCTCCGGCCCATGGAAGAGAGCTACAGAGCATCAGAAGCTGGGCCAAGGACCTCACAAGGTTGTCAGCAAAATTCGCTGATGCACTGCTAACAAATCCAGCCGCGATATTCTCGATCTTGCCTCCTTTCTGCCCCAAGAACTCCTGCATTGCAGGGTTCGTGAGGCAAGAGCGCGGACTTGCTGTTATTGGTTCGCCGGATGTCGAATGGGACGATCGTCTATCATGTATAGACCTCCGATCACGCGCGAGTTGCGTCTGTTTTGGAAACAAGTTCTTCGCCGTTAGTGTGGCCGGCCCCAATGGCGTGATCCACATCTATCGTGCCACAACTGGCCAGGAGCACAAAGTCTACCATCACGGAGAGGCGCTCAATATGATCCGCTTTCTATATGGAACTGAACTCTTAGCCTCATGCGGTAATAGCTCCATTCGCATCTGGAATGTATTTAAAGACCAAGTGCAACACGTACTGCCCATGCCTGGTCGTTGTCTGGACTTAGCCTACGGATCCAATATACTTTATGCTGCATATCACAAGGGCTTTTTGGCATCATGGGATTTGAGTGATGGCGCATGCCGCTTGCCAGACCAACCTTGGAATGCTGACCCGGATGTTCACGACAAGCGACCTCTCCGACCTCCATCCGCCGTCTCAATATCTACAGCTCATGACATGATCGCCATTGCTTCTCCTGGGCATCCCATAATCCTATGGAGCATTTCAGACGACATGTACTATGGTACTTGTGGCAAGAGACTGCCAAATGGCGAAGTCAGCAAGCACAACATAACCGCAATGGTATTCAATACAGATCCAGACAGGCCACTGCTAGCAGCTTCTTACCTTGATGGCGAGTTGGCGATCTTAGACCCGTTCGAGGATGATACGCTCACAGTCGTCCGTGCTGAATGCCCCAAGCTAGCAGCAAGCCCAAATGGGATCTTTCTAGCAGGCGCTGCTGGTTCTGGGACTATCGACGTGTACCACTTCGAGACGCTTCAGCTGATCTACAGGGTTACCTCTTCCAAACAATACATCACCGGACTAGCATTCTCCCGCGATAGCTGTAGGCTGGCCGACATTCGAGGATCAATCTGCAACATTTGGGGTCCGCCAAGACTACGCCAGGAAGACATGATTCACGATCATGGTGGAGACGCATCGTGCAACCAGCCACCTGTGACTGTGGCTATAGCAGAACCCAAGATCAAGATCAGCGTAATCGCAAACCACACGGACGATAAACATATTCTGTGTGGGCAGAGTGATGGCGCCGTCGCACTGTACAGTCTGCGTGATGGATGCCAAGCGACGACACTTTATCGACATAAATCTAACGTGCATTCCCTCCACTGGTGGTCGAGGATAAATCTTTGCTTGAGCGTCGATGCCTCCAATGCAATTCTCGGCTGGAGTACAGCCCGCTCACAGCAAGGCGGTCTCATTGCCCAGCAGCAAATTTTTCAAGGTCGATTGAGTAGCAACAAGGCTATTACACAGCTACTTGTGAGCGAAACAAATGACATTTTCATCTTATCTACCAGCGATTCTGCGCATCTCTGGAGCTGTGACGGGCAAGAATTGAGTTCGCGGCGACACTCGTCCACTACACAGATATGGATTCAGCATCCAACTTCTGCGATGTACGTACTTCGTGTTGAGCCAACTGATGTGTCTATCCACAGTTGGAGCGATCTGTCAGAGATCAAGCGCATCCCAATTGCAGTTGGAGATGGCTTACAACTAAAATCTGCAAGAGTCTGCATGATGGAACAAACGCCAGCCATACTCTTGGAGCTGTGCCAACTTGACGGGAATGCTGGGACTAAAGATGTCTGCTTGCTTGATGTGGAAAGCTTCAATGTTCCAGCAGACCATCAGAAAGGGCCAGACGCACCTATGGAGCAGAAGACACCGCGGAAGATCGAGGCAACGAAGCGCGACCCCATACAACATATCGCCAAGCTCGTCTTCCACGGCATAGGGTTCCTGGAGAATGGCAGATTCGTTTTCCTCGACAAACAGTCTTGGGTATGCTCGGTGCATTTGAAGAGGACTCAGCCTAGCGGCACTTTCCATTATCATCGGCATTTTTTCGTGCCGCACGAATGGTATTCGGGAACGAGGGAGATACTTTGTGGTCTTGTCAAGCGGAATGTTCTTTTCGCTAGGAATGACAAGGTTGCTGTGATTAGTGGTGGGTTGGAGTACGTGCAGGAGGTTACGATGACTGTCAAAGGTGATTAGTTCGATAGTTGGGCATTGATGCACGGTCTTCGTCTCGATTTCCAGTTCCAACACAGTGGTCTACAACAACCCACACTAGCTCAATGTGTGACGAGAGTCCAGCCCCTTTGTCCTTCTTGATCGCGAAATGGTCGATGGTACGCGAATTTAGCGTTCTAGCATCCAAGTGACGAGAGCAAGATTTTGGTCAGTCGTGAGAACTGTGACATGGTCGTATGCATGCAACGAGCGAAGAGGACCCAGCGGGACGGGTACGGCACCTCTGCTCAGCAAACTTTCAGTCAACAATCTCGCCCAGAACAGCATCGAATTGGTTCAAATGGCGTGTCGAGAACGTGTTACGAGACTGCATGTGCGCATCCTATTCTTCATGAGCCTAGCAAGCTATCGATTCGGACATGAAGTCTAGGAATGGAGAGACAATAACTTTCATGGAAATGTGGTGGCGGTTTCTCCAGCACTTGCATTTCGATCGTGACTATATGATCTCTAGCTCTATCCTCGCACCTTCAGTTCGGTATTTCTGTGCCTCCATAATAGATACCGAGGTAAACTTTGCAACACCAACATTTTGAACCACTAGGCGAGTGTCTCTTGCGAAGGTCGATCGTGGCCTAACAACCAAAAGTCCTTGTTCAAGTGCCCGTTCGTCATAAATGGTGTCTGGCAGTAGCAGAAGATCGCCAGGTTCGATATCTAGCCTGCTGTACGAATCATTGACCCTTGTGCTTACTGTAATTACGGACCTTAGCAGGGACTGATCGCCGTGCTGCATATCTTGATTGCCTGTGCAGGCTACCCGGCCTACGTTCCACTCCGTGTGCCACTCCGAGGCTGTCCATTTTGGGGGTCCCTCCGTGTCCCACTCATTCTGACCCTGCATATGGGCGCGGTGGGTAATCACAGCCACGAAAAAAACGTGGAGAGTCAATCTGTCTTCGATAAATTGTGGATCGGTGATCCAGTTAGAAGGACCACGAGCGTAATCAGCAAATTCTATGTCCTTCAGATCAGCTACCCAAGTGGGTAAATCCAGATTTGATGCTTGAGGTAGTGAATTGCCACTTCCTGGACCACCGCTCCCATCTATCGCTCTTCGCGATGCACTGAGACCACTGTTCCCAAGAATAAAGATCCAGTAACCGTCTGCTACGGCACGCAACGAGAATTCGCGATACAGCTCGCCGATTGTGCGATTGTAGTCCACAGCAAGCTCGAATGGGTTTGACAGGCTGAGGAGAGAGAAGAGAATGTCGTGATCGTGCGAACATTGCATGCTACGAAATGCGTGAAGGTGCATGACCAAATTGTTCCCGGGTTCTCGGTCAGCCACAGCGGTCAGGAATGCGACACGATCAATGTGTTCGAAGCCGCGGCCCTCTGAGTTGCCAGCCATCATGCTTAAGCGGTCCAGGTCGGAAACAGTCAACGCAGGTTGCTGATGACACCCCCAAAAGAGTGTTTTCGGTTTCGATGTATACTCCTGCACAATCCACCGCCGAGTCCAGTAGCGACCCCCAAAGAACGAATCGAACGTCTCAAGCAAAGTCTCGGTGTATTGTACTAGATCAGGCATGGTCGCTAGGATAGAACGCCACCTCACTGAAGCTTCTTTCATGTCCCCCACGAGGTCTGGCAGCGGACCACCACATACACACTGGGTAACATCTCGGTGTAGGCAGATGCAGGATTCTGCGCCACTGAAGAAGGTCCTGATTTCGTGAGGTTGTCGAATGTCTTGCAGACGGCCGATTGCGCGAAGTACAGCATCGTTATCTTCAACCGGAGAGCCGTCGTTGAGCGGATCTTCCCCGAGCCACACCAACGTCTCCTCTGCATTTTGATAGATCTGATACATCTGCGCCACCTGCGAACCTTTTTCTTGAATATCATTTTGATCAATGCAAAGGGCATCGACCCAGATGCGAACAACGCCGCGCTTTCTCCGAATGCGTATCAGCCCCTCGAAGAGATTCTGCGTGATCGCGACGTCTGAGTTATGGACAGAAATGACACGACTGAGAGAACAGTCGCCATTTCCCATTGCCCAGCTGTAGGACAGGGCTTTGTACCGGGCTCTTGGCGTACGAAGAACAACTGTGAGGTCACACTTGATCGGATCTTCTAGTCCCAAAGCTGGCTGGATTATCAAGACTCTGATATGTTCCTCAGTAGGGAGTGGGTTGTACAAAGATGCTGAGGGATCGCGGAGAGGTACCCCAGCTAAGACGCTCGGGTCCTTGGGGCGTGCAACAATTTCATCCCGCATCTCGCCCCATCCTCGCTCAGGTCCTGCTTGAGCTCGTGTTTGTGCCATATAAGTGTCGAACGTTTAGTGGTTGCCTGGTATTCTTATCAAGCCCCGAGTTACGCGCGATCAATGCGCAATTGCGGCAACACTCCAACAAGGCGAATGTTCGAAACGCTCTGTTGAAACGGCCAAGAATCTCAGCGCTTGCAATTGCAAGTCAGATCTTGGGCCGTGGCTGAGAGGGGAGGAGATCGGTGGCCGTAAAGACAGATGGGTGTCTTGAGCGCGACACAGCGTACAGCTTCTTTGAGTGCCGTCAGATTTCGACTGTAATCTCCTCATCAGGCTGAAACTCCGAGCACTGGGTAGTGTACGGAAAGATGGAGACAAAGTCAGTATCCCACGAGTTCAAACACACACAGTCTTGTTGGCAAGGCTGTGCTGGGATGCAACAGCGGATGTGGCTGCGCAAGCCGCCACCTTCTTAATCTGGACCGCATGACCGACAGCGCTCGCAAGCTTGAGTGACCGGCGAGAGATGATAGTACGCTGGAGATCACAGGGCGTGAAGCTCTCGTCGGATGAGTGACATGTTCGTGAATGCCTCACGAGAAAGTAGATTCGGCGAGGTGAGACGCGCTTGGCCGTGATTTGGTGCCTCAGGCGCAAATATGCTCTCACAGTCGAAGAGAACACAAAATGGCAGTACATTCAAATACCATCGAAAGTTGTCGCACTTCATAGCCGACTCCCCACTAGCATAGAGATCCCTTCTGGTCCAAATTCAATCAAGACCATATCCACATAATAGCTTCAATCGAGCATCTCTCACGTCTACTCCTACCCAGCCAGTATGATATTTCCTTTGCCTCAGCTACTGCCAGCAACCTCTTCGCACCTCCTCCCCATCTCCTCCCCCATCCTCACAAACCCCACTCCACCCTCCCTCAAAACCCTCTCCGCCTCATTGCCCTCAATCCCCGCATGCCCCATCCCCACAACCACACACTTCACTTTCCCCTTCAACGCCAAAATTCTCTCGCAACAACTCCTCCATCCCTCCTTCGATCTCCGACTACAAGGTTCCATGGTCGTATACAACACACAACCTTCCTCAGGCAGGAAAGCTTCGATATGTAATTCAGCCTGAGCAATTGGAAGATCATGTTTCTGAGCGATTTTCATGAAACAGACTTGTTCGGCGTGTGTGGAACCCATATCTGATGGGGAGAGATCGCCTGGGAATTCGTGGGAGTAGCCTGTGGAGAGAATTTGGCCTGTCGTGGCGTTTGTGAGGAGGGCGGCGATGCGGTGGGTATTTGTGGGGTCTGATGGGGAGGAAAGTGCGATTTCTAGAGCGTAGTTCATGAAGACTTCGTGGTCGCCTGGAGCGATTACTTTCGATGATTGCATGGTTGTTCCTTTCTTGAGAATGGGACTTTGCGGTGCGTTGCTGCTGTAGTATTCCTTGAGTGTAGCTGGCAATTCTATAATCTCCCCTGACCCGAAATACCAGGCTTCGGCTTTGAACGCGGTACCAGATTGCGCAGTTTCTGCTTTGTTCTGTGGAACTTTAAGCAGAAACAGCAGGTTCCTTCTAAGCTTGGCTGCTTGTCCTTCGGCGAGCGGGGTAGGTCCAATAGCATGGAATCATGATTAAGTGTACAGATAGAGCCAAAGTGGTTTTCCAAAATACCCTGTTCATATTCCACTAGAATTCAGGAGTGTTGTGTGCCTAAATCTTTTGTTCCTCATCAGCTCATACACCAATATGGATACTTCTTTCCCGGACCCAGCACTCACCTAATGCTCCAATTGCCAAAAGTCCACAGTTCTATAGCTCAACAGTAAATCTCAGATCCATGACGGGGTTTGTAAGGTCGCTCGAGCTCAGTAGAGGTGTTGGAGGCATCAAGAAACGAGGGCGTGACGACTGGTCCTGAAACCATACGGTCTCTTGATAACACGCGAACGCACTAGACGGCAGTGTACTTGTCGGACTAGAAGCTGCCATATGCCAGGACATATTCGGGAGCTGATAGTTGTGACGGCCTTATGCCACCCGTTTCGAGTACCCTGTCATTCCCTCCAGCTTCGTCAAGGCTGTGTTGGACAGCGGCCATGTTGCAAGCAGACTTCTGCCATCCCCGAGACTCGTACCAGTCGATCTGTTCCTCTCCCACGCTGTCTACCCAGTCCGGTGTTCCCATAGTGATTGCCCCCGACTGGATGTTTCTCGTGCCCTGTCGGTCCTTGTGAACTGACAGTCCATTGCGTCCGTCTCCACCATTGTACGGTGCGCTGCTTCTCGGGGCCGGCGGCGTCGGTGTTGCATCTCTGCCGAATCCGCGTTGCAGTCAGTCCGAGCCGTCGTCGATGGAGCGGACGTGGGGATCGAGACCGTTGCACCCCGGAGAAGGATATGCATGTCGAGCACGGTGTCTCTCAGGATACGCCATCATGATAGCTGCTGCCTTTCCATTGAGGAAGCGAAGCTCGTTGCCTGACCTCTCACGTCTGTGCTGCCGCCGAGGAACCCTCTGTTCCGCTTCCGTGTAGCCCACTGGCCGGAATTTCGTCAGCACTGTGCCCTGATCCTCCCTTTTCATTTCCACACACATCAATTCGCAGCCCACCGACCATCAAAAATGGCCCGTAAGCCTCAATGCATCAAGCGCAAGTCCAGCCCCAAGGGCTCGTCCAAGCCAGGAGCCTCTGGCGATGAGCGTGCCAAAGCGTACGTTACTCAAACGCCTCTCCTAACGCGCTACCAACCGCTGAACTCCCTAGATCTGAGGTCAAGCAGGACTCCCGCCTGCTGTCACTCGCACCAGAGATCCGCAACCAGATCTACGGCTACGTTCTTGGTGGCCACAAGGTCCACGTCTATATCGATTGCGTCCAAGACGAAAATACTCGTCGACAAGGCTTTTGCACCCACTCGTGTGGATCAAATCTCTCGGTGGTCCAGTCGGAGGAGCTACGAAACGTTGGCACGGAGGCTCCCTGCGCGGCCTGTGGCCGCGACCGCTTCACTTCATTGGACCTCTCCCTCCTCCGCACCTGCCACCAGATCTACGCCGATACTGCACTACTCCCCTACAGTACCAATGACTTCTTGATCGAGACCCCGGCTTTCACACCCTTCATGAAGGGCCTGGAAGATACGCAAAAGGCCTCTATCGAGCATATGACTGTGATTGGCCGCGGTGACTTGGCCTGGGGAATCAATTCGTTCGAATTGGAGGACATCCACGGCCTTCAGCGTGTCGAGCGTCTCCGTCTCATCCTCGTCGGTGGGACGCCGTACGATGAGTTTCACGGTCTGGAGAATATGGCTGAACTGCCGAGTTTGGAGGAGGTTTTGTTCACTACCAATGACAAATACTGTTTCTTCCCGGTCTTTAGTGGCGATCTAGACGACTCAGAAGCTGATCGCTACACTGCGGACGAGTTTCGGGAGGAAATTCTGTAGAGTCCTGGAGGAGAGCGCGGAGGATAAAAGCGGCGGAGGAAGAAGGATCAACGCTTTACTTCCAAGGAAGGCCTGGCACGCAGTGCGCTCGATGCTGGAGGTGTGTATCTGGGTGGAATTGGCATAAAAGCGGAGAAGGGGCGATGATTTGCGGTGTGAAGCTCATCACCGCGTGATACCAGCACTTTGCTGTGTTAGATAAACACACAAATGCTTCGCTTTGACGAGCTGCTTCCAGAACACTCCGCTGTATTGCTGTTCATGGCGTCAACAAAGCTGACATTGTGACAGATGAACAATGGTGCTATTCAGCGGAAGGGCTTGGTGAGAAATGCAGCTTGACGTGGTGTTCTTTGCGATCACTGACAATAGCTCAGCAGGGGCGAATAGATCGCCGGCAATTGGCAGACAAATGCTGAAGATCCAGAGATGGATAACCACGAGTATTGTCCGGGGCTCTTGTCCAATGTTATCGTCCTCACGCGGTGTCTATTGCGATCACTAGCACTAGCTCAGCACGGCCAGAGGAACCGCTGACAATGTAGCAGATGATACTGAGGATCCAGGACAAGGTGATCACAAGAGTCGCATGTCGCTTTTGTCCAATAGTATCGCCTCCACGCGGTGCTTTTTGCGATCACTGACACCAGCTCAGCAGGGCCGGAGCAATCGCTGACAATGTGGCAGATAATACTGAGGATCCAAAACAAGGTGACCACAAGAGTCGTATGGATCTGCTGTCCAAGGTTATCATCTCCACGCGGTGTTCTGCGATCACTGACACTAGCTCAGCAGGGCCGAATGGGTCGCTGACAACTGGCAGACAAATGCTGAGGATCCAGAGGTAGGTGTCCACGAGAGCCAATTTGGACAAGTCCTCTCATATCTCGTCCTTCGTGGTTTTCCCCTTCTCTTCTTTCTCTGCCTTTGCTTTGTCCAGTCTCCTCTTCTGTATCCACTTCTCCAGTCCTTCCTTTGGTCTCTTCTTCTCCGCATTCTGGCACAATGGCTTCACGGGTCCAGATTCCGGCTTACGTCCAGAAATATATCCAATTTCGAAATAATCTTTGCCCGTTTCGCCTCTGAAGACCTTCTGCCAATGCTCAATTGTGCCCTTGATCTCTTTAAAGCCTTTCTCAATCGACTCTTTTCGGTATAATCTCATTTGCCCTGTCAATTCCTCATCACTCTTCTCCTCATAAGTGGGTACGTCTTTTGGTACGAATTGCCATTCTACGCCTCGGAGATCAGGATGGTTGTCTTCGGCGAAACAGCCTGTGACGAAGCCACGGGCAGCGTCTCTGCCTGAGAAGACGGCATACATGCCGCCTGGACCGTATATACGCGGGTTGGAGGTTACGTCGTATATTGTGCCATTGAGGGCGAGGTATATCGGGAGAGACTCGTCTTCGCCATTATAGTGCAAGAGCTGTGCGTCAGTGAGGACAACAGGGCCGCGCTGTGCAGACATCAGTCATTGCTCTTCCTATGCTGCGGGTATGCGCTTACCAGTTTGGCCACGAGGGCCTTTGGTTTGGTCCACCATGCGTTGTAGCCCCAGAATACGCTGTCGCCGGTAATGAAATAGCTCAGCAATCCGCTGAGGAGGAGCAGGCCGAAAACTATGCGCAGGCCGTCTACCAAGGTGATGCCAGGATGCGCGTCTGGATCCTCGAATTCGACTTTCGGCTTCGATGGCTTCTCAATTCGTCTCGCTGGCGCCTCGTCGGAAGAGCTGCTGTCAGACATGATGCGTCGTGGTGTGTGTGGGGAGAGGATGCCTGCTGTCAGTGGTGATGGAGATGAGGTGAAGTAAGGTGGAGTCGGAAGCAAGACAAGACGAACGACTTCCTTCCCCTTGACATGAACTTAGCTGTCAGCGCTATTGCCCGCCGCAGCAATCAGGCAGCGACGTTCACATAATCCTCAAGCCTACTGTGATGAGGACAGCTGGCTGTTTGAGGTAGAAGAGACCAAGAAGGATGGTGGATAGGAAGAACGCGCCAGTTTAGACTTCGCCTTTGCGCCGTGACGCAAGGTCGCCGACCATTGCTGATTTCTAACACTCACAGAAGCACATCAGAACAACAACGAAGACCCGTACTTGCATCACGAGGCATCGTGCCCAAGCCAACGATGCTGCTCTTGTCTGCCTCGGCTCTTGTCAAGATCATGCTGTGTGCGGTCAAGTTTACTAGGACATGACCGACAGGAAGCAGCGAAGCAATAGTCGTGCAGTTATGTTGCAGTCCATGCGCACCACTGCCAGCGTCGACACGCTATGAAGAAGCCTAGTAAGAGACGATGATTTTACGCCGCTCGTGTCCAAAGGAGCCAGCGGCCCATGATCCCATTCAGCCAGGACCCCAATAGAATCTGCGCAAAGTCACCCTCGAGGTCGAACTAGCAGCTCTCGAGGACAATGTTGCAGAAAGAGTCTGGAAGACTATGAACCTGTGCAAGATTCGTTTGGTTTATTACGGCTTCGGTTCTCTAATCTCGTCAGACAAGGTCTCACCGTGCGTAGAGATACGCTGCTAGGTCGCCGAATCTGGATCGCTGAGTCAAGGCAGCAACACTCACGTTTGCCATCAGGCCTGTATATTGCCTACATATGGGTCCGGTCTGCCAGGTAGGAGGTCTTCGACAGCGTCTTTGTACTGGAGATGACATCCTCGGCGTTGATGACCAACAAGCAATGATGAGCTCGTGCGACACGTCCTCGGTCACAATGCGACTTCGATGCCGGCACCTTCGAATGGTGGATGTCGCCGCAATAATGGAAGGCGTTCTGCAGAGGTCCTGCAATATCGCAACTGTTGCCATCCTATGGACGCTAATCCTGGTCTTCACTTCAGCCTCAATCAGCCTCACCAGCCTCATGCCAAGCAGCACAAGCAACGATCTAGTATCTGGGCATCAAACTCAAACCGATTGTCTGCGTTTCTGCCACCTCACACCGATGTCTCTCATGAGCCGATCTTCTGTATTCATATGCGGGTATCCTGCAATACCGGAGTACATGTTGCGTTCTCATTTGCGCAAAGTGCACGACGTCGCGTTCGCAGATACGTGTACGTCATGGCGATCGATCGCGGCTACCTTGTTTTGCTGTCGGATCCACGTGCGGGATTGCTGTCAATCCAGGTTTTCCAAACGAACCGCTGCCAGCAAGAAGCATTTCTCCGCAATGACGAATTGGAAGGTCACATTCTACTACGCAAACAGCTTCTTCATGTGAGTACAAGAGCCGCGTCAGCCTCGTTTCGAATCCATCAGCCACTTCTGCACTGCATCAACTGCTCCACACAGGCATCCGCCTGCTCGTGTCTCTAGCCACGCGCGATCGACTTCACACTGGTCCAGGACAATAGCGAATACCTCAAAATGCCGCTCTTCAGTCGTCGCAATCAACCGGCAGACGCAAATACCGCCACTGCAGTCGGCGGCAACCACGAGAAGCATTCTGGTCGTCGAGCCGCTCGCAACGATTATGGCGAAGCCACTCTCAACAGCAGACCATCATTCGGCCAATGGGTCAAGATGACTTGGCCTGACCTCTTGACCATGGTCGTGATGGGCGCAGTTGGCCTGGGCGTGTACGAAGCACCACCAGCTCCATCCAGATCGTTCCCAGTCACGTTCGCAGATGGCGAAGTGGTAAGAACTTCTTCCGAATTATTTCCTTGAACACTCCAGAACGATATCTAACACTGCACATTCAGGTCTACCCCCAATTCGCCTACCCCTCCCGCCCAGAAATCATCCCCATCTGGGCCGCCGCCCTCCTCGCCTCCCTCGTCCCCATCACAATCTTCCTCATCATGCAAATCCGCATCCGCTCCTTCTGGGACCTCAACAACGCCGTAATCGGTCTCCTCTACTCCCTCATCACAGCCGCAGTCTTCCAAGTCTTCGTCAAATGGCTCATCGGCGGTCTTCGACCCCACTTCCTCGCCGTCTGCCAACCCGCTCAAACGCTCATCAACGGCGCAAATTCCGGAAACGGTTTCACGAATATCATGTACGATCGCAAAATCTGCACGGGCGACGAACATGAAATCAATGATGCGCTGGAATCTATGCCGTCGGGACATACGACTGCGGCGTTTGCGGGGTTTGTGTTTTTGTACCTTTACTTGAATGCGAAACTTAAGGTCTGGAGCAATTATCACCCGGCAATGTGGAAGCTCATTGCCACATACGCGCCTATTCTCGGAGCGTGTTTGATCGGCGGAGCTCTTACGATTGATGAGTTCCACAACTGGTACGATGTTTTTGCTGGAGCGGTTATTGGAACTGTCTTTGCTTTCTCATCGTACAGAATGGTGTATGCGAGTGTCTGGGATTTCAGATTCAATCATGTGCCTCTGAGCAGACATGTGCCATTTACATTCTCGAACTCTTTGGGACCTTTCGGTGGATTCCACGACGCGATGTGGACGAGACAGGTTGGGTGGGGACAAGGCGGTGCTGCGGGATTGGGTGGTGCGCCATTTGATGTTTCGAGTGATGGGGCTTTTGGTCCTGGTGTCGGAGCTGCTGGTGGTCTTGGAGATGGTGGACATCATCACTCGGGCATCGCGCGCAAGCCGATTGGAGGTGGTTCTCCTAGAAGGGGCGAGCAAATGGTCTGAGTGAGCGATTGTTAGCGGGTGAACTGCAGCTTTGCATATGCTGCGAGGTCACGGTGACGATGGAAGAGTAGCGACAGTTCGACTACTCTGAGATACCCAGATACGAATGTAATGTCTTGATTATCATGATGCAGCTGACTCTTTCCATTCCTCCTCTTATCGTTGCGACGCTCACGACGAACGGAGATGTCGCAACGAGCGTGGCACCTGCATTGGTACCACCACGACACATGCAAGCATCGATTGGCGTAAAGTCAATTTGCGTATGCATGCCCAGTCTGTCACCCATCTCAATCGCTCTTCTCAACTTGCGCCACGCCGAGGAACGCCTCAATGTCTTCCGTCTCCTCCATCTGAACAGCCCTCGGATCCTCGCTACATCCTTCATGTTTGATAAGCCTCTCGAATTCCTCGCCGAGTGCCTGCTCCTCTGTTTGCTGAAGCTGCTCTGTACTCTGCACAGCACCACTTGGCTCGCTGCCACTGTTGCCATCGCTGACAGTCCCGGATACTGCCTCCTTGACAGTCTCGAAGATCATCGCTCTCAGCTCATCCACAGTCATCGGAATGTTGAGTGTCGCCGACTGGGGTCGCTTACCAGATCCAGGAGGCGAAGGTGTGCTGAGCGCGGGGTCGATCGCTGCAGGTGTGCAGACGCGACTTGTGCTTTGCATGAACGAGTTCTGATCGGGTAGCATCGGGACTTGCGGTCGTGGTGAGGCGGTGTGCTGAGATTGTGGGAAACAGGTCTGTTGTTGTGCCGGCGCCGGTGGAGACATATTCATGTACTGCTGCGGGGACATCATAGGAGTACTTGTCGGCGCATACTGGCGGGCAGGCTGTGTCTGGGAACGATGAACGCTAGGTCGGAAGCCCTGCTGATGCTGGTGCTGGTAGGGGTGCTGCATTGCGTGCGGATAGCTTGGCATCTGCTGTCTGGCTGCCTTGCGGGACAGAGTGGGATATGGTTGACTTCGATTGGCCTTGTGTGATGGCTGACTTTTCAGCGCCTTCACTTTCAGAGGAGCCATCGGGCTGCCCAGGTAGTGCTCATCGCGGTGGAACATCATTGCTGGCTGGTGCGGCATTCCTGGTGGCTCGGAGACAGATCGGCGATGACCATGATGCTCGTGGCGCAGTGAGGAAGTATGGTGCTTGACTCCATTGCTGTTCTCGACAGATTGGAAGTAGGGTGAGGCCGGATTGTTGTTGGTGAAAGTGGGCGGGTATGCCTCGTAGACTGGCGATGGGCAGATAGTCTGATCGAGATCGGTGTTCGCGGTGGTGTTGAAATTGTACGCTGATTGACTGCTGGGTTGTGCTGCGGCGTCACTGCTGAACGTCTGGGAGAGGTCGACCACGCCGCTACTCTGTGGCTCGAAATTGGCATTGAACGCGCGAATGGTTTCCAAATCGTTGCTGCCTGTCTCTGCCTTGAGCCAGCTGTCATCAAAGCCGGAGTCCGCAAAGGGGGAGGATCCCAATTCGCAAGCCATACTGCTGCTGTAGTGGTGTTGTGAGAATTGGTCGAGAGGATGCTGCTGTGCTACCAGTTCGCAGCAGGATGCACGCGGGCGGGGGAATAAATGCCTGCGCGAACAGTTGTTCGCAGCAGGCTTGACCGCCCGTTCTTTGTGGCCTACTCATGGCACGCCTCCAACATGGCTGGCCGCTGCGGAAATGAGACATGCGGCGCAGCCTAGGAGCCAAGTGGAATTGCACGATGCAGCCATCCGTCGGGTATATATCCTGGCGTGCTGCGACCCTATGTCGAGAAGCCAATCATCCAGCGTCTTGGAGACGATGCGGCAGATGGCATGCTGGATTGACCATTGACGGCAATTTGAATTTCTCCATGCCTGCATTGCACGAGCGGCCGTTCGCAGCTGGAACATACGTGCGTCTTCAAGCAGGCGAGACATGCTCGCTCGCCATCCTCCGTGCTTGCGAGCATACTGCATGTCTCAGAGCTACAAGGCCTCAGGTAGAGCCGCCAGCGAATTCCAGTTCGCACCAGAAACATACGGAGCTTGCCCAGGTGTAGGTCGGTGCTGTAGCTCAGCTTCACTTCGACGCGTCCACCAGTCTGTACGCGTCAAGAAGTGGTCCGAGCCAGCATACTTAGCTCAACAGGCGGAAAGCATGTGCTCAAGTCTGTCTCATATCTCCACGAGCATCGCTCTGCTGCCAGCATCCGTCTACTCAATCCTCATCCTCCTTCTTCCCCTTCCCTTGATTCCACACCTCCCAAATCTGATCAATAATCATATCCGAAAAGTCCTTGCCCTCCTCAACATCCTCTTTAATCTCTTTCTGCCTCTCAGCCTTCCATCCAGACTGATACTCACGCCCTAAACGTCCCTCTTTCTGAATTTCTCCCACAACGCTCTGCTCTGTTCGCGAGGCAGGGAATGCTGCAGGTTGCCGCGTCACAGTCTGCCAAATAGATCTTCCACTACGTTCGCGGACCAGATAGTTCGCTGAGTAGCCTGTCGTGGCGATCAGGCCTATTGTGTAAATGTCGAGCTTGCGAGGTGGGAGGAGAGCTAGGATGGGACAAGTGACGAGGGCGGCGAGGGCGACATTGTGGACTGTTTTTCGGTATTTTTCAATGTCGGGTTGTGGGGATTGTGGTTGTTGAGATGACATTGTTTTGGCGATAAATGCCTAAGGCGAGAGTAAGTGTGAGAAAGGAAGGACAGAAGTGTTGTGAATCTCAAAAGTTCGAAGTCGAAGCGTCATAGCTTCTGCTAGTCTCAAGCGCAGACCCCTCACAGCGAGTGGGCCTCGGTCGTGAGACTAAGCTTGGCGCCTGACCTCCTTCTATTAAGCGATATATGTTCACGGACAATCATCATTGCTGTCCATGGTTCTCTTCGCAGACTCTCTATCATTGGCTTCTGAGCGTGCGGTGAGCGTGAGTCTGTCACATGAGCGCGCACTCGGGTCACAGAACGAGAGATTTTGCATGTAATTTTCTTTCGAAGGAGAAAGAAGGAAGCAGTAATGTTCCACATTATCGGTACGCGAGATCAGGCCTTACTACATGTAAATCGCCGGTCTCAGAGAGTCAGAGTGTCCAAGATCGCACACATATCGCCTTATGGTGGCAGTGTCGGCACAATGTCATCCATATAGTCCTCGATTGGCTCGCCCCTGCCCCCGGTAGTCGTGTATCTCAAACACCCAGCATCCGTGCTGCCACCGACACCCTCATTGTTACATCCCGCATGATTCGTCATGAAGATCGCAATGCATGCCGATGCATCCCAGTCCACCCCATGAGGGTTCTCTTTCTCAGGGTACCACTTGAAATCAATCTTCTGCTTGTCAACGAGTTCGCCATTTCCATCTCTCAGCCTGCATCCCGGAATCCACGAGACGACGAAATCGATGTTGATCTGATCACCACCGGATGCTTGTTCTCTATGGATGAATGGCTTACTCTCGGGAGTCAACTCCAAGTCGCCAAATTTCTTACAGACCTTGTCGGCGAACATGTTTACGTTTCCATCGTGAACGTCACCGTGCCCACGGAATTTTGCAGGGTCGTAGCATTTCCGTGTGACGTCTCCCAAGTGTTTCAAGTCTCGGAAATCAGGAAGGGCCGTGGCGGAGATCGAAGGCGCGATGGAAGTCGAGGTGGTGGGATCCGGGACGAAAGAGAACGATACAGTCAACGGGTCATAAGATGTGGTCGAATCCGGGACGTAAGAGAATGACAAAGATGATGTAGTCGTGCTCGATGCCTGCGCAGCTGACTGCGAACTAGCCGGAGCGGCTGTGAAGGGTTCTGGCTCGTCCGGCACTGGCGGCAAGGTGAGCCACGGAGGTATTGCTATGCCAAAGGAGTTATAAGTTGCCGGTGCGTTGTATAGTCTCGGGAGAGCCAGCGGGCAGGCGATGTCGGAAGGCTCTATGATGGAGGACGTTGTTGTAGGTTCGAGATCACAGCAGGTCTCTGTGACACAGCTAGTTGTAGAGCAGATTGTAGTGAACGATTGTGAGTTGGCCACGCTTGTGAGAGATACCGAGCAGCCCACAAGGCAGCTGCTGACAGTCGTTGTTCCGGCTGAGCAGGAGCTCGTCGAGCTCTGTTCTTCATTTTCCGGGTCTTCCTCTGGTGCCTTGTCTGAACCTTTCGCCAGTTCGGGGAGAATTTTGGTGATATCAATCAGGGTATCCAGTATTTCTTGAAGTTCAGCGTGAACACCTCTTGAGATCGAGGTTATCGCCTTCGTGCCAATGTCTATGATGCAATTGAATGCACCAAACAATGAGTCCAGGCATCCTCCGCCTCTATCACCGCCGGTGATTCCCTTCGAAGTTTCCTCAGCCATGTGTGAAATCGTTCTCAACCCCTCGATTATGGGTTTTGGATCGATGTCGACTCCTCTGACCCAGTCTTGGAGACCTGGCGTTGTGCGTCGTAGTAGGCTCACAATAATTTCCACCAGAGCTTTGATATCAGTTGCATCAGGCGTTGATGATGACGTGGGAGAAGGCAATGCTGAGAACGGTGGCACTGTCGGAAAACCCGGAGGCGCTGTTGTAGACGACGACTGTAATGGTGGCAATGAAGGAGACTGTGGTGGTGCAGTAGGTGGCGCAGGAGACGGCAGTGAAGGTAAAGGGGCAGGAGGAGTCGAAGTCCGGCTGGTCAAGGATGGTGGAGACCCAGAAATAGGTAGGTCGGTCTGACTGGATGGTGCGGGGGAAGACTGGCCACCTGTGCTCAATGCGGGCAATGTAGTCGTGCTGCCATCAACAACGACTACTCCGCTTGGGGCGAGTGAGGCCGATACAGTCCCACTGGTGAAGCCAGGGCCACCAGGCAACAGAGTAGTGGTACCAATAACGATCCCAGACGCGTCTTCGGAGATTGTCAGCTCGGGGTCGACACTTATCTGCACACCTGCTTCCGCTGATGTGGTAGGCGAATCATTGGTGATCGAAGGATTGGTGGTCGAAGGATTGGTGGTCGACGAGGCCAGAGTAGTTGAACTGCCGTCGACAACAACCACTCCCCCAGGAGCCAGCGAAATCGTGACAGTACCGCTCGTGAACCCAGCGCCACCAGGCGACAAGGTCGAAGTACCAACAACGATTCCAGAAGCATCCCCTGTGATGGTCCATTCGGGATTGAGGGTGATCTGTACACCTTGCTGCGTTGTCGAGGGCAAAGTATCAGAAGTTGCTGCTCATGTCGTTACTCCGGGTCCATTCTGTGAATTGGTCGGGGCCGTTGTAGTGGCGTTCCCAGAAGTAGGCTGACCTTGGCTACTTGATGTGAACGTGCCGGTACTGATGCCGCTCGTGGTCGTCTGGTCATCGCTCGGAAATCCACTTGAGCTTGTTGCAGGTGGGGTCGTGCTCGTCTGCTGGTCACCTGGAGATGTAGCTGAGTCTGCGGTAGTCCCAAAGCTTGTACTCGTTTGCTGCCCGCTCGAACTCTCAGTTGAATCTGAGGTGGCTGAGCTCAGAGAACCAGCCGATTCTGTGGTAGTGGCAGAGCTTGTGATCACCGGCTGACCGCTCGAAGATCCACTTGGGTCTCCGGCAGTGGTAGGGCTCGTACTTGTCTGCTGGAAACTCGATCCAGTTGAGTCTGTGGTAGTTACAAAGCTTGTGCCAGTCTGTTGAAAGCTCTGCGATGCAGTCGAGTCTGGTACAGAGCTAGTGGCCGCTGTTTCACTGCCCTGTCCATTGGACGACAATGTTGTAGTTTGGGAGTGAGGATCAGCTGGTGCTGTGCTGGTGACCATCGATTCACTTGGTACTGTTGTCGGGCTTGAAGGTACTGTTTCAGTCACAGCTGGTGTTGACAGGATGCCGGTAGTCGTCAAAGTGCCGCCATTTGATATTGTGATGATGATCGACTCAGACTGGGTGCCACTTGTCGACTCTCCGCCAGAATTTGTTCCAGACGTATTGTCGGGTGAGGCTGTGAGAGACGTGTAAGATGCCGGCGATTGTGTCTGGACAGTTGATCCAGGACTGTTGGCGCTGTGAGTAGTCAAGAGGGTAACCGTTGTAGTCACGTTCGTTGAGGTTGAGACGTGGAGAGTAGTGGTAATAGGGAATTGCTGTTCGGTTGTTGTGGGAGTTGTGTACGCTGGGGGTGTTTGGGCAGCTGTGTGGATGGCGAGCAGGGCGCTCACGAGGAGAGAAGTGGAGAACATGGTGGTTAGGAGTTGTTTGTTGAACTGAGATCCCATCGCGAGGAGAGCAAACCTATATACCTACGAGAGCAGCGCGAAGCATTATTCACAGTCCATCTTTGGGACGCGAAGCGCGTTTGCGCTCCGCATTCACGATGGCTCGCAGCTGCATGGTATGGTGTACGAAGCGTGTGGCAAAGGTGATGTCGAGCATTGTACTTTGATGAGACTTGAGAATCGAGAGGGCACAATATGGAAGAGATGGTGTAGTTTTGGTCATTTGATGGTATACGTTTGGAAGGCGCTTCGTGGAAGCTTTCGTAGCATGTTGCCAAGCATTTCGCAAAGCTTGTCTTGGCAAAAGTGGAAGCATCGGAAGGATCTGCTGGAAGCAAGAGCAATCCGAAGTCCTGGGCCCTCCGAGCAACTTCACACTCATCAGGTCATCACCGCCACCCCATCCTCCTCCCAGTCCGTCAAGCTCTCGTCCCACGTGATGCGATCGAAGCCACCGAAGAAGATGCCGACGCAGCTGGCTGCACAGGCAATTGACTGCACCTGCCCATCCTCGAGGATCTTGCACACAAGAACGTAGCCTTGCTCCCAGTACAGCGTCATGTCGAGGACCGCGAAGTATGTCTTGCAGAGTGGCTTTCTCGGTTTGGGCACGCTGCGCAGGAACTCGGCCGCGTCCTCTACTGTCTTTCCTCGAAATGGAGACCGCCAGTTGGGGTCAAGCGGGAGTTTGGTGTGTGGGTTCGGAGTGATTGGCTGCCCAGGCACGCGATGGTAGAAGTCTGGCAAGTTGTTGTAGTCGTCTGCCAGCCAAAGACGTTCGTTGCCATAATCCTCTTGGCTCCTCAAGACGGCCTCAATGTCCTAAAGTCTCGCGGTCAGCTTGGTGCGAGCACACACGACTTTCTTGTAGACTTACGGCCACAGGCACGTCCTCCAGCACGAACAAGGCGTAAATATCGATCCTCTCATCGTCGTCGTGCCAGCCGTGGCGGAAGAACGCGTCCTCCTCTGCGGACATTGTTGCGAGTCGACGTGGATTGAAGCTCAAGGCTGTGGTTCTGGGAAAAGCGCGGCTTGACGCGTTTGTTGATAGCTTTAGGCACAAACGAGGTGTCACAGCCCTGCAGCCTTCACATCTTCACATGCAATGCATCCACGTGATCGGCTCGGCTCACATCGCGCCTGTGCTCGTACCGATTGCGCATAGGCCAATTCTCCTCAGCACGGAGTTTTGGCAATGTACATTCTCACACAAGACTTTAGCTACGCATTTAGTGCTAACGTGATGATGCAGAATCTATCAACCAGGCTGATACTACGATGGTTCGGCCTTGCTTAGCACACAGCACGAACAAGGCTTCTACACTCGGCCACGACAGGATCGATGCCAGCTGCTGAAAATTATGTGTAAGCACACAGCCATCATAGTAATGGAGTTGGCATCACTTTCCCATGGAACTATCATGACTCTCTGCAATAGTGCTCGCGGTCAAGCATGGAGCGCGCCATTGTAACATATATGCTTGATAGCATGTGGCAATTAAAGTCAAGCATGGAATGAGCCCACGCCGTGCCCATACTTGACTGTGCCCGGTTTACGCAGTCAAGTATGGAGAGACTATATTGACTTAAAGAGCCCTTGCTCACTCCAGCAGTCAGAATGCTCACTCCAGAACCCAGCCTGCTCACACCGGAAAGCAAGCTGCTCATTCCAGGACCCGATTCAAGCATTACCATACTCAATACCCACCATGATCTTTTCTCTCCTCACCTTCCTTCGGCTGGTCGCAGTGCAACATGTCATAAAAACAGTTCCACTTGGCCAAGGTCTACCGATCAGAACGCTAGTCCCTGCGACTGTGATCGATGGCCTGAACAATCTTGACTACAATGCAACGCATGGTATTACGGCTCACTTCTCCCACGCGGAGACTTCTGGTAGCATGTACACAAACACACTCGACGACAAAGACGTCGATTGGCCTTTAGCCAACGGCGACATACCCTTCGAGCTGTCAGAGGACACAACGCTCGCGCAAGCAGATTCAAACCTGGTCAAAAGAGTTCCCGCGTATCGAGGAGTCTGCAAAATGGACTGTAAACTGAGTCCCGAAGCATGTACAAACGCTTGTTATTACCAGAATTGTATCATGGCAGGCCAGACCGTGCAATACGTGGAGCCACATGCTGGTTCGGCCGATCGTGTGCAAGCTGGTGTTGCAGTCAGTCAGGGCACGCCCTGCCAACAATGGCCGTTTGGACAACGATTTATGGATCCCAGATTGCAGGCTAATCTTACACAACTCAGGATACAGACGGATGAGTGGCCCATGTACTCGCAGCAAAGGGATGACTTCGACCCGTCAGCTACTAGACCACAGTCATCTCTGAGGTGTATAGGTGGTAGCGATAACTCTAGAGGTGGCAACACGGTCAAACGTTTCCGAGAAGGCACCGGAGAGTGGGGCCCGGGTGGCCGATTCGTGAGCGATCGCCTGGGAAGTCCGGCCAAATTTGATGAGGGTGACTGGTATGATATTGAGTTCTACTTGGGCGATTTCAATCTGAATGATCCCACCGAGCGCGCCATATACGAGTAAGTGTAGAAGGGTTCACTGGAGCAAATGTTATGATGCGCGGATTCTAACTGATCGACAGTGCCTTGAAATATTGTCACCCTCAGCCGGACTGCAAGAACGACGGTTTTCAGTTCCACATGAGCAACCTCCGTCTGACGGACCTTGGAGCATCTGGTAAACTTGGACAACCTTACGACCACGAGAAACACAACACGTACAGGATCACTGGCGAGCCCGCCGACATCAGACAATTCCACATCAGCTTGGACGTCACCGGCTTGACCAACGACCAAGTCTCCGCTCGTGTATACGTGTACGAAAATGGCGTCGAAACCGAGCTCGCGTCAAAGACCGCAGCACCAATGGCAAATGGTACCAGCTTTACGCTCCCTGCTAGCAATACTCTGCCACAGCCGATCAGGGTCGATAGACTGTCGACTGGCTGCCTGGACTTCGCAGTCCTCTACGGCACTCCGGCTCCTGGCGCAATCAATTGGTTCAGCTTCAACTCACGGGATAGTGGATGGGCGAGATGGGCGCTCAAGGAGCGCGATGGGCGATATTGCACCTCAGAGCTCATTCGGGACCCAAATCCGCAAGTGCAAATGAGTGGGATGAGGTTGAAGTGTACATTTCCTGCTTGGTGAGCGAAGAACACCAATGCACCACTCAGATCTCAGTCATCCTACTGTACTCTAGGCATGTTAGCGCAAACAGACAATCTATACACGGTTGGTAGTGTATAGGAGAATCGTGGTTTTGCAGGCTCGTGTAGCAGAGGCACAATCTATTCATCGCAGATCTTCCGCTACGTTTGGCATCTGAAATATCACAAATCTCGAATATCTCTGCTGGCTATAGCACAGTCAACAATCTCTACTCCGTTCCAAGTATTAATCTCCAGACTCACCCACCCTAACGAATCTTCGTCCCCCCATTCGGCAACTTCGCCCTAAACGCCACATACGGCTTCTTCCTCCTATCCACCAACGGCAACCCCTGCCCCGGATAAATCGCATTCAAATAATTCAACTGATTCACCGTGAAATACAAATACCCATCCTCCGCAATCGACATCGTATCAACCCAATTGATTCTCGGGTCCCGGACAAACATGGTCGAGAAAGTCGTGGCGGGGTTATACATCGTGATACCATTATTCTCCACTTGTCCGTTGTAGACAACGCCGTTCGAATCAGTCTCGAGGCCATCGGAAATCCCCTTCTCACCGAGATTCTTGACGGCAGATTGTGCGTTTGCGAGGTTTCCGGAACGGAGAGTGGCGGTTGGGACGCTGTAGAGGAATCGGCCGGCGATGACGGAGAAGTAGAGTGTGGATCCATCTGGAGAGATGGCGATTCCGTCGCTGCCGAAGGTGATATAGCTGGGTTTGATGGCTGAGGTAAGACCAGTGATTTGATACATTGGTTCACCCCAGACGTAAGGAACGGAGCCGAAGATGGCTTTTGTTTCGCGGAGAGGGAGACGGGTGCCTTTGCCTGTGCCGAGATCGACGAAGATTATGGCGTTGTTGCCTTCGACGGAGGAGTCGGTTATGTACGCTGCGCCTTTGCCGCTTGTGTTGGAGAGGTTGGGGTTACGGTCGATGCGGACGTCGTTGAGGTAGGAGTCAGGTTTCACGAGGTCGGTGTTGAAAATGATGGTTTGGACTATCTGGTTCGTGTTGAGGTCGATGTTGACGAGCTTGGGGCCTCCCGGAACTGTTGCTCGGAGCATTGGAGAGATAGGATTAGAGAGATCTTGTACACGACCTGTGTCAAGGATCCAAAGAGTATCCTTCGAGTCCACGATCACGCTTTGCACGCCGAGAAGATGGTCGCGATCACCTTTGGTGACTGGTGGGATGCTGAGTCGATTCACTGCTCCGCCAGGACTCATATTGTATGTTGCATTTGGATAAGCTGTTTCCGAATCTTCAGAAGTGAGCTCTCCCACTTGCATTGTCGGTATGAGGCCATTATAGGTGTTGGCGATATCAAGGCCAGCAGGATAGCATGCGAACTTGCGGCCCTTCGCCGAGACTGCAATGCCTGTAGGCCATTGTCCGGTGAAGTAGTGCACGATTTCGAGTGGTGGGCCAGAAACACCAGGATCGGTTCTGATATCAGACGGCCCAACAGCTGCAGCGGAGTGTAGCAGGGCCAAGCCTAGGAGGCTCTTCATTGAGGCAACAGCCATGTCGTTCACTTGTCAAAGATGTCCTGAAGTCGTGTCGGCAAGTCTCTTATGAGCTGAAGTCAACGAGCCTCGGTCGTGGCTAGCACTGCACATCATTGAACTTGATTGACCTGAATAGGTCAAACGCTTGCCTTAAATGGTGTTAGAAGAGCACGCCTCCGCCTGATCTGCAGGAACTTGGTAATAAAGTTCTCCAAGCTTTTCTTCATCTCACGATCCGATTAGCCAAGACTGAACCACGTTCGCAGCATCTTTCTCTCGCTCCACGTTGTTCTGTAGTAAAGTAAGCAAGCTATCAGAAACGGCAATAGCACTCACAGTCGGGTCCGCAGATGCATACGGCCATGAATTGACGCTTTTTGCACATATGCGTGCTATACATTGTTACATCCTACACCATTCCAAGTTTGTCCGTCCTGCGCTTTTGGTTTCGCCCATGCATGAGTCCAGTACAAATTACTCCTCATCGTCGCCATCACCACCTTTCTTCTCCTCCAGCTTCTGCACATATTCTCTCGCCAGAACAGTGACTCTCTCAGCCTGACTGCCACCAGCATTGCCCTTCTTTCCCTTCTTGCCGCCCACAGGCATTGCACCCTCCTTGTTCTCGAATTCTAGCCACTTCTTGAAAACGAACTTCGCTCTTCTCTTCTTCATTGGCACCTTAATGGTCCTCTCAAACAACGCCCTCGTCTTCTCGATCGCCTCGGCTTTCGCTTCATCGCTTTCGCAGTGGGCTATCCTGCTTCGCTCGATGTCGACCCACATATCCCAACCCGAACTCCATTTCGGATATTCGTCGAGTATGTTTTCGAACATTGTGCGACCACGCTCAGGGTCGCCAGCCGCTGTTCGGAATTCTAGGGCAGCGAATTTGGCTGTCAAGAGACGATGCTCGCTTACGGGGACAGATTGGAGAGCTTTTGACAAGAGCGCGTGAGCTCGCTCAGGCTTGCGAAGGTTGTTGAGCAGGAAGGTCGCGTAGTTGAGCCAGACGTCTGGGGAAGCGCGGAAGTTCTTGTTGGCAACGACGCGTTCAAATATGCCATCTGCTTCGTTGTGTTTGCCCGAATCGATATAGATGGAAGCGAGTTTCTCGTGCATCTCGAGAGGATCTTGCACTTGGCATGCATTTTTGAAGACTCCCTCTACGGTCTCATCGTCGCCATATTCCACTTCGAGATTGATCCACGCGATCCAGATGTTAGCCTTCTCGTCGGTCTCGCGAATGTTGATGGTGCGCAGAGCACGTTCGGCGATGTTACGTGCTTGTTGGACCTCACTGAGTCGGAGCTGGAATGCCATGTACTCAATCCAGAGACTCGAGTTGTTGGGCTCACCAAGAAGTCGCCTTTCGAAATCGCTGTTGCTTTGAGGTCCGTTCTTGTCCAGATCGCCAGTCAAGTCTTCTTTGATCTCTGATTTTCTCTTCTTCTTTTTGACGGTCATGGTCTCCGGTTCGGATTCGTAAGCGGCGCCGTTCGTCTCTGCGTCGAGGCTATCACCTGCCCAATCGAAGCCAGTGGTCTTCAGTCCACCACTTGCTGCCGCAGGCTCTTCATCAACATCCATGGCATCTTCTGCTGCATCCTCGTCGTCGCTGTCTGCATCTTGCACGTCCGCTAGGTCAATATCGATGCCGCCCTCTGAGTCGTCTTCGAGTTCAACACCGCCATCCATGTCGACGTCTTCGTTTTCACTCTCTTCTTCCTCATCCTCGTCGACTTCGTCCCTTTCGTTAGCGAAGTAGCTGGCTTTCAAGCCCAAGCTGATCTTGCGGTTCTCAACATCAACACTCAGCACCTTTGCCTTGACCACGTCGCCAGCACTGTACAACTTGCGAACATCCTCGATGCGTCGAGCAGCCACTTCGCTTCTATGGCAGAGACCAGAAAGTCGGGGTTGGGTGTTGTCGATGTCGATGAAGGCACCGAAATCCTCGACTTTCCTGACCCTTCCAGTGACGTTCATGCCCACTTCAATGTCCGTGATGCCGAGAGGCGGCTCGTAGTGGCCACCAACATGGGACGGCTTCAAGCTCAATTGAATCTGTCTGCTTTCTGTGTCGACAGAGAGAACGCGGCCCTTCACAAGTTGATCCACTTCGAAGATTGACCGCCATTCCTTCACGAATTGGTCACTCAGATCTGCGATACGAACGAGAGCATCCACGTCGGCGCCAAGTGAGATGAAAACTCCCTTGTCCGCGACCTTCTTGACAAAGCCGCGTACGATGTCGCCAGCCTTCACCTGGGAGACATTCGAGATGTGGTGATCCTTGACAGGCAGGCTGGAGCTCAAGACCTTAGATGGTCTCAAACTGACAAAGGCTCGCTTGTTTGGGGTATCGACGCCGATCACGCAGACACGCACAATGTCATTCTTGTTGTACTGCGCAAGGTTGACCTCATCGTAGTCGTCGCTGAGTTCGACCAATGGCACATGACAGATCAGATCTTTCGCGAGTTCAACAGTGACTGCGCGCTCAGTGGACTTGATGACGCGTGCAGGGAGCACCATGCCCGGTGACAAGTCTTTGAGCGTCAAGGCGGCTGATGCTTCATCCTGTCTGGCAGTGAGGTCTAGTCGACCAGTGCTGATATCGGCGGCCTTGACCTTGACACGCAACGCACACCCCACGCGGAAACGATTTTCCACATTCTGCAATTGGCCGACGTCGTTAGACAAGTCCATCAAAGCAACTCGGCCCCGAACATTTGGCGAGAGATTAACCCAAACACAGTTTTCTGCGTGGTTATTGACAAAAGCGAGGTGAGATGAGCCCGCTTTCACGGAATCAAGCTCGAGCAAAGACTTGTCGTCCTTTTCCACTCGGGATTTCTTTGCAGAGAGCTCGAAGACCGGGGTCTTGCCCTGTCTGTGGCTAAAAGGTAGGAAGCGGTGGTTGCGAGCATCATGGATACCCAAGACCTTGACGTCGATCAGATCGTTTTGTTTGAAATTCTGCAAGGGGGCTGCTTTGTTGGCGATCTCTTCCCAAGAATCAAAGACTTCGCTCACATCCACTCGCCCTTGAACATTGTCTGCAAGTCGGACATTGATTTGTGTCGCACGGACGGAAGCAATGCGCGCCTTTGTGATTCTGCCTGGCTCCAGATCTGACATCGACTTCAGAGACGAGTCGATAGGTTTGCTCAGGGCGTCGAGAGTAGCAGGCGCAGAGCTACTAGTTTGATCTGCAGATGCCGCTTGCTCGCGCATGGTCAAGCGAAACCGCTTCCCTGTGTGGTCCATGTCGAGTACCCAGAGGTTCAAAGTTTGGTCCTTGCGCATACCAAATTCAGGCTTGCTCAAAGACTCGGCCAAGATCTGACTCTTGGGTAGCAGACCGACGATGCCATTGGCGAACTCGACATAAACTGCGTCGGCTGTGGTGTTCCTCACGAATCCGCGAACCTTGACTCCTTGAGCGATGTCAGAGAAAGTAGTGATCAGCTTGTCGGATTTGGCATCTTCGACCAAGCTGGGCTTATTACTCAGCAGCACGGTCTGGCTACGATCCTGTTTGTCAAGCACAAGCAAGTTCTGCAACTTCTGCCCGACGCGGATGCGCTTTGCCTCCTTCTCAGCCTTCGCGAGAGAGCCATCGACCAAGTGCATCACACGGATGATACCCTTGAGCCCACTCTCTAGATCGACAGAGATAGTCTCGGAGGACTTCTCAGTTACTGTTCCACTGACAAGCTGTCCGCCAGAGATATTGTTCCAAGCCTGCTCCTGGTCCTCGTCAAAAGCGACGCTATCTTTGCATGTGACCTTCATCTCCTGGGCCTCGGGACTGACAGAGACGATTTTGACGCGGATGGTTTGTCCGAGCCGGAAGTGCTGCTCTGGACGCTCAATGAACGTTTCGCTCATCTCTGCGACTGGCAACCACGCTCTGACGGGGCCATAAAATTGAACGACAGCTCCATTGGGATGCAGCTTGATGATGGTGCCCTTGCTCTCCATTCCTGGTTTCAGATCATCGTAAGCTTTCCAGATCTTTCCGTCGACATCATCCACCAGCTGCTTCTTCAAGGTAAGACGAACATGTCTCTTCTCTGTGTCCACAGATAGGATTCTTGCCTTCACTGGGAAGCCTTCGCGGTATTTGCGTTCGGGGTTCTTCAGCTGCGCATCGCTGATATGCTGTTCCGGCACGAGTCCAGTGATGTTGTCGCTCAATTTAACAAGGATTCCAGTAACGCCTGTGGTGCCTCCCAGAATGATCTTATCCACTGTGCCATTCACGAGGTCACCGACGATGAGATCTTCCAAACGCAAGAAGGCTTGATCAAGCACAGACTGTTTCAGTGATACATAATACATGTTGTCCACCGGACTGTAGCCAATTATGCGTACTTTGTGTGCAGAATCGATCGTGTAGGAGCCCGATGTGGATGACAGTGAGTCAATTCGCTTGTCCGATATTTGCGAGATGTGTGCAAAAGCGGTCGAGACGCGCTCCTCCCGTCCCACTTTGGTGGATATCCTGAGATATAGTCCTTTGTTGGGCGAGACCTGGGTAATTTTGGCCTTCTCAACGATAGACGACATTGGCAGCATTTGCTCCAGCTCAGCCGCTTGAGCCTTCAACGATTTCGTTGCAATATCGGGGAGTCTTCCAGGAGGCGGCACAAGCGACAACGTGTGTGCAAGGAGCGAAATTCCCACCCGCCGAGCGCCATCGTCCCCAGGAATTGCATAAATGATGCGAGCCGAGACTTTGCTGCCGACCTTGTATTTTTTGCTGACGTCCTTGTCTTCCAGTCCGATCACCTGCGCATGGATGACATCGGCTGTCACATCAAGCATGCCCATGATCTTGCCGGCGATGCCCTGTACTCCAGACTCGGTGATCAAGACAGTGACAGCAGTACCGGGGAGAAATGCATCCACTGATGGCGCATCGTTGACAGTCGGCAACTTTTTGTCGCCCAATGCCAGCGACATTCTGCTTGGGTCTGGAGAGATCTTGAGGACTTTTCCATTACTGCCCTTGCCAGTGACCAGACAAAGCATCACCTGTCCGTCTTGTATCTTTTCCAGAGTATACGCCGAGCCCAGCTCTTTCTTGCTCACAAAGCCCTTGACACTGTCGTCCGCAAGACCAAGATCCATGACTAGACCATGATCTTCGACACTTCTGACAGTTGCCTGTACGGTGCTGTTGACTACCACACTCTCCTCTGGTAGACCTCCATTGACTGCAGAAGGGTCCAAGGACAGCTCGATGTGCTTTTTGCTCTTTCCCTCTGCTGGATCTGTGCCAGTGGTAGTGACAACGGCGCGTAGCCATTGGCCGATATGGAACAACTGCTTTAGGTCGATGTCTTCGTCCTCGTCGCTGTCATCGGCGCCAGATTTGGCATCGTCCAGTAATCGCTCGATTCGCGTCGTCAATCGTTCTGACACAGAGGTGATGGGCACATATCCTGTCAGGTTATTTGGAAGCGCAAGGGCGATGTCTCGACCAGTGATTGCTGTTACTCTACCAAGTACAACACTGCCCACAGCGAGTGACTTGTAGCTCAGCCCTGATATTTTGATGCCACTTCCATCCACTTTGGAAACTCCATCGCTCTTTCGTTCGGCCTTGCGCTTTTTCTTCGATGCAGGTGCAGACTCTGCCTCGTCAAACAACTCGCCATCATCGTCCTCAGCACCGGCCTTTTGTCCCGTCTCTTGCTCGAACAGAACATCGCGCTCTGCCTGTGCCTCAATCTGCTTTCGCTCTATGGGCGTCAATACACTCCCGCCGCCTCTTGGGAAGGCAGTCTCTTCCTGCTGCAAGATTGACTTCACAGGTGCCTTCTTTTCTCCAGGCTCGCCGCCACTGCGTGCCAGTCGCTCTTTTTTCTCCTTAGCATTCCGCTTCTCTTCCTTCCGCGACTCGGTCCTGTCCGGTTTGCTGGCGCTCTCTTTCACTTCTTTCACGTCTGCCGGCTTTGCCTTTTTGCTTGGCCGCTCATCGGTGACGGCCTTTCTTTTGACGGGTGCCATGGCAAATGTGCAGGGCAGAGCCGAACAACAGGTGAAGTGAATTGTCGAATTATCGCAAAGCTCTCTCACATCTTTCTCCGCAGCTCGCGCAGCACCGACTTTTTTCGAGGTCGGCATGTCGGCGCTTAGTCAGGCCGAAACCTTAATTCCTCACAGACGCGACTCTGCTCCTCTCTACGCGTTTCTCGCGTCTGCACTGTAAAGTGGCCGGCCACCGCTCCTCTTCCCACCTCTACTCTCTGCCTTCGCGTCTGCAGTCTCCCATCCGGCCTGCAGCATCGCGCCTTGCTCATCTCAAGTTAATCATCATGGCAGACCTGCCGCCTCCGTCATCTCAAGAGAGTCACTACTTCGAGCAGCATCAGATATCCATCGGGAAAGAAAACTTCCAGTCTTCGCCTCCCAGACCGCAGAGCAGAGCTTCCGATGTTCACAGCACCCAGCGAATCAAGGCACTGCCGACCATCACTCCGCGCCGATTCAAGAAGTTTTTCCAACCGCAAAAGTCGGTCTCGTCCAGGCACAGTCGCACGAGTCGAGCTGGCCGACAATTGCGAGACATCACCAAGAATGGAGTCAATCGCAGGGCCGCAGGCGAACTCAAAGTCGACGACTTCCTGGGCGAGTCGGGTTTCGATTCGACAAGACCGCTGAAGCGTCGGAAGTTCTCAATCGATGTGGGTAGTTCGCCGCTGCAATCTTCGCCACTTCGACACGGGCAAACAGTCGAACCCATAGACATCTTCGATGACGAGCTTTCCGAGGCAGAGACATTGCCCGATCTGATGCAGCATCTCCAACCATTTCCAAAGCCAATACAACGACTGCGCCGAACTGGCCCTTCCCGACGTATCATGGAGCGAAGTTTTGGTGGCTACACGGCGACATCGCGAGGCTTCCGAGGCGTCGATCATGCTGGGGACTGGCGAGCAGAGACTTCCGGCTTCGTGACGACTCCCAAGGACTCTCGTGTCTTTCGTGGGTCCGCTTTGCCGTTCTGTACCGTCGCATGCAACACAAACCCGCTCGTCGCGGTAGGCGATGAAGAAGGCTCGGTGCATCTACTGGACTCATCGGAGAGTTCCGACTTCAGCAAGACGCATGTCAAGTTCAAGGTGCACAGCAACGCTGTCATGGACATTGCCTTCAGCTCTGACGACTACATTCTGGCAACAGCGAGTGGTGACCAAACGGCTCGCGTGGTGGACATGCAATCACAGCGGACCATCTGCATCTTGACAGGACACAAGAGCAGCGTCAAGCAAGTCCGCTTCCAGCCCAACGACGACAACATGATTACTACGAGCTCTCGCGATGGTACTATTCAACTCTGGGATCTCCGCTGCGGCAGCAAATCTGCAGTACAGAACTTCCGAACATCTCTTAAGACTCGCAGCGGCGGCACTTCTCCCGAGACACGTTTCGGAAAGTCTCTTGATGTTGGCTATGGACACATGTCTGACAAGCGGCCATACAACATTGAGAACAGAGACGAGCTATCAATCACCTCGTTCCACCACCTGCCAAATGGAAGGGAGCACTTGGTGGTTACCTCTAGCGAAGTGGATGCATCAGTCAAGCTGTGGGATCTCCGCAATGCCGGAATGTCTTGTCGCAAGGCACCGGTCCCTCTATCAAGCACTTCCGTGCCAGCCGTGCACAATAGCAAGCGCAACTTTGGCATCAACTCTATGGCGCTATCGGGCGATGGCAGCAGACTGTACACTGTCTGCAGAGACTGGACTGTCTATGCGTACTCAATGAATCAAATCGTCCTTGGCAATGCACCCGAGATGTCGACTGGACCCAGTAGACGCCGCATGCTGAAGCAGCCGATGTCTGGGATGGGACCACTGTATGGCTTCAAGCATCCACAGTTGCGCCTGGCTACTTTCTACATCAAAGCGGCATTGCGACCTGCAGCGGGTGACAAGGGCGAAATGCTCGCAATCGGAAGCTCCAACCATTGCCCAGTCTTATTCCCGACCGACGAGCGCCATGTGCCTCGTCCTGAGCGCCCATCGCAAGAACAGGACGATGACGATGACGACGAGCTCTTCGTAGCACCGAAGTCTTCGCAGCGCTCGTCAGCTTCAGCCACCGCAGCCTCGGACCTGCCGATTCACAACCGTGGGACGGCCTTGATCGGAGGACACCATAAGGAAGTAACATCAGTAGCCTGGACGACAGAAGGTAACCTTATATCAGTCGGCGACGACTACTCAGCCCGCTGCTGGCGTGAGAATGCAACGATGGCTCGCCAGCTGAGGATGAAAGGCGACTTTGGCGGTGAGAGATGGAGAATGGGTTGGGCTGATGTGGATGCCGTGTATGACCAGGAGGAGTGTTGAGAAACATTAGCATTATGATGGCAAGGCATTGGAAGCGAAAGCGTAGCGAGGCATTTTTCGAGCGAGCGACCTGCAAGGAACAGCTGTACATTGTATGAATTATGAGCGGGATACAGGGTCTAGAAGCGGCATTGATGCCAGCGTGATAAGCACAGAAGAATACAATGGATCTTCAGAGGACAGGGATAACAGCATTGCATAAATAGATGCATCGAACTATCTACCATATGTTACGACTTCATTCGACTCATGTCGATCGCATTTGGCATGGCACAAGCTCGGTTGGCTTCGTTCAAGCTCGCTTGACAACACAGAAGTGAAGTCGTCATTCTCTACGGCCAAGATCACTCGTGAGGTCTACTTGACTTCTGCGGATACCTCTTGGCTGGGCGAAAGTCCGTTTTACTTCGCCAAAGCTCGCTTGACATCGTTAATGTCGGCTTGATTCGGTATAAGCTCAATTGACAATGTCGTAGCTCAACCTACATGGTCAATGCTCAACCGACGTGTCAGTGGAGATCAACCGACCAGTCGACGCAGGTCAACCGACCCATCGCCGGAGATCAATCGACCTGTCGTTGCAGATCGATGGACGCGTTATCGGAGATCAATTGACCTGTCAAAGCTCCATCGACCAGTCAACGGAGATCAACCGACTCATGGTCGGAGGTCAACCGACCTGTCCCCAGAGATCAATTGATCTGTCCCCGGAGATCAACGGACCACCCCAGTGCTCACCCGATCTGTCGAAGATCAAGTCGTTTATCGGAGAGTCAATGACCAAGTGGCTGTGCAACAAGCTCAATCGAAGAAATAAGTAGATCGTAGCGGACATTCCGAAGCCAATGGATTTGGTTGTGTTGGTATCGTGCCTGGGAACCGCGCTTAATCCCGTCAAAAGTTCGCTTGACATCGTAAGAGCAGACTTGACAAGGCAGGAATGCAGATCGACATAGAAAAGCTCAACTGTCCGTTCCAATGCTTAGCTGGCCATGTTGAAACTCAAGTGACCATTTGAAACTTCGGCTGACATGTCAATGCTCAACCCACATTGTGGACAGCTCAACTCACACGTCAATGCTCAGGCCATATGTGAAGAGATGAACCCACCTGTCCACTACCTGTGCGAAGCTCAACCCACGTGCGAAAAGCTCAGCTGACCTGTCAATGCTCAATCGAGCTGTCGAAGTTGAACTCACCTGTCCATGCTCAACCCATATGTCAGTGCTCAGCCTACCTGTGCAGAGCTCAACTCACACGTGAAAACCTCAAGCGATGTGTCAATGTTCGATCCCACTGTCATGCTCAGCCGACCATGCCATTGACCGGTCGCCTTGGCCCTCTATTCGAATCCCGGCTGGCTTGGAGTACAGGCTTGTATCCTAAGCTCACGGGTTGAGAGTTTGGCGACGTTGGCTGATCAAGTGTGAACAGAGGTTTTCCTCCCACCTGGCCCGAGCGCCTGGTGACTGAACAAGCCTGTGCGGAAGAAGAGGACATTTGGAAAGCACATTCTAGTCAGATCAGAAAGAGCGGTTGCTGTCCTCGAGGAAATCTTCAATTCGTTCCTTCGCTTCGCAATGCAGGTAAAGTCATATTTACATGTTACAGATTATCCAACATTAACCACATAATCGTACATACATATGCAGTTCTGCAGGGCGCTTTTGTCTCTGTCTCTTTCTTCTGTTATCCTTCTTATCCACAGACATTGTCCTTTCGATCAATCTCCTGCATTAAATATATCCCTCCGTCTCCACATCCCAAGGTCCCATCAATGACCTAGTACTCCTTAACAGCGGACTCAGCAACCGTAAAGTTGGTAGCCTGGTAAGGGTTGTTGGGCTGAGTCTGGTACTCTCCAAAGTACGCATACGTAACACCATTGTTGTAGTTGAGCGCAGTGTACTGCAATTGCAAGACATTGTCATCTGGGATGTATGCGAGCAATTCCTGAGTCGCGCTGACGGAGCTGCATGGCGTGAAGAAGGTGTTGTTGGAGGAACCCTCGCAGTAGTATGGGCCTGGGAGCGCTGGGTGGTTTGGTGCGGAGCCGGAGACGGCGAGGTCGAAGGACCAGCGGCAGTATTGTGGCTCGCCGATGGCGCATACGTAGTGGAAGCGGGAGACTTCGAAGGCACCTGGGCCGCCTTCGGTGGAGGTTGTGGTGCCTTGCTGGGCTGCTGGAGCTGCGGCTGCGAGGGTTGCGGCGCCGGCGGCGAGGAGGGCGGAGAAGTGCATCTTGATGGTCTTGTCTTGTTGTTTGAGAGATGTGGTGTTGTAGTGCGGTCTTTGATTAGTGATTGGTTTGTTCTGAATGAAGGATTAAGAAGATAGCGAGAAGGATGAGTCGATTTATATGTCGTGGTGATGGTGCACGAACATGTATACTATCTCTTCGGCCCGTGAAACTACTCTCTTGGCCATACGACCCATACGAGGCCCTAGCAGAGGAATCAGAGTGACAAAGGTTTTTCTCGGTAAGTAAATACCGCAGAGACTTTGCATAAAGCGCTGTGATCCATGTTCGTGAGCTAGAATGGTGAGTGATCAAGTCGCTTTGCGCGGCCGAATACGAGGACAAGACGCGGAGCGGCGGAGATCTGGAGACGGTGCTGTCAATGTAGTGTATATGTGGTGTAGGAGATGACGTGGAGATCTACAAAGCTCCGTAGCTGTGGCAATTGTGTGAGGCGGTCAGGTAGAGAAAGACAAGGATGCTTGGGCTGGTGTGGACGACAGCTTTCCAGCTAACTTCTTTCGCTCGAGTCAGTTCCTAATTATAGAGTTATGCTGCCTTTGTAGGTCTCACCTTGATAAATATATACCGAACCATCCGATTAGTCTCTGCACTCCACTCAGGTCCAGAAATTTGAATACTAATCAAGAACGTAGTAGCTGTTTCTCGCATCATCGCATGTCCTGATTGTCCGCATCACGAAGCAGTAGCCCTTGGCATCGAGCTCATTGGGTGGAAAGTGCTGGAAGGAAATACCGCCAGTCAACGGCCTGGATTCTGTTTTTCTCTCTGTGGTGTAGTATCTGTAAACATAAAAGCAAACCTCAACTCCATTGCCTGCTGTCGACAGGTGCGAAGAGGATGCCCATACATGCGCCTACCTTCTCAGTCGCCTGCCTGGAACCTGCGTGCCTGCTCGCTTCGCCGGAAGGGTATATGCACACATAAAACTTCTGTCAGAAAGTGCAACCGAAGCGTCTCAAGGACGTCGGCAGTCGAGCAGAAGTTGCAAAACCTCAAAAAATCAAACAATATCGGTCGTCGTGCATCGTAACAGGTTGGTTGGAACTGCTTCCGTCATCAACATCTTCCCTACCGCATCCGGTAGCTCCTCAGAAGCGGACGCCTTTCCGCTGCAGATAGCTGCCTAGCAACCCATCCAGCTCTCCCATCATGTTCTGTACACCTTTTCGCTGTTCTGTGAAAAGGTCCACCATGAGAGGATGATCTGCAGCAACAGGTTTGATGCCACTCTTGTCGTGAATCAACACGAGCATATCGCGCACCTCGCTACCGTCTTCGAGCCAAGCCTTCAAGCTCTCATCAGACCAGGATTGCTGAGACGTTGCGGGTGACGGGAATGATGAGGGCGAAGGGTGTGAAGCTGACGACTTGGAAGCGGTGCTATCTGTTGATAGGCCACGGGTGGGTTGTGGAGTGGCTGCTTTGGGTGTAGCTGGCGACTTCGTCCCCGCTTCTTCGATCCCTGCAGTTATCTTCTCATGCGGCGTCACTGCAATGGGTGAGCGTGCTGTCGGTGTCGAGTCATCGTCTTCATCGTGCACACCAGACACAGCTCCGCCAGGCCCAGTAGGATGATCAATGATGCTGGGTGAGCTCGTAAGGCTCTCTGGCTCTCCAGAAGTGTCCGTTCCTGGACAGTCTTCGTTGTACGTGTCTGGTATGTGTATTGTCTCGGTGCCGTGCATGAACGTGTGGCTAGAAATTTCGACAGGGCTTTCGGACAGCCTCTCGCTCTCTTTGGTCTTGTCCTGGTCTTCAAATGGATTTGCAGTATCGTCCACTGGCGAGTCGAAATCGTCAAGCTCCACTCGTTGTTTAGCTTTTTTGGCCTTTGCGGGCTTACCTTCCTTGTCGCCAAGGTGCAGCATGTTGGTAAATGGGGCGACAGAACTCTGCAACTTGCTGATGCCACTCGGCTTCTCCGGTTGGGGCGCTTCTTCCGCTGTTTGCGCTTCAGACTCGGCGCTGCTTTTTTGTCCAAGCTCGTTGTCCGGACTTGAGGTACCCATTTCATGAGCAACCCGTGAGCCTTCAAGCTCTGCCACGAAAGATGCCTGAGTCGAATCCTGCGATGATGACCCGCGCTGCCCGTCCTCATGGTAGTCATGTCGGAACGCAGTCGGCGAAGAAATGGAGCTTTTGTCAATGGGAGAAAGCTTGCCACTGAGGTTCGGGCTGCCTCTTTGCGAGTTTTCTCGCGAGAGTTCGGTGGACACTTTCTCCTTTTCGGAATCAGCATCACTCGCCGCTTCTTTGGCCTTCTTGTCTTTCTTCTTGCTCTTAAACAGTCCACTGAGCATGCCGCCACTCTTCTTTGGCTTGTCTTCCTTTTTCTTTTTCTCCTCTTTCTTCCCGGAGGCCTGTTCAATCGGAGATGTGGTTGGTTTGAGCTCTTCAAAACTGCTGCTTCGTGCGGTATCGATTGATGGTGATTTGCCATCTTTCGCCTGTTCCTCGCGTAGTAATCCTGGAGTGAGTGTGATTCGTACAGTATCGATTTTGTCGTCTTTAAGGAATGAGTCCGTGTTTCGTGTTCGTTTTGATTTGAGCGGGGCAGCCTCTGTTTCCACGGTTGGTATGCTGTGCCCATCGATGCCTCTTGGATCCAACTCACCAGTCTTTGGCCCATGAGGCCCATCACCTGTTACACCCGCCTCTGCAAGGGCTTGCGCCGCCATTGCAGCCTGTTCGCGATCGAACGAGGCACGATTAGAACCTGTGCTCGAGCGCCTTTCTGCTTCGGGATGCTCGATTTCTGCCTTCTTGGCCTTTTCTGCCTCCGACTCGGCTTCTTCTTGTGCCGTACTTTCTGCTTCTTGCGTATTGCCATACGCAGGCTCGATAAGATTCTCCTCGTCTTCGGTCGAGTAATCGTAATCCGAGGCCTCGACGTACGTTGGTGCCGCGAATTGCACAGTCTTCGCATTGCGCCGCCGCATTGCCTTTTTTAGCGGATTTCTGGACTTTTCTGAATTGTCGCTGAGCATCGTAGCCGATAACTGTGCACGGTCAGTACGCTTTCAATTGTATGGTGGACAGACGAACATCAATGTTCCTGTGCTTGTTCAACCGCGCTAACCGTTCTGTTGGTGTTTCAATATGTTCGGCGGGCAAGTAACCTATCTTGAGTTAGTGACCTGCAGCAACGTGTGTGTTCTGGAAACATACCGATGCTGCTGTCCTTGACGACTCTGACCAGCCACCAATAGCTGTTGCTGTCGTCGAGCAATACCATCGTGTCGCCCTTCGTAGCATTCGCCTGACCCTCAACAGTGGCAACAAATGTATGCAGTGCGTAAACGAACTCGAAATCGATGTCCTCTGTATCATGTAAGCACTCGCACCCCCAACCATAATCAATCAATTGCGCATCGCGAGCAAAGAAAGCGTCGTCGTCATCATCGTCTCCGTCACTGAAATATCCGCCCGTATCGCTGTGGTCCGAAATGGTCTCCGGCATACTTTCCCAGGAGGCAGTCGAACTCGTGGGCGATGGTGGTGTGTCCAGCAGAGGATCGTCAGTCGGAAGCAAGACGCTCTCCAGGTCGAAGTTGGTCATGCCGGACAAGCTTGGTGGACGCTCATGCACGTGGTATGATACGTCGGTCGTGCTTCGCATGAAAGGATGTCTCCGAAAGGGACTTTCGATGGGACTCCTCTGCGTCGGCTCACACTGGTCGCCGTTGTCGTCAAAAGTCCATCTCCAGTCAGCGTCATGAGAATGTCCGCTGGATTCGCAGTCTCCCGGCCACAACTCGCTGGATATCTGTCGCGCCTCCACTGTTCCAGCTGGCTTTGGATCCTGGCCATACCTACCCTTCTCGAGACGATGTTTTGGCGCTGTAAAACTGAAACTGCCCGTTCGATGCGATTTGAACACAGATGGAGACGACATTTCATCAAAGGGAGAAATGTTGGCTATAGGCGAACATTCCGTCCCTCCCATCGTGGGCCGCAGCGGCATGTGCTGCGGGGTGCTCAAGAACGGCGACGAGTCTGGAGTTATGTCTGCGGTCTGGTTGAAAGACCGGCAGGTCGAGCCTGTGCCCGGGGTGCTTGTCGCAGGAGACAGACTGGCCGAGCGTGGCCGCTCTCCCCCGACGCGCAGTTTGTACAAAGGAGGCCGAAAACGCAGAGAGTACCCACCATCCTCGATGCTCGGCGAGCTCGATATCCTGTCCATCATATCATCGTCCGCGTCCCCATCTCCGTCGGCCGCCCCTTCCTCCCCATTTTGGCCATTGGTCACGCCTTCCTGCGCGTGCTGGGCGTCGGCCGCATCGTTCGTCGCCGGTTGGTCGTCCAGATTGGCGGCGGTATCCCAAGCGTCTGCCAATGTCTTCTCTTCTGAATGCCGTTCCTCGAGCACGTGCTGCACCTGCGCCGCCAGATGTGGTGCGTTGCCGTTCGAAGGAGGATGCTTTGCGTGCTCAGCGGCGGTGGGGCTATTCAGGTCTTGCAAGTCGAGCGTGTCGGCGCGCACAATGTTGGGGCGCGTCATGGCAAGAGTCGTCCTTCGCACTCAGGCTCGGGGGCCCGAAACCGCGCGACGTCGCTATTGGGAAAGGGAGCACGCTTCGGGCGACATGGCAGGGACCAGACAAGCAGAGTTTCGGGGATGATGGCGATTGTAATGGAGATCGATATGTATCAGCGAGTCTCAGGAGCGTCGGAGGGTGGTCGTTGGTGCCAGGAAATGCGGTGGCTGAGGACGTTGGCGATGGAACGTGCTACAGATCGTCGTCCCGTGCGCCTGTGCGTGGTGGTGGCGCGGAGTCTGGGCTGGGCGATAAATGGGCGGGAGCGGCGTGCGGTGTGTCGAGGATGTCGTTGTCGTCGTCACGCAGGTCGGCGCTGGGCACTTCGAGTCCGCTGCTGGCACGTCAAGGCCGACCCAAAAAGTGGACTGAATGTCGAAACAACCCCTAGCTCCTACATGAAACGACCAAGCATCTGGGAAGCGAGCCGCCAGGAAACCCCGCCCCGCTGCCCGCCCGACACACCTCCACCCTCGCTCCGCCAACCCTTGCACCGACAACCACGTCCAGGAACACCGTCTCCCTACACTGCATACATTTGTCTACTCCATCGTGTACTGCTCTGGCAATACTCTCTCCATGACATCTTTCCCGCAGGCGCTGCCCTCCTCTCAAGCAGCAGCACGATCCATGCAACGTTATATTAATCGCCAGCTCGTGCCAGGGAATCCAGAATGTCAGTTTTGCACGTGCTGTCCATCATCCATACACCTGGTGACGGTCGGAAGTTTGGAAATATCGCCGTTGGCGACCAGGAAACTCTCGCGACTCGATCTGCCAAGATTATGGCCTCTTGCATCCTTCTCAGCACCACGCTGTCTTGGTCTAGACACGCTGAGCAGGGCAACATGCGAATTTCGAAGAGATCTCGACTACTTGCTCGGACTTCCGAGGGATTGTGTATCAAGCAGCGCGACACCGGTGGGTCTGATTTACATGCGACACGGCCTTCATCTCATGGCCCCGTCCTTATCGGAGAATGATGCTCTTGACATTCACGCCTGTGACGCCCACGCCATGCGCAGCATTCCTCGGAACGCCAGAGACACGCGCATAGCACAATAGAGCAAGGCATGAGCCCGATATGGCCATCTTCAGCATTCCGACTATGCCTTTGAGCAACGTTACTTCAGAAGCATAGTCGAAATCGAGACGACAGTAGCATACAAGCTAAGTATATGTCTTTCCTTCCACTCACTGTTCACCCAGAGTGAATGCCCTTCATGGCGGGCTTCGAGGTCGTACTTCTGGTCTTGCTGAGCACAAGAGCCTTGGCTTCACCTCAGTGGTACTACTGGGGCAGCCCCACTAACTACAACAACTCATGTAGGGCGGCAGCTCCATACATATCAGCATTACGGACCTACGACGCAGCAAGCTCGCTGTGCTCATCAGTTCTGGGCCTGACCGTGAGTACGCAGAATTCCTCAAAAGACCTGCTCATATTAATGCGATGCAGGCGCAGACTGTCACAGAAACATCTACGGAGCTCACCTATATCACTGCGAATCAGACTGGTATTGCAGTAACGGCGACATATACAGCAAGTGCCTCCACCATCAGAGCGCCCGTCGTCACCATCACTGGAAATAGCTCGACTACAACTGTCTTTTCGAATACCACACATACCATAACCCGCCCGGGGCCGCTGGCCACGGCCCCAACAAGTACTTCATACACCACCCTCACGTCCACTTCAACAATATGTGGGAACTCTAGCGAAGCGTCAAATGTGGCTGCACCCGTGAAACGACAGTTCTGGGGCTGGGGAGGCAAGCCACATTGGCACCATGACGGCCCAGGTCATGGTTGGAGACAGCCACAAGACCTCCCTCCTTCTTTGGAAGATGCCGCTGAATCAGCGATTTCGTCCGCTTGTAGCTGTATGAGCCTGCCCGTCCAGAGAACGACTGTCACTGCACGAACCGCGAGTACGACCAGTGTACTTGGCAATGGCCTTCCTACCGCGTCAGCCACGTACCAGCCAATCGTGACGTGGGCAGATACAACTACTATACGCCCTGTTGTCACGAGAACAGCAACGTCGACACGCACCATCCGATCATCGGCCACCCTTACGCCTGTTATTACATCAACCATCGTCGAAACCACTACGGTCCTGATTGGACAGCAGTTCGGCACACCCACTGTAGTCCTCGCAAGCCCTACACCAATCACCGGTGTTGACGGGGACGGACTGGCGACCCAAGACTTTGACGACGAGCGATATCCCATCGAACTACCATTTCCCATTGAATTATACGGCACGCGGACACGCAGTGTTGTGGTCGCAGTCAATGGCTGGATTTCACTCGGCAACGACAGCGGCACAGTGGACCACTACTCATTCGACAATGCTCAATTGCCAAGGATGAATTCTGATGACGATTGGGGTTTGCCTGATACAGTCTTCTTGCCGTACTGGAACGATCTTTTCATTGCGCAAGGTACAGCGCAAGGACTTTATTACGAGATAGCTGGAACATCTCCGAACAGAAATGTCTCATTTGAATGGTACACCAGTCTTTATCAGCAGCCAACAGGGTACTACCACTTCATAGCCACGTTTCAGGAGTCTACACCAGGGGCGGCAGTCTTCACCTACTACCAGGCCAATGGTGAAGCACCATTGAACACCGGTAAATATGGCACAATCGGCGTGCAGAGCTTCCTGGACGATCGCTCGAGACAATACTCTTACGACAGACTGGTAGCGCCTGGGCTCGAGATTACCTACGAGCCTGCCAAAGATGTCTTCTTGCGCACTAATTCAGTAAATTGCGTGTTGTCGAGTTGAAGTGTGCTCGTAGCCACTAATCATAGACCTTGAAAGAAATGGCCAAGCCTTTGTGCTGGCACAATCCAAACGCGGTGGTCCATTTCACGTCCAGCTAATTTTCTTTGTCACATTTCTCCATCTTCCCACCTAACACGAGTAGGGTTTCCAAATGCACGTTGCTGCATCTCACTGACTCTCGACAATGTTTCGCTTGATAGAATCGCTCAGCGCAGTGCTGCTGATCGCAGGCTCGGCCTCTGCGCAACGTGAAGACGGACAGTTCTGGCCCTGCAACCCCATCAAGAATGCAACAGGCGCCTGCAAACCCAACCCCGGACTTCCAACCACCAAGTACGAAATCGACTTCACCAAGGTCTCATCCATTCCACCCGAGTGGACGATCTCCAACTATGCCACTATAAACTTCGGACCCAATGGAGCCGAGTTCACCTACAACAAACGCTGGGACGCGCCCCAACTCTGGACGAATTTCTTCATCCTCTTCGGCAAAGTCGACATCGAGATGCGTATTGCAAGTGGCGTGGGCATGATTTCTAGCGCGGTACTCATGTCCGATGATTTCGATGAGATAGGTGAGTCCAACTTTCCCCCTATTCCTTCCTGACTACTCATGTGAATGCCTTCTCACCATTTCTCTTTCCCGCAGACTTTGAGTTCTCCGGCAACAACTTCGGCAATCCAGCCTGGTCTGCTGGCGTTGGTCAAAACAACTACTTCGGCAAAGGTCTCACAGGAAATTACGATCGAGGCTCGTATTTCGAAGTTTCTCGTCCTCAGGATACTTTCCATACATATTCATTCGAGTGGCGAAAAGCGTTTCTGAACTGGGAACTCGATGGGAAAGTGATAAGGCAGTTCAGATATGATCAGTCGTCCGGCGATCAAGGGAACTATCAGTATCCGCAGACGCCATCGAAATTGCAGCTGGGGATCTGGGCTGGAGGCGATCCGAGTATGAATGAGGGGACGAAGAGTTGGGCTGGTGGTGAGACTGATGTTAATGGTGGGCCTTATACGATGTGAGTTCTGTTCTTTCCCCACGATTCGTAGGAAGTATGTTCTTGGGGATTGCGGATAATTCGACTGACGATCGATAGGTACATCCGCAAAGTCACAATCCACAACTACAATCCCGCCCACGCATACAACTGGACCGATCAGTCAGGCAAATGGCAAAGTATCCAAATCTCACAAGATAAGAAAGCACCCGTCAGCAACGTGACCGTCACCATCAAGCCTCCGAGCATGGGCACGAACTCCACGAGTGCTTCGGGGCAGAGTAGCAGCACGAAAACTATCAGCAGCAGTAGCACACGTACTACCACGCCTCCTCCTCCCGGCACAACCGCATCGACCTCAAGTCGCAGCACAAGTACAACAACCAAACGAATTACATCGACCTCCACAATCTCCCAAACCTCCACCGTATCTCTCAGTTCCGCACCACCATCCTCATCAAACACCAAACCCTCCACGAAATCTTCTTCTACTTGCAAGACATCAACGCTTACCACAACCCGCTGTTCGACCTACACCGCCCTAGTAGCTGGCTCAGACGGAAAGAAGACTTCTACGACAAAAATTGTAACGTACACGAGTACATATAAAGTTGCGGGGACGAGTACGGTGACGGGTGTCGGACCGACACCGCAGGCGGCGGAGAAGTGGGTGAATTGGGGAGGTTGGAATGAAGGGTGGTGGACGACGGATGCGGATGGAAAGGCGGAGTATGTTGGGGGAGTTGCGTAGGTGGGAGTGAGAGAGTTAGCTTTTCGTGAGACATACAAGTGTACACAATGCCGTTTGATCAGATCCGAAGTGAAGGTGTGAGATTGCTCTGGCTGATTTTTGGATTCATTGATTATGCTCGCATTACTCAGATGGCTGCGCTGTCAACGCTTGACAGACAGCCGTGTGGCACAAATTGAACGCTTCTTCTCCGTGCCGTTGTCTGCCTCCATGTCTGACTCTCCATTCCGTTCCAAGCACAACAGTTCACTGAGCAAGTGTCTAAGTCTCTGCTTGTTGATACAGTGTATCTTATTGTGGTGTGGCGCGACTTCCTTCCCTCAACTTCCTCCAGGATGACCCCTAGCCGGACCATGGCTTGCCTGGGACGAAGCTCTTAACGTCAGCACGGACGCTACCATTCAGGCCGACAGCTGGCTTACCCTTTGGAACGCTCAGGTCCACGAGATCTCCGTGGTTGGTGCGAGCGGGCAGGCGCTGGGTGACAGGAGATGCGGCGGTGAGTTGAGGTGTGATGGATGTGTTCGAGCCGGCGGCGAGCTGTTGGACGGCACTCATCAAGCTGTCGATGCGGGAGTTGACATCAGCAAGCTTAGTGATGATTCCGTCCCGGTCCTTAAAGAGGACGTCGATCTCCTGCTTCATGATATCGAAGGCTTCGGTCGAGGGGCCATTGCCTTGCTGAGCACCATTGGCACTCGTAGCAGTGGCGGCGGTCTGAGTAGCCTCTTTGATCGCGTTTGCAGTGGCAGCTGCTGCTTCGACCTGGTCTTGCTTCAAAGTGTCGAGTTGACCAGTCATCGTTGCCGATTTGCCTTCCACATTGGCGAGTCGGTCAAGACACTCGGCGATCTTCTGCTGCTGCTGCACCAAACGACCTTCACTGGCCGTGATGCGGAGCTCGTTGTTGCTATTGGCCACTTGTTGATCCAATTTGGCGATGCGAGCTTCGATGGCGTTGAATCGACCGGCCTGAGCAACAATGTCCTCCTCCGACCGAGCCAGACGAAACATGTGAGCGTGGAAGAGACGCTCCGACTCACTCTGGCGCTGCATCTCGTAGAGAAACATGGCCTGAACGGCACTTGCCGGCGGCAGACGGTTGCTGCACTGCTTACCAATGTGGATCAGGTCCTCCGGCTCATACTGCTTGATGGGAGCTGCATCGTTACCTTGGCTGGGCTTGAGAGGAGCGGCGTACTGGGCAAAGGAGCGCGCGGCAGTTGGCGCAGGAATCTCAACGTCTTGTTCCATCTTGATTGACGGAGGTGCGTGAATCGAGGCCGCTAATGGGACCGAAACGCTCTTGGAGGCGGCTGCGAAGCCGCCCGGTGGTGCTTCGAACTTGGGCTCGAATCCATCGTCCATGTCGACGAACTCGGCGGTTGAAGGTGGAGATGAGGGCGGGAGTTGGACGCCAGTGCTGTTGCTTCCTGGCGTCTCTTGGAAGGAAGCCGTCTCCTCACGGTAGTCGTCGAACGAGAACAAAGGCACCGGGTGAGGAGCACCGATGTTCGTCGAACCATCTGCCCCCTTCTTGCGAAGATGTGGCGGCGTCGCCTCTGCCAAATAGTCAGTGGTGGAATCAGCGTTGCTGGACTCAACCTACTCGCGAGCGATGACGGGTTGAAGGTCGCGGTGCGGACCGACATTGTGTTGTTGCGGTGTGTGTATGTCGAGTGGTGTGAAGAAGTGGAAGTCTTGCTCGAAGCTGAGCGATATTCGTGTGTGCCGCTAGGCGTTGCTGGCTCAGAAGGAAAGAGCAAACCCGTTGATTGACTCCTATCTCTGCAGTTGCCTGGCTCCACCCTGAGCTTCACTTGACTTTTTGGCAACGCTCGTGCTACTCTTCACGCTCTCAATGGCTGCCATTCCCGCCGGCGGCCTTCAGTCGACCATCGTGATCAGTTGGCAGAGGTGCCCAGGTCATCGTCTTCGCGGCCTTCAGGAGATCCGTTTTCACTTGACTGCTCGTTCGAAATTGTGCAAATGGTCCCCGCGCTGCCCGGACTGACAACTGAACTTGACTATGTCTCCACGATACGTCTTGAACCGGATCGCGTGCAGGAAGGTGAAGTCTACCAAAAGATATACTTGATGCGGAGTCGCCGCTGAGACCTGGCCCGTGGCAGAGTACAAGTGAGTGCCATCTTCACTATCTTACAGTCTGATTGTAGCAGCTCACTATGCTGCATTGACATGACAAGGCCGCAGTGATAAAGTGCCTGCAGACGCGACTGTATAGCGTGAGGACGTGCATACTGGACTCGCTGCCTCGCTGGTGGGGATGCTGCCTGCTAGCAGATGAGCCGGCGTGAGGGAGACATACAACACTGACCTCAGAATCGTCCGATTGTCAATGCACTCGCGTGTCTCCATCATCATCGCGTGGGCCGAAGACCGGAGATCAGAGATTGAGCACAGAGCGTGGCTGGAAGACGCGTTGGTGGGAGAAACGCGGCTTGGCAAAACATCTGTGCACGCGTCGCGCGTCAAGCCTTAAAGTCTTCCTCGTCTCTCGCGTCTTTGTCTGCTCTCACCATCCACGACATCATCTTGCCACGCTCGACTACGATCCATTGTCTTTGTTCTTCGTCGTCATCACTCCGAGCACATCTACACACATCCACCATGAGCGTGCAAACAACGCCTAGCAAGAAGGTTCGCACAATGACGTTCTCGCCGCCGGACCCTGATCTCAGTCTCTAACACATCTCTCGCAGGCAACTTCCGCCCTTGAAGCACTCAAGATGGAGTCTCCAATCAAGAAAGTGCAGTTCTCCGAGGCCGACAAGGAGAACCGCGAGTCGCAGTACGCGTCGGACGAGGTCGCCATCCCAGTCAAGGGCATTCCCGATGACCTGCCTGAGCCAGTGGCTAAGAAGATCGAGGCCGAGACGGTCAAAGAGGAGGATTCAGAGATCGAGCCCATACTACAGGAGAACCCACAACGATTTGTGCTGTTCCCAATCAAGTACCACGAGGTAAGCCAACGCGACGCGACTCGGACGCGTAAAGTGGTGGGAGGAACGCGTGCTCACGACTTTTCAGATATGGAACATGTACAAGAAGGCCGAGGCATCATTCTGGACTGCCGAAGAGATTGATCTGTCCAAGGATCTTCACGACTGGAACAAGCGACTCAATGACGACGAGCGCTTCTTCATCTCACACGTCCTTGCTTTCTTCGCCGCATCCGACGGCATTGTCAACGAGAACCTGGTCGAGCGATTCAGCGCCGAGGTGCAAATACCTGAAGCACGATGCTTCTACGGCTTCCAGATCATGATGGAGAACATCCACTCCGAGACATACTCCCTCCTCATCGACACATACATCAGCGAGCCTAAGCAACGAACATACCTCTTCAACGCCATCGACAACATCCCATGCATCCGCAGAAAGGCTGACTGGGCACTGCGATGGATCTCGGACAAGGACTCGACTTTCGCTATGCGATTGATCGCCTTCGCTGCTGTCGAGGGTATCTTCTTCTCCGGCTCATTCGCCTCCATCTTCTGGCTGAAGAAGCGCGGTCTCATGGCTGGCCTCACCTTCTCCAACGAGCTCATCTCTCGTGACGAGGGCATGCACACTGACTTCGCTTGCCTGTTGTTCTCTCATCTCAAGAACAAGCCCGCCAAGTCTGTCGTGCAAAGCATCATCGTGGAGGCCGTCGCCATTGAGCAAGAATTCTTGACCGATGCCCTGCCTTGCGCACTGCTCGGCATGAACGCTAAGCTCATGTGCCAGTACATTGAGTTCGTCGCTGACCGACTGCTGCTCGCTCTTGGCAACCAAAAGTTCTACAACGCCACCAACCCCTTCGACTTCATGGAGAACATCTCCCTCGGCGGCAAGACCAACTTCTTCGAGAAGCGTGTTGGTGACTACCAGAAGGCCGGTGTCATGGAGGGCTACAAGAAGCAACAGGCCAAGACCGAGAGCTCAACAGGGCCTGCAGCTGATGCGCCTAAGATGAATGGTGACTTTGCTTTCGACGAGGACTTTTAGATGTGTCGCGATGTACGATGTGTTTTTATGAGAACGGCGCATGGGATATGGGAATGATGATACGGCATGGCATGGCCACAGGCGTTCAGGCTGGATGATACCTGGTGGATTGAATTTTGCTCTCTCGACTCGTCTAGAGGACGATCGGCAATACAGAAGATAAAGAATACGTACAGTGGAGCGTGCGAGACGCGTCGTTGGATGAATGCGAAAGAATGTGTCAAATACGATAATGCATGAACTGCAGTTCTCCTCATCATCCTTGCCCGCCCGCATTATTCTGTCGGTTTAACTTCGCGAGGCTCGGGCATTTGCTGGCGCGGCTGAATTGAGACATGTGCCTGATGATCCGCGTCAGTCATTTCGATACCAATGCATCGCGCACGTTACGTTGTGCCACCTGAGCACCGAAATGTCGTTTCCAGCGAGTCTACGGACGAAGCGCAACGCTGCGCGCTCGTACGGCTCGCTTCGGACGTCGCATCTGACTTTATTCGCCTCTCGTGGCGCGCGCGTTGTGCAGTTTTTGTGCAGATGCGCGTGGATCCGAGTCGCGAGGCGATGACGTGACGCTGGGAGGAATCTCAAGTTCATCTTGCTCTCGTCCGGAGAGATGATGCTCTCAGCCTCATCAGCCATCCATGGCACTCAGCTTATCCTTGCTTAGCCTCTGGATCCGGTCCAGCCAACTTGCATGACGCGCGCGATAACATGATCTGAATGCTCCTCGACCACGACGATCCTCCCAGTGCGCGCTCGACATTTTTCAGCCCTCTGCGCGGAACACGGCCTGCTAACTCCGACGCTCCTCCGGATCGCGAGCAGCACAAATATCTGGCACCTACGAAACCGGCGCAGATTGGTTGAGCGCGGGGGAGATCTGGCCGTTGGACTTGATAATGCGACAAGGATCTCACAAAGTGTGCTGCTCGAGCTCCAGTCGCAGATCGCACGACGTCGACTGCCTTCTCAGGAGAAGCGGACATGACCGACTTCTTTCATGTGCCCGCCATCACTCTGACCGACCCGCATAACCAGCATGGCATTCCCAGCCCGGCGCAGAGCCCCGTCAAGGACGGCGGAGCCTTCGCGGAGGGGCTGAGCGCGAGGGTGGTGGGGGGTGGGAGACCGAGCACGCCTGGCAAGCATAATGGTAGGGACAGCGCAAGAGAGACGTCGCCGGGCCTTGGATAGGCTTCCACGCTGCGACACTGGAATGCGGAGGCTGACCAGCGACTATGAGTACAGGCCGACCCGAGTCGTCGTCGTCTTCCGCATGGGCATCGCCCGGAAGATTGATACGCACGCTCTCGACAAACGCGTCCGCAGTCGCATCCAACGGCCAAGCACGGCACGACGTCAATGCGAGCAAACCACAGCAGCAGCAACACCCCGAGCAAGCGACAGAATCCCCGGCTATCGATCCTTTATCGCAGGTAAGCGAATCTGGTTTCTCGCGTCCTCGTGCTGCCCGCAACTACGTACTTATTACCCACTTGCACTCCACTTCAGCTGCGCCGTGTCGTACTGCATGTGGTAAGCAAGGCATCTTCAGCCCGGCCTGATGCTGACTGTCGCGCGTCCACAGCATATTCTTAGACGAACTAATGCGCCACTGAGTCCTCCCAGCAACACCTCCAATTCCCCCCGACCCAAGACAGTGGATGGGCGAGTCCAGCGCGATGATGGCCAGTCACAACCTGGAGCTGAGGAGAACCAAGCCACATCGCCAGGGCCAGCTTTCGACCACCCTACCCGAACCGATACGAACGACACGACAGTCTCAGACCGGGACCGAGCAGAGTTGCGCAAGGACCTGAAGAAAGGCGTCAAGGCTGCTTCGTTCCTAAGCAGGCTCATGGGTGGCACAAAGAAGAAGGATGCTACTGAAGAAGAAATGCCCGATGAAGAAGACAACACGAGTGATGATCGACCCGAAGGCAACGATGCTGAAGTGTTCACCCAAAAGGTTGATAACATGGGCTTCAACCCACGGCATCCACAACCGCCGGCTTACATCAAAGTGAGGTCGAAGCATAAAAAGGAGAAGGATTTCGATCGATTATTCCTTGCGCAGGAATTAAATTGCGGGAAGAAGTTTGACCTGGCTAGGCAGAATACAGCCAATAAACTGAGGCGAAAGGCATCCACGACACCCGATGCGTGTGACACGGTATGGGCCATGGAATTTAGCCGCGATGGCAAATATCTTGCCGCAGCTGGGGCAGACAAAATCGTCAGAGTTTGGGCTGTGTTGGCCAGTCCGGACGATCGAGCAAAGCATGAACGCCAAGAAGCAAAAGAGAGTGAAGCAAAGGGATTCGATGCGTATGCCGAGCATCTCAGCGCTCCTGTTTTTCAGAGTACACCAATTCGCGAGTACGAAGGCCACTCATCAACAATACTAGATCTGAGCTGGAGTAAAAACAACTTCCTGTTGTCCTCATCGATGGACAAGACTGTTCGGTTGTGGCATGTCTCGCGCAAAGAGTGCCTTTGCACTTTCAAGCACAACGACTTCGTTCCATCGATAGTGTTTCACCCCAAAGACGATCGCTTTTTCCTGGCCGGCTCCCTAGACTCAAAGCTAAGACTGTGGAGCATACCGGATAAGAACGTGGCATTTGCAGCACAAGTGCCGGACATGATCACTGCTGTTGCCTTTACGCCTGATGGGAAATCTGCCATGGCAGGATGTTTGAGTGGACTATGCATGTTCTTCGAGACCGAAGGACTTCGATACCAAACACAAATACACGTTAGATCTACTCGAGGACAGAACGCCAAAGGTAGCAAGATCACTGGCATCCAGGCGTTCAACACGTCTGTCGGTGATACCAAAGTGTTGATCACGAGCAACGACTCGCGGATACGATTGTACAACTTCCGCGACAAGAGTCTAGAGCTTAAATTCCGCGGAAATGAGAACAATTGCAGTCAAATTCGAGCGAGCTTGAGTGATGATGGGACGTACATTGTCTGCGGCAGTGAGGATAAGAAAGCGTATCTTTGGTCGATGGAACACAATCATGGAGACCGACGGGACAAGACTCCTGTGGAAATGTTCGATGCGCACAACTCGATCGCCACTGTGGTGTGCGTTGCACCGACAAAGACGCGACAGCACCTGAGCAAGTCTGGAGATCCAGTCTATGACCTCTGCAACCCACCTCCAATCACACTTCTCAGCCATGCCGAACGATCTGGCGCGGAAAGCATTCGCTCCAGCTCGCGACCGCCGTCTGTTACCGGAAGTATAGCACCATCTGAACAAGAAAAGCAAAATCTCCCAGCGCACTATGTGGCTAGGACCGCGCACAAGGACGGGAACATCATTGTGACTGCTGACTTCACTGGCAAGATCAAAGTGTTCCGGCAAGACTGCGCTTGGTCGAAGCGACAGCGGGACGATGATCGGGTCTCAGTGTTTTCTAAGAGAAGCACTAAGACTGTTGCTCGTTCACTTGTGTCGAAACCAAGTCTTACAAGCTTGCGCGAGCCAAGGAGGTCTACATCAACCACAGTTGGCAGTGATCGGATCATATCCTGGCGACAAGGAATATCGGGCATGACGCCGATGAATGACGCGCGGTCCTCGGCAAGGACATATCCGCCTTCGCAGGCTTCCACCAAAGTCTCAAGTCAGGACCGAAGCGTATCGCCGAGGAAGTCGACAGACAGTAAGCGAGGACGAACAATGCCTGCGACGAATGAGCGGTCCGATAGTGTCCGCTCACCTCAGACTCAACACCCTCTGGCGGCCGACGTCATGGTTCGCTCTCCTTCACCCATAAGTCGACAACCGACAAACGGAAGTTCCAATCCCAGCAGGCACGCTGTCGAATCACCGAACACAATCCCTTCGCGATCTTCACCGCAGCAAAAGGAGCATGAAGAGAAGAACCCTTTGAATATGGATACCAATGGACGATCTTACATGTTCTACGATCCCAAGGTCTGGGAAGAACACGCGAAGCGCATCCACCATACACCTCCTCCGCAAGATCAACAGCATGCCGCTCCTCAATCGCAGCAGCAACCTTCAGAGGACCATCACAACGGAGTTCTTCAACCCGGCGGACTGCTTGATAAGGACCCACCCCATCTCGACAAGGATCTGGAACTGTCTCGAGCGCATACCCAGGCGTCGTATGTCAGTAAACTATCTGATGAATTGACAGACGAAGAACTCAGCGAATATGAAGACGCGAGGGAACATGAGGAACAGTGTCGCAATTGTCGCGGGAGGAGCTTTAGTGCGATCAAAGGAAAGGATGGGGTCCGCTTGGTTTGTGTGGGGTGTGGGAGGGAATCGTGAGGCCATCTCTTCTTCGGCCATGCGACTTGGGAAATGGTGGACGAGTGGATTCTTTTCAACATCACTCACCATGGCAGGTGTTATTCTCATGTGTTATGATTAGAGCGGAGGGAAGAACAAGGCAGGCAAAGCATTACAGAAGAGACAGATGTGTATATATATTGACAGAGAAGGGTTCAAGAGATGGCGCGTATTAGGGAACTGGTTTGCTTGCGTGGGATGGGCATTTGCATGGGAAGGAAGGGATTGCATATATACAAGGGCGTGTAGATGATGACTTTCTTTTCTGTACAATGCATTTTTACCTTTCAATATCTTGCTTTCATCTATGGTTCGTTTGGACGAGTGGCAGACGAACCAGCCGTGCAGTTTATGAGTCTTCATCGATATGTAGATGACGAAGAGGCATAGGTTGTCAGGACTGGCAGTGTTTCGATCCTTGGCTTGACCGCAAAAGCTGGCTTGACCGCGTAAAAGTTGACCTGACCTCGTTCGCGGGGTTCCGCTACCAGGCCAGCTTTTTCGTTTGTCAGGTCTCCTCTTCCACTGTCAGTTCAGATAATTGGACCGCGACTTTCTTCGTACAACACGTTCTTGACACTTCGTATTTTCGCTCGAAGAAGAGAAGTCGCAGAAGGCTAGCAGAAAGGTGGCAAAGCGATAGGCAATGAAAATCGATACAATACGGACAGACAGAGGTTGGGTTCTTCGATTCTTAAGTTGACCTTGAAGGACTTGGCTCGACCGCTTGAAAGCTGACCTGACATCGGGACCCCGCAGACGCGGTCAGGTCAGTTTTCAAGCGGTCGACTTAGCTTTCAAGCGGTCGATTCTGCTTCCAAGAGGTCAGGTCAGCTTCCAAGCGGTCAGGTCAGCTCCCAAGAGGTCAAGTCAGCTTTCAAGAGGTCGACTCAGCTTCCAAGATGTCAATTCAGAACCATTGAAGAAGTCGAATATGCTTTGCAATAGCCCCAAAGGAGGTCAAATGGTAGTGAGTTTGCATACGTTCCAGATGAGTTGTGGTATTTCTCGAATGCTAAAGAACTCATGAGGCTTGAAGCAGTTCGTCGGGCTTGTTCGCTGACCTGACCGCGCTCTCTCTCGACGAGGTCGAGCCAGCTCTTCCGAAGTCGACACAACAATGCCGACAGCTTATTGGCCAGGTGACCCAAGATCACAGTATCTTTGTGCTGAGATGACTATTTGGGGCAGTCGCCGTAGCATTCAAGTGGTCGCCTTGGTTTTTTAGAGGTCGCCTCAGCGACTGTGAGACCTCTGACGTCGGAGAGAACGAAGCACATTGCAAAAATCGATTCCACGTGCATTCGATGTTGCTTGTCTCTTGCTGCGGTATCCTTGACCTCTTTCTCATCTATTCATGTCTTCTCGCTGCTCGCGTGAAAACCAAGTCACTCTCTACTTCACTTTCGCAGTCTTCCGGCGCCCCGTCCTTCAATATTGCCTTCGCTTTCACGAACTGCACATCCGCGATGTCGACGACAGTCTCGAAGCCTTTCTTCTCCACAGTTTGAATACGACTCACGCTCGCAATGCCGCCCCAAAGTTCCCACTCTTTCACCTCAGTCGCTCCGTTCCAGCTAATGTACACTCTTGTGCCTTTTGGAGCGTCCATTGCGCCAATGTATTCTGCCACGATTTGAGGCTTCGTAATCTTGGGACATCCGACCCAGCGACGCTTGAAGCCACGATAGGAGAGCGTGCCACGTCCACCGCTGAAGTAGCCGCCTCCAGGACGAAGGGTTGCGTTACCAAATTGGTAGGTTGCGACTGTGGTGCCGTTGGGAGAGAATTCCTCGAGAACCGGGATCCAGCCATTTCCAGTGAAGTAGTTCCCGTTCTGCATTTCGGAGAATGACCCTTGAGCAGTAGGAAAGATCGGTCCTGAAGCGTTATAGTATTTGGATCCTAGGAGCGCGACCTGCTTGTTCTTGAAGTTGACTTCGAGGAATTTGCCGGAGGCAGGAGCAGTATTGTTGTCGATGGGACAATTGTGATTGTCGTGCAGGCGGATCACAACACAATCGTCAGTCTCGTTCGCCACCCGAATGTGATGCTGATAGCGGAAATCAGCACCCTCACCCAACGTGAAACCATTGCCCTCGAACCCTTGCACTCGCCAAATCACTTTCCCCGACTTGTCCAGGGCGATCGCGCTCGATAAGTACCTTGAGCTCAAGATATATCCTCCGTCTCCGAGCGGTGCGACAGAGTTGATGTGGAAGTAGCCCCAGGCCTTCTTCTGCTCCGAGCCATCGAATTCTTCACTGCCCAACGGATAAACACTCGCGCTGAATGGTAACTCATCCAGATGATCGAGACTCTTCCATGAGAACAGCACCTCATTCGTCTTCACATCGATCTCGTACACCTGTGCCTCTACAACCCAACCTTTCTCGCCACCACCTACACTTCGCAAATCCGCCTGCGTGATATTATTCCCCAAAACCAGAATCGTCCCTTTCTCAGTCAAGTACATCTCGTGCAAGTCAATATTACTCTCAAAGGTCTGACCTTCCTCCAAATCGACAAAATTTCCCGGTAAAGAGACTTGCGCAATCTCTTCATAGTGCTTATTCAGAATGTGGATCGATCCATGTCCGCGTCCAACTGGTTCGGGAAAAGAAGTTCCGTTCCAGTAGACGAGAACATCTTCATCTTTGTATCGTTGCACATCGAAGCCAAACGCCTTGCCTTTTGGGCCATTCCAGATCAGATCGCCAGTTGAAGTCGCAATAATGGGAGCTGCTTGGAAAGCTGTGCCGCCGTCGGGCGCGAAGAAGAGGTAGCCATCTTTTGCTGGATCTGAGCTTGGGGTTCCGGAGATCTCTATCGCCGGTGGAGTGAAGTTCACAGTCTTGAAGGTGTGGTAGGGCCAGGAAATGTTCTTGGATGCATCGGCTGGGATGATGTCGCCGTGGACACGGTTGGCGAGACCGAAGAGAAGTGGTATGGCAGCGGCGAGAAGAAGCATTATGACGGCGATGACATTGCCTGGGTCAAGTCGTTGATTTGGTTGTGTTGGCATCACACTTGAGATGGAGCAGGAGTCTTAAACCCATTGGCGAGCGGGCTAATGTCGCGGAGGCAAGATCGACGCAAAGATGAGGTCGCACTGCAGGTGCGAATGATGATCCATGTCGAGAAGGTGGCGGGGATGTCGCGGCTGCACGAGTCGAGTTGAGCACTTGTGCAACTTTTGTGTGTGTTTCGCTTCCAACCATGAGACTCACTGAGCTTTTGTTGACTGTTAGCTGCTGGCCTGCTGCTTGCTGTGCTGTGTGTTGCACATGCCGCAGCACACGCACTTGCAAGTTATGATAAGGCTTCTCTGAAACTTCGGTGACCTATGGCGAACCGGTTCATCCATTTCGTGTCTATTGTCTTATCTCTTTCTCACGTAGACTGTTCTGCCAATCACTTTCCGAGTGTCAGATACAGTCTGTCCCCAATGTCACCGAGACCCGGCTTGATCATGCCACGCTCATCAGTCTCCGCATCCACCCCGCCCACCCAAAGCTCAACACCCTCCGGCCAAGCTTCCGCTGCTCTTTGTAGACCAGTCTGGCTAGCCAATATCGAAATAGAGATGATCCGCTGCACGCCCCAGTCCTTCAGCGTCTCTATCGCAGCGCAGACAGTCGAGCCCGTAGCGATGATCGGATCCACGATGATAGCTAGAGGAGGCACACTCGATGTCTCGCCCGCTTTGTGATATGGCAGATTGTTGTAGTACTCTACGGGCTGCAACGTGCTCTTCTCGCGGTACATGCCTAAATGGTGAACGGACACGGGGTTCGGAAGGAGGTTCTGTACCGCTTCGACCATGCTCAAGCCGGAACGGAGGATCGGTACGAGCGAGATGTTCGAGGGTGAGATGTCCTCGGCGTTGTACGTGTAGCCCAAAGGCGACTTATCCTACACAACGCATACATGCACGATCAGCGAAAGCTCACCTGCTGCGTACTGGGTCAGCCTGTGCTGGCTGAACAAAAGCTGGTTGGACTTACGGTGCCCACATTCTCAACTTCGAGGCCTTTTGCCAATGCTTCCACTCCTACAATGGTAGCAATCTCGTGGACAAGTGTCTTCGTGTCGCGGGCATTGGTGGAAGCTGATCGGAGCTGACTGAGTTTCGCGCGAACGCACGGGTGTGACGAGACGTGAATGGAAGATGCCATGATGATTGGTAGCGAGACTGTTTGGTAAGACAGATCTAGATATATAGTCAAGTAGTTTCTTCACACAAACACAATTGATGAGAAACGGGTGTGTTTGCAGCAGCTGCGTTGCTCACTATCAGAGAGCTCCCCTCCTCGAAGCAGGGAGATAGGCGGCGGCGGGATCCGACGAGAGTTGCCCGCTGCAGCAGCGGCTGTGGCTGCAGACTTGCGGACCTCTTCCCGCGCCGCGAACGCGTGAAATAGATGAATATTGAGCCACAGGGACAGATCGAACCAGATTTTGCTTCTTATGACATGGCGCAGGGTCGCATCTCAAGTTTCCGCAAGAGCAGTGAAGATGAAGGGCTGCTGCTTGTCGAGCTCCGCTACATGTCGGGCGCGCGCTCTACTCACCCCAATGCCTCCTATCCAAACGAGTCAGAAGCCTTCAGTAAGGTTCTGTCGTCCGAGATTAATGTGTGCCGCGTGCACAAATCCCCTGTGGCTACGGCCTGGCCTCTAGCTGATGTGATTGTTTGTCGCGCCTTGCGACCTTTGCTTCGTCTTCTCGTCCACTAATTCCACAATGAGGACCTGCAGCGTGTAGGAGTTGCTGCTCCGGCGCAAATGTTGTGCAGCGTTGCCAAATCAAACACCGTGAGCAGGGACCGGGGGAGTCGATGAAGCGGACCGAGACCGTTGCACAGATTACAAACGATGCCTCAATCATCCTGGTCTGGCTTTCCCGACGAGGCCATCTCACCAGACGACGAATATCGAGTGACGGAAATTCGACCGAGGACAAATCGCAATTCGGCAGACACCAGCAAGAGCCGCAGAGAAAGCTACTATGATACACAGCGAGGTGGTGATGGGCCTGCGGTGCCATCAGTTGGGCAGAAGTCACGACCAACATCAACGGCAAGTGTCCTGACGACGAGGTCAAAAGGGAAACAACGGGCGAGCTACGCAGAGCCATTGGAACAAGAATCCACGAGCGATGCAGCTTATCCGCACCCCGTACCAACCTTCGATGACAGGCCGCCGACTTGGGCAGACGCGCGTGGAGAGGATCGGCAACCCCAGCCAGATGCCACAGGGATGCACGTGAGAAACTTCAGTCGAATATCAACGCGACGAGCAACCAGCGAGACAGACCGCGAAGCACAACTTCCATCAGACGTCTCTGCTCTGCCGCCACTTCCAGCTCCAACACCAAAAAGTAATCGTCTGTCAGCCGCCAACACGGCGCGACCTACAACGCAGCCGACCAAGAGGTCGGGCGACTTTGACCATGGCAATGACGCACCTGACATGCCGCGACCATTCTCGCAACGACAGCCGGAAGAGTATGCGAGACCAGTAGAATCTGAATCCCGATGGCTCACAGAGATCTACACCATCTCCTACTTGATCTTCTTCGCGATATTCGGAACATTAGCAAGACTCGGCGTGCAATGGATCACGTTCTACCCCGGCGCACCACTCGTTACACCCGTGGTATGGGCCAACATGGCAGGCTCTTGGTTCATGGGCTTCCTCACGGAGGATCGAATGCTGTTCTGTAGCCATGCAATGAGCACGAGCAGCCAATCTGAGAAGGAAATTGGAATGGAGCAGCTGGAAACGAAAGAATTCACCAGGCGGAAGAAGGCGATCCCATTGTACATTGGACTCGCCACAGGCTTTTGTGGCAGCTTAACTTCGTTTTCCAGTTTTGCACGAGATTTCTTCCTGGCGCTCTCGAATAATCTGCCTGCACCGATTTATCATGAAGGCGCTCTGGCTTTGAGAGACACGCCGTCTTCCACGATTGGTCGGAATGCCGGGTACTCTTTCGAAGCTGTGCTGGGAGTGATGTTCTCCACTGTCGCGCTTTCTCTGGGTGGCTTTTACGTGGGCACACACACTGCTTCCGCACTGGACAAGATCACTCCTTCCTTGCCAGTACATGTCATTCGCAAGATATTGGATCCGGCTTTTGTCGTTCTGGGTTGGGGATGTTGGGTAGGCGCAATCATCATGGCGGCTTTGCCGCCCGATCGACCTGGAGGTCCTGCGTCTCGAGGCTCGTGGGACAACGAAACTTGGCGAGGCGAAGTCATTTTTGCACTCGTCTTCGCTCCCGTTGGCACCATCCTCCGCTACTACCTCAGTCTCCACATGAATGGGCTGATCAAGTGGTTCCCTCTCGGCACTTTCGCTGTCAACATGTTTGGCACAGCAGTCGAGGGAATGTGCTACAATATTCAGCACGTAGGAGTTGGGGTCATGGGACAGATCGGCGGCGGTCGCGTAGGATGTCAAGTTTTGCAAGGCATCATGGACGGCTTCTGTGGCTGCTTGACAACTGTGAGCACCTGGGTCGCCGAGATCAGCGCCTTGAAGCGAAAACATGGTTATTTATATGCATTAGCGAGTTTGGCGGGTGGTTTATGCTTGATGGTCATCATCATGGGAAGCGTGCGATGGACTGTTGGCTTTGCGGAGCCGGTTTGTTCGACAGGATACCCCAATAAAGTTCATGGTTGAAGAGTTACGAAATGAAAAATGAAAAAGATGTATGCATTGATATAGACTTACGACTGAGACATACAATCTGCACCAACACCATCTCATTATTTCCGAGCACTGATAGCTCACAACTTCGCCCTCTCTCCCTCTTCCTTCTCCAAACTCTCCACCCTCCCCTTCAAATCCCTACACAACCCCTCAAAACTCCCCCTCGTCTGCCCTCCCATCGCCCAAGAACTCATCAACCACCCCAACGCCCCCGAAAAATTCTCCTCGTTCACAAACGTCGTCCCTCCCTCATTAACTTCACTCTTTCGAAACTGAAACGAATGTTCTCCAGTGAAAATATAAGGAATACTACCTCGCCATTTAAGTTCGTCGGGTGTATTAACGAGGATCACGGGCTCGAATTTTGTGGACTTGTTGAGTTCGTTGATGAGAATGTCGCCGGGGGCGAGAGTGTAAGGGTCGGATTTTGTGAGGGAGGGGTCGGTGGGGTGTGGTTTGATGGAGATGGAGGTTATGCCCGGGCCGGAGAGCCAGGTGGAGGTTTGAGGGAAGTCGAGGAGCTGGGGGTGGGTTGTTAGATGGATTGAATAATGTAGTTGCCGGTACAGTGTATGGGTGAAGCTTTTGCTCTTTTGAGAGGATGACTTACGACTGCTCGGACTTTCTCTGGTGGAGCTGCGATTTCGATTTCGGTGTGTAGGTAGACCATGTTGGCGATGCTTGATTTGTAGGTGGCTTTTGCGATGTGGTGTGTAGCTATGAGTGAGGCGAAAGCTATCTTGGTAGGGCGTATATGATCGAAGCAGAATCGCAAGAAATGGGTAGATGAAGCTTTGCGGGAGACTCAATTGATGTCAGAGCTATCGTAGAGGTATGTCTTATCCAGCACAGCTGCTCTGTTGCCTTTCTATAACAAGCTCCTTCGTCCTTAAAGTCGACGTCGTTCGTCCGAGGTCGTCAGTCTCACAAGACAGCTTCCAGAGCTACGCGCTATCTGTCAGCATCCCTGCAGAAACACTGAATCCTACCAAATCGCAACCGAGCTTCGGGCCAGTCTCCATCGGCTACGCTCGTCCTTTGTGAATCGCTTCACGGAAGATGGTGATCATTTCGGCGCCGACTCGTCCGAACGATGATAACCGTACGGGTTTGAATGATGTCTGGTGGAGAGCCTGAGCTCTGGTGAGCTGGAGGTGTCCAAGGCCACGGGTCTGGAACTTCTCTCATAGTTTGACGCTGGTAGGAGGTGGACTCAAGAAGTGCTGATCAGTAATTGGTCTCGGGCTCGACCGGCGCTAGGTTATGTCTGTCGACAGGCATATTGATTTTCACAGTTGGCTTTGTCGGAAGATATGCATATGCGTTGCTACTGCTTCAAAAATACTGTTTTGCTGTTGCGCTGTCAAATTTCTCTGCTAGGGTATCATTCATCAGTCTGACAGCTCTTGCTCCTCAAAACGCCTCGCTCCACCGCGATAATGTCGCGTCCTGTATTCGCTGCTCGAATGATATGCGCTCATCAATAATTCCTCCTAGCGTCCGATCTGAGCTCTGTATCCCTGTTACCTCGCTTGCTCTTGCTGCCTGAGAAGAAGCCACCTCGAGGATCACCACGATCACCACCGCGTCTGTCTTCTGGCGCTCTTGTGGGACGAGGCTGTTGCACGTTGTCGTCATGTCGCCTTGTGTCCTCCTCCGAATCGCTATAGTCGAAGGCTGTGGCTGGTGGAGGATCGTTTGGCGCGTAGATGCCGCTCTTCCTGTTAGACCGCCTCTTCTCACGATCTACCCCGGCAAGGTCGCGGTCGTCTTTACGAAGAGCGTCCGGTTTATATTTGGTATCGAGATGTTCTTCCAGCAGACGAAGGTTCTTGGTGTTGGCCTTGAATGCAGCGTCCGCCAAGTCGCCAATGAAAGGGACGAGTCCCACGAGGAAGTCGACGGCAATGTTGATGAGCATGCGGATCAGAAGCGCGTTTCCGAGTCCTCCTTCTACTTTGTTGCACTTCCTGACCACCATGAGTGCCAGCGCCGATCCAATCGCGTCTCCTGCTGCTGGGATCAACCCGATCACGCTTTCCCATCCAAATCGAATGCCGAAGAGGGTGAACAGGCCGCAGTCGAGGTGGTACGCTCGCTTGCGAACGCTGGCGAGAACCATCGCATCGTGCTCGGGGATGTAGTTCGGGATCTGCTTCTTGACCTTCTTTAACTTGCCAGGCCGTCGCGGGTCTTCGACCATGGCGAAGTATGGGTCCTGCGTACGACTGTCAGCTGTCGTTGCATGAGTCCTGTCATTGTCGTGTATACTCACATTTCCGCCTTCCACCTTTTTGTCCTCATACTTGCTCATGTGCTTCTTCAGGAACTTGTTCGCTGCATACTTTCCCACGACTGCCGCCATTGTCGCAACTTGTTGATCTGAATCCTGGTGTTGCTGTAACTCGGAAGTCGAAATTGGCGACCTCTAGGTCTATATAATCGACCAGAGCAGACCGGCAGGGAGAAAATGTCGTGAATGCCAACAATAGATGTTTGGGCAATGATTGGTGTCGGGCGCGTGTTCAAGCCAGGTCTCGCGACAATCGAAGCTCCTTGAGCCGCGGGCTGGGCGCTTCTGCTGGAACGAGGCGCGCCTGTCGCAGAATGAGTGGCAGAGAGTGTGTCAAGAGAGGCCTTGCAAGCGGCCAGCCAGCGAAACAATCTTCCTACTTATTATACTGGTGATGATGGGCCTATGCGGTCACCCGACCTGGGTTCAAGCTTCTTGCTTGCTGGATAGCGTCCATCGACAAATCTGCGGTGAGATTGCTGAAACAACGTCATGCACAGCCACAGAAGCTCCAGTTGACGAGGCGATCGGCGGGAGAGTGTGGCGACCAAGTGTCTGGAGCAAGGAAATCGAGAAACTCAATGCCGGAGGCTTGTGGCTGTGCATCCTCTGCAGCTGGCTCGACCATGTGCCTTTCTCGTTCTCGCGACATTGTTCAATGATGGTACTGGAGCGATGGCAAATGGGAGATGGAAGAAAAGAGAAACGGGAAGAGGTTTTGAGGTGCCAAGACGGCAGCCGACCGTCGCTGTGCGCCTTCTGAACTTGCGTAAATCATACCGAAGAGGCTCTCTTCAAGCATCGTACTCATTTCATTATTCATCAGGCAGCTCTGCGTAGGGTCGAATTTATTGTTACCACTAGCTTTTGCCTCGAGAGCTATGTGCCTCGTGTGTCGGTCCTCCATCATTCTTCAATGACACTCCTGCTGACCCCAGCCGCAGCCGGTTCTTGCGATTGTGCCGAGACTGCAACATCGTATTCCACATCAGTTCGAATAACGTATTTGGCGCCCTCCACTACGCCCGTGCCTTCGTGAAGCAGTGCGCCCTGAGCCTCTCCGTGCGGAAAGACTGCCACGCTGCCCATGATTGGTTTCACAGGGTACGCATTCATCACACCCTCTTGCACGCTGGGTATGAAAAATGTAGTCTCGCCTCCTTTGAAGTCGTCGTTGAGGTAGATCAAAAAGGTATACAGAGATGACTGCCGTGCATCTGCAGGTGAAGCGTCGTATCGGTAAGCATCTGTGACTGGATCGATGCCGGATGGCGGCCATGCTCCGTCTGAGAACATTGTTAGTAGGTGAACCTGTGACTCGTTGATTCGCATGATACTCACCAATGTGACAACGATACTCGGCGCCAGGAACATATCGATATACACGGAACCTTCTGTTAATCCCTCGAACTTGCCTCCCTGTCACTGATTCTGGCACGAATGGTCTGACCCTCTCCCACAACTTGTCGTGAAAAGCCTGGTCCACAATCCAGTAAAAGTTGTGTGCCAATATACTCGTGTCTTCATCTTGCCGGATAGGTGCGTCAGGGATGAATTCCATTGTTTCACCCGCGGCGATGATGGAGGAGCACTCTTCGGGCGACAACACGTCCTTGATCAGACGCAAATTTGGCACGACTGGGTGCTTGTGTACTGTTGTCTTTGGGCCGTTCCGGAGCGGCACTGTGTCATTTTGTGATGCGAAGAGAACAGCGGGATGTAAATTCGGAGGCTTGCGTTGTGGTCCAGGAGTGGTTTCTATGATCCGGAAATTGTCTTTGAGGTTCGGCGGACACGACTTGAAGATGCTCTTGTCCTCTACGCTCGCACGTGTTGATCTCGTAGGCTTTTGCGCCTGTCGTAGGTCCCAGGTTGCTTGTAGAGCGATCGTGCCCGGCTCAGTGGCAGCACCCAAAGCTGTAGGATCTGTTGGGCCGGTTACGCGAAGTACAGCGTCCAGCACTTGCCGCAGTTCTTGGTCTCTGGGAGAAAATCCGGCGACAGTTTTCGTGGAGGGCTCAACATGTATTGCCAGGCCACTAATGACATCTAGCACGCGTACCCAGCGACAGAGAGCGCCAAGTGAGGGAGTCTCCTTGCGGATTCGCATCTCTGCGAGCAAGACCATGGCATCGGTATACTTGGCGTCAGATAAAGCGGCAGATATTCGAGCTGTCAAGCTGTTGCCCTCTGTGACTACTGCTTAGCTCGCATTGGGCAATTGGTTGTGGTTACGACATGCTCACCAACAGCATTTTGTCCAGTTGTACAAGCCTGCCGGAAGTTGAACACGGCTGTGCGGAGGTCTTTACATGTTTTTGACTTGATTACACTGGGATGTTCGGTCAATGCTTGCAGCGTCTCTACTGTGATCTCGAGGTCTTCTGGAGGCACTACGGCTGATGCACTGGTAGGCTCCGCAGATGTCTCGTAGGGCGGTGTCCGGATGCCAGTGCCAGCCGCCTGCTTTTTTGAGGCAGCATTTGCCTGAGCATTATTTCGCTTCCGTTTTGCCATTTTGTTTGTCTGTATATCCGGTTGGCCTCAGGTGTGGCGTTTTGGAAGACGAAAATGTGAAGCTACGAGATTGATGCCTGAGGCATTATGCATCTTGCTTGGCAGGACCATCCATCGCGCGTCGTTGCCTGGACGGGCGCGTCACTGCCAAACACATTCACCACAGGTAGGTAACTCGACTCTTTCCAATTCACTCGCATCAGCCTATCTCAACATCAGGCGTGATCTCTTGTTTGCACGTAGAATACAGATGACTTGCTGTACATCGTCTCTGGCAACTCATCGGCATCATGATGGAAATCGACCAAGATGCAGACGCGAAACGAGAAGAGGAGATGATGTATGGCCATGGCGCCATGACAAAGGAGGAGCTCAACGAGAAGTATCCCAATCGACCTCATAATCACTCGAAGACACTGCCTTTCCACGACTTGTATCTTGACCTCTTCAATCCATTAAACGATAACAAGAAGAAGCCGACCGGCGCAGCGATTGCTCGCAAGAAACTGGGACCTCACGGCGGACCTAGTCAGGCCCCGAACGAGATTCGGCGACAAATCATAGATCGATTCATTGGTCGCTGGCGCAAAGAAGTCGGCAATGATATTTACCCAGCTTTCCGACTCATTGTGCCAGAAAAGGATCGTGATCGGGGAATGTATGGACTGAAGGAGTTGACTTTGGGGAAGATGCTAATCAGAATCCTCAAAATTGACAAGAACAGCGACGACGGGTACAATTTGACACATTGGAAGCTTCCTGGACTCAAATCGACAAGCGCCACTGCTGGTGACTTTGCAGGACGATGTTTTGACGCGATCAGCAAGCGACCGATGCGCTCGGAGCCAGGCGATATGTCTATTGCTGAAGTGAACGAGCGACTGGATCGATTATCAGTGGCGCAAAAGGAAGAAAATCAGCGACCCATTCTGGAAGAGTTCTACAGCAGGATGAATGCCGAAGAGATGATGTGGCTCATCCGGATCATCTTGCGTCAAATGAAGGTCGGAGCTACCGAAAAGACCTTCTTTGATCTTTGGCATCCTGATGCTGAGAGCTTGTTCAACATCTCGAGTAGTCTACGGCGAGTGTGCTGGGAGCTCTACGACAAGAACGTCAGACTTGAGGGCGACAATCGAGGCATCACCCTCATGCAGTGTTTCCAGCCTCAATTAGCCGCCTTCCAGATGAAGTCCATGGAGCAGATGGTGGCGAGGATGAACCCGACTGAACAAGACCCAGTGTTTTTGATCGAAGAGAAGCTTGACGGAGAGCGCATGCAGCTGCATATGATAGAGGATGACAGTCAACGGGGAGGCGTACGTTTCGGCTTTTGGTCACGAAAAGCCAAGGACTACACGTATCTATACGGCAATGGGTTTCACGATGACAATGCAGCTTTGACAAGACACATCGAGGATGCCTTCAGACCAGGTGTGCGCAATATCATTCTCGACGGCGAGATGATCACTTGGAACATGAAGGAAGACTGTGTCGTTGGCTTTGGCACTCTCAAGACAGCGGCGATCGAGCAGCAGCAGAACCCTTTCGCTGACGGAAACCGGCCCCTGTTCAGAGTGTTCGACTGCCTGTACCTCAACGATGAACCGCTGACACAATATACGCTCAGAGATCGCCGAAGAGCGCTAGAAGGCGCCATTCAACCTGTGCATCGACGGCTGGAGATTCACACCTATATTGAAGGCAAAACAGCTACAGACATCGAGCCCGCGTTGCGTCTAGTCTTGGAGGAAGGCAGCGAAGGTCTTGTGATCAAGAATCCGCGTTCGGAATACAGGCTCAACGATCGAAATGATGACTGGATAAAGGTCAAGCCAGAGTACATGACAGAGTTCGGCGAATCGCTAGATTGCATCGTAGTGGGCGGCTACTTCGGATCTGGCAAGAGAGGCGGTTTCCTGAGCAGCTTTCTCTGCGGCTTGTACCTCCCAGAATATCACCGCAAGCATATCGAGCCCAATGCGCATCCACAGAAGACGTGGTCCTTCTTCAAAGTTGGCGGAGGTTTCAGTGCTTCAGATTATGCTCAGATTAGACACTTGACTGATGGCAAGTGGAAGGACTGGGATCGCAAGAAGCCGCCTACTGAATGGATCGAGCTCGCTGGCGGTGATCGACAGTATGAAAAACCTGACATGTGGATCAAGCCCGAGGACTCTGTGGTTGTCTCTGTCAAAGCTGCACAGGTAGGTGGCACAGATCAATTCAGGACACAGCGAACTCTTCGTTTTCCGCGCTTCAAAAGGCTTCGGACGGACAAGAGCTGGGATCAAGCGCTGTCTTGGGACGAGTTCGATGCACTAAAGGCCAAGGCGGACGAAGAGCAGGCGGAGAAGAAACTGAAGATAGACGAGACGAAGCGGCAACGTACATCCAAACGACAGAAACGGGCGCTAGTGATTCAAGGACAAGTGGACAGCCTTGCCAAACCTTATGCAGGACCAGCAACAAGAGTCTTTGAAGGGCTGAGCTTTTTCATCATGACTGAAGCTGGGAAACCGCTGAAGAAGAGTAAGGCTGAGCTCGAACAGCTTGTCAAGGCCAACGGCGGCAAGATTGTCGCATCTCAGAAGGATCCGGACACAATCCTCATCGCGGACCGCAACGTGGTAAAAGTTGCCTCGATAAAGAAGAATGATGATCGCAATATTATCAAACCATGCTGGTTGCTCGATTGCATCAAGCAGAGCGAGCTGGACGTTGGACGTCCGAACTTGTTGCTTCCACTTGAACCTCAACACCTGGAATACACACACACAGCAGATCGAGGCAAGTATGACGGTAACATTGACGAGTTTGGCGACAGCTATGTCAGAGATGTGACGCCGCAAGACTTGCTTTCGCTGTTTAAAAACATGCCTGCCAAGATCGAAGATGGCTTTGAGCCTTCGGAGGTTTTGGAGCAATTCATTGAGCATGGCCACGGACTCGACGAGATGGAAGCTCTCATGTTCTCTGGCATCACGGCTTTCTTTGAAAGCCCAGAGCCGTTCACGAAACGCTTGTTCGAATTCGCAGGTGGTAGCGTTGCAGATTCGCTGCAAAGCAACGAAGTCACCCATGTGATCGTCAAAGGGGGTAGCAAAGCTGTACCTGGAATCCGGAAAGACATTGCCGCCAGGCCTCGGTTGCCCAGGATTGTTGTGGATGATTGGGTCTTGGAAAGCTGGGCAGAGGAGACGAGACTTGATGAAGAAGGTATGTCTGTCACGATCCAAGACTTTTGGTACTGTACAGAATGCTGATGAAGAAATAGGTTTTGCTCCGACTTGAGACGGATCCATAGCGTCGATTCGAAAAGCCTGGATGACCCGGCCCATCACCGTGTTGCCTTGGTATCTCAAGCGTTGAGCCGCAGCACTCTCACAGCATTGCTACCAAGAATGTCTTGTTCTGTCGCTGTGTCATCCTTCAGCGCCGCTTTGATAGCACTCATGTTGGAGGTCACGCTCAACCACTTGTCCTCATCCTCATCGAGTGGCGGGAAAAAGGGATGATCAGTCCCGAACATAATTCTACAGGCAATCAGTATCAGAAAGAAAGCAACAGCCGAGAATAGACTTACCTATCAGCTCCAGAAGCATCGATGGCAGCTTTTAGACCGACATCCGCGTAGACCACGGCGTCAAGATAGATGTTCTTCTTCAAGACATCCCACACACTTCTCCGTCCATCGATCTTGCCTTCCTTCTTGAGATGCGCATCGTGCGCAATACAACTCTCGATGCGACCTGCCAAGAAGGGCAATGTGCCTCCGCTATGCGCAAGCAACAGATTCAAATCCTTGAACCGATCAAAAATCCCAGACAAAATCATCCTCGTCACCGCAATCGTCGTCTCAAGCGGGAACCCCATCGCCAATGGCAAAATATGCCCATAATCTCCCTTCCGCGGCCCAAAAACCTCACTCGGAAGTCCGTAATGCGGATGCAAGAAAACTAGCAATTGTTGCTCCTCGATCGCCTCCCAAATCGGATCCAATTTCGGATCATCCAAGCCTTCTCCAAGCCCACTCGTCCCCATCACAATCCCGCGACAAAATTTCAACCCTTTCAACCGCTTCACCTCACCCACCACATCTTCCACATCCGCACTCAACGGCAACGTCCCGAAATGATATAACCTCCCTTCATGTTCTCTACACATCCTCTCCACATCATCGTTCACAACTCGCGCCATTTCTGCAGCTTCCGATTGATCGACCCAGTCTAGCCATGGATTTGCGATTGAAATTACAGAGATGTCGATGTTGTGGGTGTTCATGAATTTTATCTTTTCGGAAACTTCGTAGTATTCGGGTCCGATGGGGCGGCCGCGTGCTGTTGAGCCGGATTCTTCGGAGGGGAGGATGACGAGACGTTCGCCGGAGGCAGTGTCGTCTGGGAAGAGGCGGACGTAGGGGACTGCTTTTCGGTCTCGAAGAACGGACATTAGGGCTGGAGGGTACATGTGTGTATGGACGTCTACGGTTGGCATGGTGGGCGATTTTTTTCTTTGGTTCTTGGTTCTTGCGATGATGGATGTGGATGTGGTTGTGTTTGTTGGTTAAGGTCTTTGTCTTGGCAGCTTGAGGTTTTGGTCTCTGGATATATCTGGCAATGTGGAAGATCTCCAGATGCAGCAGGTCTCTATGTATGCCAATGAATTGACCTTCCTCAAATGGTGTCGCGAACGATAGTACTTGCTCGTTCCTGCCTGCCAATGGGAAACGTTGCACAAAATTCACAAATAGAGTAAAAGAATCACCTTTTACCCCACCAAAGTAGCTGGTAGCTATGCTTGCCTATCAACCAGCTGATAGGCATGCCCGCCACGCGCAAATCGCCTGTCTTATCTCCAGCGGCGCGCGCCTCGAATCTGGAGTGCAGCGATTTCTATATCTAAAGTTGTGTGGCCAGACGCCCATCACAGGCATCTTGTTTCGACTTCACGGCATCTCTCAACCTCACCTCTGCGACACGAAAGGGCTTCACCAGAAGCTATAATCGCGATAATCATGCAACCCTCGGCCGTAACCTCCGCCGTCTCAAGCGACAACCTCGAAATCCCCCTCATCGACTTCTCCGCCTACCTCTCCGGCGACACCTCCACAAAACGCACCACCGCCCAAGCAATCCTCTCCGGTTTCCAAAAAGCCGGTTTCATATACCTCAAAAATCATGGAATTCCTCCAGAACAAGTCCGAGAAGCTTTTGCGCAATCTGCGAAGTTTTTCGCGAGATCTACAGAACAAAAATTGGAATTAGGTTGGACGACACCGAGAGCGAATAGAGGCTATAGTCAACCCGGTCGCGAAAAAACCACAGACGCGACGGATCCGGCTGAAATTGAAAAGATCAGAGAAGCTGAAGGTGCGGATTTGAAAGAGTCGTTTGAGATTGGGAGGGAAGGAGAGGAAGGGTGTCCGAATCAGTGGCCTGATAGGTTTGGTGATGCGGAAGGAAAAGAATTCAAAGCTTTCATGTTGGAATTCTTCGATCAGGTGAAAGAGTTGCATGAGAGGGTTATGCAGGCTATTGCGGTAGGGTTGGGGATTGAAGAGAGTTGGTTTGATTCTTATACGGATCGAGGGGATAATAATTTGAGGTTGTTGCATTATCCGGAGGTGAAGGCGGAGGTGTTTAGGAAGAATAAGAATACGGTGAGGGCGGGAGCGCATACGGATTATGGGAGTATTACGTGTTTGTTTCAGTAAGTGAGATGTGTTTCTTTCTTTCTCGTGGTGTGTTTGGGTTAGCTTGGGTTTTGGATTTTGCGGATCGAGCGATCGGGGCGTTTGTCGGGCTTTTGAGCACGTGGTGGGTTGTGTTGATGGCGTGCGTCGTCACGACACGTTGACAGAGGTGCATCGGAGTTGGTTGGCGTGCCGTGTGGTGGTCTCAGTGTTAATCCCGGACCGGGTGTTTTCGAAGACCGCACGGGACTGACTTGGCGCCGACTCCATCTCGTCGGAATTGAAAGCCGTGGACATGTTCGCTGACCAGATTTCTTCTGTAGGGATATGCGTGGTGGCCTGCAAGTGCTTAGTCCGAATGGGAACTATATCGATGCGACACCCATCGAAGACACCATTGTCGTGAATGCAGGAGACTTGTTGGCCCGGTGGAGCAACGATACGATCAAGAGCACCAAGCATCGTGTCGTTGAGCCACCTTCTGCAGCTGACGTGCATCCTGCACGCTACTCGATTGCGTATTTTTGCAATCCTAATTTTGATCGGCTAATTGAGGCAATTCCTTCGACCTATGGCCCAGACAGGCCGAAGAAGTATGCTGGGGTGAACAGGTGAGTTGCACATGGATGCCGGACCGGTTATACATACGCTAACGGGCTGCAGTGGTGACTATTTGGAGCAGCGTCTTTCGGCGACCTACTGATGATGTGTCATGCCAATGCGTGCAGAACGACAGTACCTGCGCACGAGTTGAGGCTCTTTGAGCTGGGTCAGGGTAGGATCGGGAATAAGCCTCACTGGAGTCTCGAGTTTGCGCTTGCACTTGGTGAGGCTCAACATGAGTGAGGTTGACTAGGGCGTGTTGTGCCGAGCGCGCCGAGGCGTCAATGGCTCGTCAGCTTGTGCAATTGCTCCATCGGCATGGCGTAGCGGAGACACGTGGAAAATGGAGGCTTTTTGCATCCTTGAAAACAGGAAAAGGTGTTCGGCGTTCGTGTCCGCTGTGCCAACTCCGTATCGGCCCCGCCCGAAATATTTTGGCGTGCGCTGGGAGGTCAACACGAGACATTCCCAGCATCAGTCACTCTCTGTTGAGTGAGAGCGCCAATTTTCCGTGATGATTTGCCAGGGCGGAGCGACACCGCTCGCCGACCGGACTCCAGCAAGGTCAACGAGACCTTGATGTCGCGTGATGACTCAGGATTTGCGCCTTACGCCCTGTGCTGTGATCCTTGCGTGAGCAACAAGACGGGAAGTTTGGTATAGGAGAGAGTGGAGACCTCCTCGCTTGCCGTGGAGATGTCATGCTCAGGATCGGAGGAGGCGTTTGTAGCGATGTTGTGCGACTGCAAAATGGCGTGTACAGCTCATCAGCAGGTCAACTCCATGGGCGGGAAGCCCGCTTGATCGCGTTCTCCCGCAGAATTTGGCGTGCTCCGTAGGCGGTGGAAGGTGTAGACGTGGAGTATACGGTATTGCTCGGCGTTACTGCAGACGGGAGGAGAATGCGAGCAGCTGACCAGCTCGGGAGTCATGCTCTGCCTTTGAACCATGCTTCAGCGATGCTCGGCGCTGCGATGTCGCACCCGCCAGCATCAGCCATGGCACGAACAATGGCCATTGCGTGAAACGGGTGCAACTGAGACGTGCTCTGCGGTATGCCGTGGACAAGCGGACTATTCTCTGCCTGTGCGTATTGCTGGTGGATCTTTTCAGCAGCGTCTTAGCTGACGAGAACCACAAGTCGCAACTTGGCAGGCAGACGCTGTACAGACGCGGACGAGCGTCTGCAGGTTTTGGGTTGGTCGGGCGATCGTCGCGAGGCACGCGGCGTGATCGTGTCATCGGCTGAAGGCACTAGAAGGAAACTTTTCATGGGCGGCCGGCCATGCGCCTGATCGTGTGGTCATTGTTGCAGCGCAGCTTGAGCTCATTACTCGATCATATCCACTCTGCCACAGCCGGGCTCCAGTCTTTTTTTCATGTGCGAACACCTGGAAAGCACCGCAGTGTCCAACCGCAGAGGTCTCGGCCCTTGCGAAGAATTTCATCAATTCGCGCGCACATGAACTCATCCGCGCCAGTGTTATAACAACAAGCCGTGTTCTCGCCAACCCCGAAGCTGTCCTGAACTTGGCCGAAAGGCAAGCTCACCCAACATTTCTCGCGTCTGCACCCCAGATCTGCCCTTCCGCGCTCTGGCAGTCGTCATTGCCATCAGCTAGCGATTGCTAGAAAACTTCTGCTGCTTCGGCGAAGCTTTCCGCCAGCATGCCGTCCAAAATCTTTGGCATCTGGACTGCGCCCTCCACTCCGCAACTCTTCGACAATCTTCCCACATACCAGCAATCCAACACAAACAACAGCAATAACACCAGCAACAACAGCAGCGCGACATCACTCGTTGAAAGTCGACGTCCCAGCATGGAGCACATCAAGCGTCCGACCTCTCTTTTCAGCAAAAAGCACAGTTCGCATGACAAGTCAAAATCCAAGGAACGATCATTATCCAAGGACAAACACGCCCGCGATGGACCACGCTCACCCACCGCACCGAAGCCAGTCCAACTGGGCTTGCTCATGGAATCACCTCCGGTACTGATGCTCGACCCTCCGAACCAATCTTCAGGTGCATTAATTTCTGGACGTCTGCAAATCACACCCAATGTTCCCGAGGCCACGCTTTCCAGCATCACCATGTTTCTCGAATGCACAACAACAACCAAAAAGCCCGTGCACGATCGATGTCGCGAGTGCATGACTCAGATCAAGGATTTGTTCGAATGGCACTTCCTGACACACCCAAAGACCCTCAAAGCTGCCGATGGCATGTCGCAGATGCCATTCTCATACGTTATTCCGGGCCACATTCCTGCAACCACCCACGGAACAGTAGCGAGCGTCGATTATCAACTGCACGTGCGAGCAAAATCAATCGATGGCCAGGAGATTGAGTTTCGACGAGAGTTGATCATCAAGCGCGCATTGCGTCCTGGAAACGACAAGAACAGCGTTCGCGTCTTTCCTCCCACCAACCTTACGTTGTACGTCACGATGCCAAATGTGGTACATCCCACTGGAGAATTCAATGTGCAGTGCCGTATGACGGGCATCACGACACACCGCGAGGAGACTCACACCCGCTGGCGACTTAGGAAACTCAGCTGGCGCATCGAGGAACACGAAAAGGCCATTTCCCCCGCATGCTCTACACACTCCGCCAAGATCGGCCTAGGCAAAGGCATCGAACATCAAAACACGCGGGACATTGGTGGCGAGGAACTCAAGCAAGGCTGGAAGACCGACTTCTCAGATGGAACAATCGAAGGCGAATTTGTAGCTTCACTCAATCCCTCTTCGAAACCCAACTGCGGCATGGAGGCCAGCAACGGAACTAAGATTACCCACAACATGGTCATGGAGCTGGTGATCGCAGAAGAGTGGGCACCAAACAAGAAACCCGGCAATGCCACACCTACAGGGGCTGCGCGCGTCCTCCGAACACAATTCGCATTGAACGTTACCGAACGCAGCGGAATGGGCATCGCATGGGATGACGAGCAACCTCCGCTGTACGACGATGTGCCCGCCAGCCCGCCACACTACCCCAGCTCGTACCAGTCGAACGGGTGGCGAGGGCCTTCAAGTCTCCCACCTGCTTTCGGCGCTGCCGGTCCATCATCGAGACAGCCCGAACGCAATGAGACAGCAACGCTTGCGAGTGGACAGAGCTCGCCGCATGGGACGGAGATGTTGGAATATGAGGGTGATGAAGATCTATTAAATCATGATGTTGAGCATTTGACGCTTGATAGCTGATTGCTGATTTGGATGCGTACTGAAGAAGAGATCTCGTTTTGTAAGGTTTTTCAATTTTTTGAGCATGGCGATGGGAAGGAACGGAAAAGGAAAGCGTTTTTGTGGTCTGATTTGAGATACCCACGTGTGAGGGAGGTTGTTTTAGTTTTTTCTATTATTTCTACAGCGCATTGAGTGAGGAGGGAAAGCATCTCTGGCTGGAAAGCGTCGCATTTTGGCAGAGCCGAAGAAGAGAACAACAGTGTATTGTTCACAGAAATGAGCAACTGATTCTCTGCTCAGGCAGATGCAACACTCGATGAATGTTCCTACCAGAAGTCGTTCGATCAATATTTGATTCTGCTTTCACGGTTTGTCGTCAATTCAAGGACCGCGCCCACCGATTACTTGCTTTCCTCCTCGTGAGCAAGCGCGACCTTTTACACGACGCGTCTCATTTCAGCACGCGCCAACATGTTCCACTGCCGCCTACGGCAGCGTCGTGGCGGCCTGATGAATGGGATTTGATTCCGACTGGAGTCTTCCGATGACCAACTTCGCGTTGAAAGCGGCTTCTTCTGCTGATACCAGATAGAATGAACATGACGCGTCGAGAACATTTCGAGCATGGCCATACTGGACCAGTCAGACGTGTTGCCCAGTGCAATCGAGGTGATGCATATCGGGACACTGTACTCATAGTCACCACGAAACCGACTGGTAGCCAGTATACCTCCCACAAGAACGAAGCAAAGCACCGGCGCAAGTGGCATTGGTACCTTACCAATCATGCTGCATGTGGCACGATGTTCTGCAATCCTTCACCTGCCTGCCATCGTTCGATGATCAGATAAGATGTCCGCCTGGAATAAGCGGGTCTCAAGTATCCGCTCTAGGCCTTGAGAATGGTTCATTGGTCGCGCGGATCGCCCAAAGGATGCAGAGTACCAGTAGCAGAAGGTAGGTGAATCTGATAAAGACTATAGGATGTGCCTTAGTCCTGAGGCTTGAGACGACAAGCACTGTTGAGGTCGGCTGTGCCGCGCGACGCGACGACTCCATACCCTCGTATCTGCGACAAGTCGAACCACGACTATGGAACAAGCAGATCGAATTGCTCTCGATGAGATGCAAGCTAATTGTGGAATCGGTCCAGATGAAAGCAAACCGACTGAGCATTTGGAGACAACAGACATCGAACGAAACGATGCGTTCCTCGTCACATTTAGCTCTGGAGATCCCGAGGACCAAGCTACCTTTGCATTATCGACCCAGGGCTTCAATCGAATCCTGATCTCAACAGTGAGCGCAACAGTCAGCAACGAGGCGTCTACTTACTAATGTCAGCTGCACTAAGATCATGGCTCCAGCTATCCCTACCATCGCAGTCGACCTGAAGATGAGCAATATCGAAAGCACCATGGCTCTTTCAGCATACGTCCTGGCGACTGCGTTTGGGCCTTTGGTTATCGGGCCACTGAGCGAGGTATATGGGAGAAAGACCATAATTCACATTACGAACCTCTGGTACCTCGCTTGGAACCTGATCTGCGGCTTTGCCAACTCGAAAGGTCTCCTCATTGCCGCACGACTGCTCGCAGGTTTCGGCGCCAGCGCAGTCTATACTGTCGCATACGGCGTTCTGGCTGACATCTGGCCTAACGAGCAGCGAGGTCGCTCACTCAGTCTCTACCTACTGATTCCACTGACCGGCGCCGCAATAGGACCCATCATAGGTGGATTCATCGTTGAGTATTCCACATGGCGCTGGATGTTCTGGGCAACCACCATCTTTCAAGCTGTTGCAGAGATCGTCACCTTGCCCATAATTCACGAGACGTATTGCCCCCTCCTGCTTCAGCGGCGCGCCACAAAGCTTCGCCTCGAAACCGGCGACTCACGATACCACACTGAAACCGAGATTCGATCCCAGGGCCACTCCACTTTCAAGATCCTCTCAAATAATCTCACACGTCCGCTACGTCTCTTGGCTTTTCACCCGACTATTCAAGTCCAGGCGCTCCTTGGCGGCATAAACTACGGCCTGCTGTACTTCGCCCTCGCCTCCTTCTCCAGCCTCATCGTCAGCAACTACGGTCAGTCCGTCTCGATCTCTGGCCTACACTACATCGCACTCGCTATTGGTGAGATCGCTGGTGCACAGCTTTGTGGCCCGCTGATGGACTACCTCTACTGTGCCCTCACGCGCCGCGCAGGTGATCGAGCTGCTCCTGAACTCCGCGTCCCGCTTCTTCTACCCAGCGTCATTCTTACACCAGTTGGCTTCCTCTTATATGGCTGGGCAGCACAGTACAAGTTGCACTGGGCTATCGTTGACATTGGCGCCGCACTACTTGCCATGGGTATGCAAGTCTTCAATACAACGCTACGTGCGTATGTCATGGATGCATACCCGGAACATGTCAGTTCTGCATCGGCGGCGACGCAGTTTCTCAGCAGTATGCTGGCATTTGCTTTCCCGCTGTTTGCAGAAGACATGTATGCAGCGCTAGGTTATGGCTGGGGGAACTCTTTGCTCGCATTCTTGTCGATCGGTATCGCATTGCCATCGACAGGTATTCTCTGGAAGTATGGCGCACGACTCCGAGCGAAGAATGATTCGAGCTATTGATGGCATTGATCATACGAGCCATGCCCCGGACTACACGCTTTCATTGCGGCGTCACAGCGTCTTCGAAGATCCGACATTACTTCCGCTGACGCTCAACCAACGCAATCTGAAAGCACAGGCTTTTCAAAGACTCTTGCACGTCACTGGCTACGATCGCGATTCCATTTGCTCGACCTACTGTGGTGCCAAGACGCTAAGACGTTGTGATTCTCACTCGGAACATTAACAGCTTATAGCTTTCCAAGAACGTCCGAATACCGCTACGTCCCGAAAATCCTGCCTTTCCCTCTACCGGCACAATCGCTTGCATAGTCCTGTGCCACATTGCCCTCACGATGCCCTCTTGACAATGCGCAAGCTTCTCGGACCGTTATCAGAGGCATCGATGAATCACGTGGCATGCTGAGTTCCTTCTCAGCGAATCGCCCGAACTTCTGGGTCGTTGTTCAAGAAATGTCTAGCTGTTCATAAAGGAACACTTTTAACTCTCTGATGATAGATTGACTAATACTTGCCCAAGCCAGATCACTACCTTTGCTAGAAGACTTCCGACAAAGGGCATTATCAATCATCATGACAACTAATCCAGAAGTCATCATCGTGGGCGGCGGAGCAGTCGGCCTGGCCGCTGCATGCGAATTGGCCATCAAGAATGTCTCTGTTACGATCTTGGAGCGGGAATCTGGACCTGCAGCGCCATGGAAGAACGAGAAGCTGGGCTTTCGCGAGCTGTTTGTGCCTGCCATCGAGCACTTGTACCGCCGTGGCCTGCTGAACGACATGTTCCGCAATGAAGAACGACCACAGACTATGCCGGAGAAGAAGGGTGGCTTTGAGTTTGCTGGTCATTTTGCTGGTATGATGATCAATGGAAACGATGTCAACTATTCACACTGGGACGATACACACCTTCCCGGGCCTGCTTGTGTACCTGGATCTTCGACACTGGGTCACATTGAGAATGTTCTGCGTGCACGTGCTGAGCAACTCAAAGTGCCTATTCTTACTGGCAAGAATGTGACTGGCATCGAAGACACAGACAGCGGCGTCAAGGTGTTCTGCGGCGAGGAAACATTCGAGGCTCAATATCTTGTCGGATGCGATGGTGGTCGGAGCACCATTCGCAAGAAAGCTGGGATTCCATTCATCGGCACAGAGCCCGAGTTCACTGGCTATGCTGTCCATTGCAAGCTCGACAACCCCTTTTTGCTCAAGCCCGGCTTCAATCGATGCCCAAATGGCGGACTCTACATCATGGCCGGCCCACAGCACATCTATGCTGTAGATCACGACATCAGCTTTGACCGAGACCAAGAAGTAACAGCGGAACACTTTCAAAAGGTTCTGAGAAAGCTTTCCGGTACCAACGTGGTTGTTGAGCAGGTCGTTCTCGCATCCGCTTTCACCGATCGCTGCAGACAAGCTGAGCAGTACCGCAAAGGCCGAGTCTTCCTTGCTGGCGATGCTGCCCACATCTACCCTCCATTCAGCGCCCAAGGACTCAACTGCGGTTACATCGATGCAGTGAATCTCGGTTGGAAGCTCGCTGCTTTGGTCAAGGGCTATGCTACTCCGGGCTTGATCGATACATACCAGCAAGAGCAACACCCAATGGCTGCGCGAGTACTTGATTGGGTGCGAGCACAAATTGTTACCCTTCGACCTGACGCTCATGGCCGGGCTGTGGGCAATGTTATGCGCGAGTTCCTCTACACCGAAGCTGGTGTGACATACTGCATCGGTCGACAATGGGGTCTTGATGTGCGGTATGAGATCGGAGAGGGACATAAGCTTGTCGGTCGCAGCGCTCTGGATTACGAGCTGGACGATGGCTCTCGACTGGGAACTAAGCTCGGCGCCGCGAACTTCACACTCGTGGCATTTGGTGACTGCAGTTCAGAGCTCACCAGCTCCGTCAACGAGCTTAACCCAGTGCTCGGATTCTGCAGAGCGAAGGGCGAGGAGAAGTCAGGCCTCCAGGGCGTCCTTGTACGTCCTGACGGGATCGTGTCGTGGGCATCTGCAGATGCCCTCAACATCGAGACGATCAAGGCCAGCCTCGAACGCTGGGTCGCGCTGCCAGCTGCTGTTGAGAAATTTGAATCTGTGTCTTACGAGGCCAACCAGTTGTCCAACATTCAGACGCCATTGACGACTACTGTTCGATCGAATATCGGACGTGTATTTGGCAAGGATGGAGAGAAGTACACTGGCCTTCCGACAGTGGTGACGGAAGTCCCGGCAACGGCTGATGCATGAGGAATTTAGCGAAGCAAGAATGAAGCGTGGATGAGAATATTCTTAGCAGAATTATAGACCATTGAGCATCTGATCATTGAATCGTGTACAACAATGACACAGCCATCTCCGATCCATTAACATCAGGCATCCTTTGAAGAAGCAGTTGTGGTGATCACTTGTCATGAGCAACGATTCCAATTGAGACTCTTTCACTCGCGATCACAACCGCGACAATGATCAGGTGCATGCTGATTGGTAGCATTGATGTCGTCGAATGCATCGAGGAGTGTTCAGTGGATGAGCGTTGCGTCTCGGACGAGAAGCTGCGAAATGCCCCGAACCTCGCGAAACCCGAACTTTGCAGGGTCTGGGAGATCGTCGTCTCTATCATTCAACCGGTCGACGCTAGAGCTATGGACAATGCTCGTCGTCATGCCAATGCGTGATTGATGGAGATGAGGTCTAATAGACACTTCGAGGATCGATCATACCATTGACATGCCCATCAGTCCGCAATCATGTCAAAATCCCTCAACATCCTCGTCTCAGGAGCCGGAATTGCAGCAGGTGTCTTCACGAACTGCATACGACGAGCTTTTCCCAACAATGCTCGCATCACAATGGTCGAACGAGCACCTCAGCTCCGACTGACTGGTGCGAGTGTCGACATTCGGAATTCTGCTGTCGATATTATCAAGTGGATGGGCGTTGAGCCTGCTATTCGAGCACATAGTACTGGCGAGAAGGGACTTTCATATGTCGATGCCTATGGACGTCCATTCGCAACTATCGCCACGACTGGAAGAAGCGATGTTCAAAGTCTTACATCAGAATACGAGATTTTCCGTGGAGAGCTGGCTAAGATATTGATTGAGCCTGTGGAGAAGGATATCGAATTGGTTTTCGATGATCATGTTAAGGACTATCAACAAAACGACAATGGGATTCTGGTCACATTTGCATCAGGTCGATGTGAGAGCTACGATCTTCTCGTGGCGGCTGATGGAATGCGATCGATCATTCGAGGAATTATGCTGGGCGAGGATTCCAACAAGCATGTACATGATGAGGGTGTCTTTGCCGCATATTTTACCATCAATAAAGATCTCTTGGAAGGATCTCAGGTGGCCAAATGGCGGAATATGACTGGAGGTCGTACGATCCTACTTCGCCCTGATCCTTCACCTACCGGTCGTACACGAGCACATATCATCACTGTCATCAAGAAGAGCGACAAGGCTAGAGCTGAGCGACTGCGGAATGCCGTACGGAAAGGCAACGAGAGCTTCATGCGATTGATGGAGGAATGGTACCGCGATGGAGACTGGTTGACGAAGGATGTGCTTCGAGGGATGCGAGAAAGTGACGACTTCTACTGCTCACCCTTCGCGCAAGTCCGCACCCCAAAGCTAGCTGACTCCAGAGTCGTCTTTATTGGCGACGCAGGATATTCATTACCCGGATTCGGTACAAGCTTGGCCATTATTGGTGCATATGTGCTTGCTGGTGAGCTATTATCACACTCGGGCAATATTCCACGCGCTTTGACGAGTTACGAAGAACAAATGCTTCGGTTCACTAAGCCAAAGTTGAAGGATGATGGTGCTATGCAGGTGTTCAATCCTCAGACGAAGTGGGGACTTGCTGTGCGAAATACGATCTTGAGGATTGTGACGAGGACAGGCATAGATCAGTTGGGGATGCGGGCGGCTGTCGCTGTGGGAATAGGAGATGCGCCGTTTCCATTGCACAAGTATCCTTGGCCAAACGAACAGGAGCGAGAGCGATGAGGTAGCAATACTCCTTCTATATGTCCTGATAATCTTGTTCGCTACAGCGTCTCAGACAGAGTAATAGTCTAGGTCCATGACTCCACAATGTACGCACGCAGAAGAATGATCCCAGCCACAAGAGGCAGAGCAGCACGTATGATGTGGTAAGCATTCCAAAGCTTCAACGAATTGTGGAATTGCAGCTGCTCCCTGTCTCTGAGCCAGCTCTCCTTCGGAGGCAAAGAATGCTTCATATCGACGATCGCTGCACTGAGTGGGGTTATAAGCACGCCCTCCCACCATCCAACCTGCAACAAGACGAAACAAGCCAGAGCAGAATTCCGCCAAGATAATGGCCCGGTTGCTACTTCAGCGTCGGAAGATTGCCATGATAGAGTTGCTGCTCCTGCAAGTACGAGTGCGCAGATGATACTTGCGGGCTGGAGGGTGACACCGCCGCGAGAGACGAGCTTTTCGAATTGATCGAGGGCCGAGCGAGAAGGGTTCGATGGAAGTCGAATCAGTGGGAGCACAAAGATAGAGAAGCCCCACGCGATGCCTGGAGGTTAAATGAATATGTGTTAGACAAGAAGTATTGATTGAAAACAGTGGCATTGTTGCCGAAACGCGAACCTGATATCAATAGCAATGCAGTGATGGCTGAGACTTGTAGGATATGGATGGCATCCGTGGTGGCGACAAGTGAACTCATTGTCGCGGCTGTGTGGGAGGTTGGAATGGATCTACGAGCATCATTGCGGCGAGGTAGCTATTTGTTTGAGCTGAAGTGGCACCGGAAAATTGTTTTACAGCTTTCGCGGTATTGACGTTCTGGACATAGGGAGTGTTCGTCACCTCGGGCAATTTGATAGCAATCTTCCGCAAAGCCTTTTCAGCGCCTGGTAAGCCGGATGCCAACCCAAAAATCTCCCTTCTACATCTCTTATTGGGAATTCGTCTTAAGACCGGGTAGCCAGAATGAGCGTGACCGGAACGTAGCCCTGGATCGCATTCTGTGTTCCACAATACTCCTCCAACTCTTCCATCATCTCCTGCAGTTCCGACGTTTCGGGAGCAAGAAATGGAAACGATGCGACATGCTCCATCAAACCGCTGAAGTTCGTCGTGAAACGCCATTCAATGTCGTCCTCGTGGATCAGCTGGTCATCTTCTCCCGTGTAATCTGGCTCCGAGTGCAGATTTGCTGTTTCTGGAGGTAACATGCCCACAATGCCACCCTTGCTCATATTTAAGTGGATGCGCTGCGAGCCCTTGTCAAACAAAGTAGGATCCAATGGCGCTACGTTGTAATGGTCCTGTGTGCGTGACATGATGCCAATGGTCTCCTCAACCCGATCGGATTTCGACAGCAGCGTTCTTCCGCCTTCGTAATTCATGCGCTGCCACAAAGATTGGATCCTTGGATCCTCAAAACGAGCGGGTCCGAATAAGGCAGCCGCGAAAGTTCCTCCTGGTCTGAGTTGATGTGCAATGGCCTTCATCGCAAGTTCTTGATCTGGAAAATGCATGACATTGGCAGCGAATACCAGATCCATCTTGCCCTCTCGGAGATCGCTGGCGTCTTCGAGTTTGGCGGTGCGGTAGCTGTACCCATTGTCTCCAAGGCGAGCTCGGGCAAGTTCGACATTGGAGGTTGCTATGTCAGATACGAGGACATGGTCGAAGCGTGACTTGAGCTGATGCGAAAAGGGCCCATTGCCAGCGCCAACATCGTGAACGTGATTGAAGTGGCCATTCTTTGCCTCGTGGTAATCGAATATGCGCGCAAAGAACGAATCCGGTGGACTTGGTCGACCACGCAAATAGTTGTCCCAAAAGCCTTCGTCGAGGTTGAAAATGTCTTGATTGACTTGGCCGTGCATGATGCTGGAATGCGCTGAAACTTGTTGAGATACTAGGAACTGTGATATTTCGTTGGGACTGACTTCGTGTTGTTTGTCGGTCGATTTAGTCGGCCCTCGCAGGATCGGTCGAATGTGCCGACCTTTGGTCGGGACGCGGATGTTGTCAAAGATCACGGCTTTTCGGACCCGCAACATTCTCCCGCGCAGTGTATAAGTCAATCGATTGCAAGAAATTTTGACTGTCCTCACGAGGTTGCCATTCATAGATATCATCTCGCAGAAACTGCCATACAAAAGTTGATCAGCAAAAATGACAATCCTTGCCACTTCCAGACTGCACATCGAAGGCGACTTTCACGGATATGGATCTCTTGACAAAAGTCCTCCCGGAGCACTTGAGACGCTGAATCGATTGATCCAGAATAATCACGATGAGTTCGACATGTTCTGGAGGCCAGACGCTGGCCACAACCATACTGCACACTCCCTGCTGAGCGTGTACGCACTTGGCGGTAGCTCCGCTGACCTAGAACGAGCATATCGGGACGATGACCCGCACCAAGTACCGATTGGCGCAGTGGACCACTCTGTTGTCGCATCTCTCAAAGACCCTCGGATATTCATACACCGTATGCAACGGCTAGATCAATACTCTAATTATTTGCGCTTCTTTGAAGAGAGAATCGAAGCCAGAGGCTGGAAGGCTGTAGTCGTGGAATATCTCTTCAGTCGCTCTGACGTGGCGGAAGCAATGCTGGGTCAGCTATTCGAAGGCGCTTATCATCCACTCATTCAATTGGGGTTCGGAATCGAATTCGAGTTACCTGGACTTGTGGCCGAAGGGCTCGCCCACTGTGCCGCACACGATGCCGCGAACATTATTCCGTTCTTCCAGAAGGCAGAGAAACTGGCAAAATCAGGATCAGTCGCACCCGCGCCGCTTGTTGAGCTCTATAAGGAGGTGCGCGATACCGAAAAAATTCGACTGGCAGCAAAGATGACGCAAGGACCTGTCCGTGTTCGTGACGGTGTGATGGGCGAAGCGCAAGACGACATCGCGGCAGTAGCAGCCAAGTTCCAAGTTGGCCCTGATGGACTGAAACAAGCAATCATTGAGACGACGAGTTGCGCAGCCTACAGCTGTGGTGGTGCTCAGAGGCCTGGAAAGGTCGCCAAGGTGGACTTCTTCTTCATGCATATGGTGACGAGCTCCATCTTTTTGAGTATTCTTGCGCGACAAGACTGGCTTGAGACGGAAGATAAGATCAGACTTGTGGAATGGAAAGGCCGCCTAGACTTGGTGTGGTATGCCGCAAGTTCAGCTCCAGCGTTGGACAGGAAGTGGCTTGAACAGTACCAGCCTACTTTGAGCGCGGGCATGGACTGGCGAGCTCTGTATCGTGCAGTCACCGTAGAGCCTGATGACGGCCATCTGGCCAAGATTGTCCGGTCCTTGAAATGGGCTGAGGAGGAGGCAAAGGGCGTGGAGACCTCAGAAACGATCCCTGTTGCGGGATCTGGATGGTTCAAATTGGCACAGATGGCTTACGACTCGACCGCCCATCTTCCGATTCCCGCCAAATGGATCATGGGCGCTGGTTACGATTTCTTGTGGACGCGAGTCGACTCATTGCCAGCATATTAGCTAAGGGCAGATGGAATTTGTGAGAAATGGGTTTCCAAGATGAAGTTTGATGAACATGACGAAGCGACAGAAGATGGCATGGAGGTATGTTTGGAAGTGAGTCGGGCGACCATCCAAAGCTGACTAAGACGTCAATATTTGAATGAGCCTTTGAGTGACACCGTGAATTTGTCATTCTCCTTTCCGCCAAGCAAATGAATGGTTAGGACATACACCTCACTTCACGTCCTCTTTTGCGTTCGTTTCTCCATCGCGCTTCTTCACCTGCCATTCATCGACCTCGCTGCACGCTCCCTGAGCGAATCTGTACCGACAGACACCAGGATGATATGGCAAACAGATCGTTTGAACGCCGTCCTGTTCTGCCGACGTCGTCTCTTCAGTATCTGTCGGCCGCGTCATGATTCGAGCAGAATCATCGGTATGCAGACGCTGCCATCTCGATCGCTTGCTCAGTGCAACATATCGCTAGCACGTCCTGACCTATGAGATGTGTTCGATCTCTGTCCTGCTCGGACCATTGCGGTGTAGATCCATCGCATCTCGGGTCATTTGGGCCGCCCGAATGTGTTCTCGGGCCAGCCGAGCCTGAATAGGAAGTATCAAAAGGACAACCACGTCCTTCTTCGTTCTGTTGGACGACGTCAATACCCTCACGAGTCAGTATCGTAACTTCTGGATCAGGCCCAAGTCGAGACTTCCTGCCATGTTCGAACACCGGAACGAGAGCCGCGATGCTTCGGAGGAAAAGCAGAAGGGCGATGGTGATGAGCTCCCAGTCACGCCGTCTGACAGTTCGTCAGAGACGCCCGAACGCGATCAAGAACAAACGGAAGAAGATGACCAACATGTGTACCCCAGTGGTGTTCAGGTCTTCATCGTTGTCGGTGCTCTCGCGCTCACTGGTTTCCTTACTGCTCTCGACAGAACCATCCTGTCCACGGCAATACCGAAGATCACGGACGAGTTCAACGCATTGGTAAGCACTACGAGATATGAAATATCCCAAGCAATCAGCTGACCCAATTCGCACTCTTAGGGAGACACTGGTTGGTTCAGCGCGGCCTATCTCCTCACATCTTGTGTTTTGATTCTCTTCTTCGGTCGAATCTACACTTTCTACAGTCCGAAGATTGTCTTCATCGTGTCACTCCTGATCTTCGAGATCGGATCTGCCATTTGTGGCGCCTCACAAAACTCTGCCACCTTCATCATTGGACGTGCCATTTCCGGAATTGGCAGCGCGGGCGTCACAGATGGCAATATCGTTCTCCTCCAGTACACTGTGCCTTTACGCCAGCGACCTGCATGCAATGCGGCATTTGGCATGACATTCGGTGTCGCAAGTATCCTCGGACCGTTTCTCGGCGGTGTCTTCACCAGCAATGTGTCATGGCGCTGGTGTTTCTACAGTACGTCTTCACGCTTACCAAATTGGTTCTTCGCTGACCATCAATTTCTGCTTAGTCAATCTGCCCATTGGCGGAGCGGCACTAGCTGCCATATTTTTCCTGGTCAAACCGACTCCGATCAAATCAAAAGAGACTTCGCTGCGCCGTCAAGCTCTTCTTCTGGATCCAGCGGGCACTGTGTTCAGTGTCGCGTCACTCACATGCCTGATCATCGCCTTTCAGTGGGGTGGAACCACCTACTCCTGGTCAGATGCTCGTATCGTCGCTCTGCTCGTCGTCTTCGGTGTGCTTTGGATCGCCTTCGTCCTGGTGCAGGTGTTCTTCCAAGAGACCTCCTCTGTCCCGGCCCGGATAATTAAAAATCGCGATGTATTGGCCGCCATCTGGTTTGCTTTCAGTCACGGTTCTGGCCTATTCACGATGATATTATACATCCCGATGTATTTCCAGGTTATCAAGGACGCCAGCGCCATCAAATCCGGTATAATGACTTTCCCTATGGTTATAGCGCTTGTCATCGGCATCATCTCTGGAGGTGTCCTTACCGGTCAAATTGGCTACTATGTTCCTTTCGCGTACATCTGCTGTGTATTGACCTCGATTGGCTGTGGCTTGATCGGGACATGGGATCCGGACACTGCCCACCCAGCATGGATCGGCTACCAGGTGTTGATCGGCTTGGGATACGGATGGGGCTTCCAGGTTGGGATCATAGCGCCACAAGCAGCATTACCCCGGGACGATGTAGCCACCGGCACGGCTTTGGCACAATTTGCGAGACTCCTGGGTGGTACAATCTTCACCACCCTGGGGCAAAACCTCCTCACGACACATCTTGCTTCTCGTCTGCCAGCTTTGATTCCTGGCTTGACTCGGCAACAAGTAAGTGATTTGGGCGCGACTGAACTTCGGACGTTGGTCTCACCAAGCGACCTACCGGAGGCGCTATCGATCTACAACGATGGGCTGCGGTTGCCATTCTATGCTTCAGCTGGCATATCAGCTTCCATGATCTTTGCTACTGTGGCATTCAGGTGGCTCAGCGTCAAGGATCCGGAAAGACAGGGCGGCGTGACAGAAAAGGAGAAGAAAGCACGAGAAGAGTCGAAGCAAGAAGCTGCATAGAATTGATGCCTTCATACCTATTCTTCGGTGACATGCATTATATCAGGAAATATCATGATGTGGAGATGACAGACAGATTCGTCGATTCATGGCCAGTGGAACACTTTCTTATTCACGCTTTGGCCCTACGCTAGACTATAGATCATGGAAACGACCTGTATAACATTTCCCTACATTCCCCTCTCGAGAATCCAAGCCTTCCCGACATAGAAATCGCCCAAGACCTGCTTCCTTGCTCGCGCCTTTGCGATGTCACATGCATGACCGATAAAGCAGACCTTGTCCTGGAGACAAGAATCGCCCGCAGCCCAACGGAGACTGTCCTGCTCGGAACAAATTAGGAAGCTGTAGGACCGAGAAGCTCCCATCACCGCAACTAATGTTCCGAAGCACTTCGTCATGAACACACTTCACGTCAGATCTCAGAGACGTAATCGCATCATCGACATCGTCAAGATCCTGAGCATCATGTCTATATTCGAGAGTCTACCTCGGCCGACCAGAACATTTCACAATACCAGCTATGAACGGCTTACACAAGAGCATGGCTTCGATGGCGCAGGGAAAACTATTCTCGTCGTTGGTGGTACTGGCAACGTGGGATCCAGCATTTGCAGGGCCTTTGCTGCCACTGGTGTGTCTCGAATCGCCGTCGTTTCACGGACCCTCAAATCTCAAGTTGCAGCTAAGGAGGAGCTCGAACAACTTCATCCTGGAACACAAGTCCTCACATTCGTCGGGTCCATCACCGATCGGAGTCGTATGAACGAAATACTGGCCGAGTTGCACCACGAAATCGATATCCTCGTGCTCTGTGCGGCTATCGCTCATCCTGCTGTGCCGGCCTTGGGACTTTCTGAATTTGATCTGCGGGAAGCTTATGAGACGAACTGCTTCGCGCCCTTTGATCTTGTAAAATCTTTCTTGTCTTCGAAGCCGAACACGCCTGCAAGATCTCGCACAATCATCAGCGTCTCCTCTGCAAGCCTTCAAGTCAGCCATACTCGACGCAGTGGTTATGCTTCAAGTAAAGCTGCCTTTGCTCAGTTGCTCCAACACTTTGCGTCTGAGAACGCATCATCTGAATCTGATAGGAAGATAAAGATACACTCTTTCCATCCTGGTGCATTTTATTCACCTGCTGTCGCGAATCACTTTCCTCCGGATACAGTGTGGGATGACCTCACGTTGGCGGGAGATTTTGCAGTCTGGCTGGCAGGCTCACAGAGCGATTTATTGAATGGGCGTTTTGTTTGGGCAAATTGGGACATTGAGGAGATGATGGCACTGAAGGAAAGGCTGTCGAGCGATCGAAGCTTTTTGACTGTTGGGCTGTGTCTGTAGGCCGAAAAGCGTGAGATATCTTTCATGGAGATATGAGTGGTATGAAAGTTCGCGATTCGGGCTGCGTAGACATGGCTGGTTCTAGTTCGTAGCTAACAGAATCATGCCACAGGCCATATCTGACGCAAGAGAATTGCTTCGATGCTTCTCCATGACCACCATCGACTTCCACAGCGTCGTCATTTGTAGATACGATCTCGGCCCATTGAACATTCCTTTTCGTTGGCAATTAGTTTGTCCGCAAAGGCCAGGCAAATGCGAATGAAATTATGAATGGTAAGCCAAGAGTGATCGATTCCCAGAGTCAAGTACTATGCAATATCTACCCGAAGATCTTCTCATAATTGAATTCATACCACCGCAGGTCAGGGCCCACGCCAGCCAACTTCCAAACTCCGCCGACTTTCTTGTACCGCGTGAAGGCCCATCCGTGGACATGACCCTTGTGTTCGACCTCCTTGCATTCATCATCCTTGTATCTCGCATGTGCCACGCGCATCTGATGATGAGCTTCAATGTCTTCCTCGGCGGTCTGCTTCCACTTGATGCAACCACCAACAAAGTGCTGGGTCTGAATGCGTGGGTTGCCAAGAAACCCAGGACTGGAACTAAAGTCGATGAACTCTTGCTTGGGCATGGCCTCCCAGATCGCAGCCGGACCCATGTGATCTGGGCCCATAACTTCGCGATAGTCGACCTGATATTGCCATTAGTAAACAAGGCTTGAGCATACTAACATAGGACTTACATAAAGCGTTGGGGCGAGACATTCGTCTAGCCGTTTCCAATTCTTGCTATCAAAGCTTTCAGCCCATTCAAATAAAGCTTCCTGACACCCCAAGACGTCTATCGACTGTATCAGCATACTTTTGTTGCCGCTCTATTCGAATTGAGCATTCGTACCATTGTAGCTGGGGTACGCTGGGAGTTCTGCTGTGGCCATTTTTGCGAGGACGATGGGATTGAAGGGTTATTTTCTCACTGAAGTTGACAGACGAGGGACAGCAGGACAAATCGAATCAAGCAATGTCTCCCATATGAATTCAGCTTTGCTATGCGTCGGGTTGAGGACGGAGAATAAGCCCGATACCGAGCGTGAGCCAAATATCCCGACATAAGTTCTCCGAACGGTAACAAGATAAATCCGTGCGCAATAAGCCGTAAATGATAAATCCGACTATGAGAATATATGGCAATGATGAAGATGAAAGAATTGCTCCGTCACCCATCTTCTGTCCACTATCGAATCACCAACCTCAAGCTTGAACCTCCTCAATCGCCAAAATGTCGCCCCCAACACAAGACTTGCACATTCCGGGCCGCCTCGATGGCAAAGTAGCACTTGTCACTGGGTCCGGACGAGGGATCGGTGCTGCAGTGGCAGTCCATCTAGGCCTCCTGGGTGCCAAAGTCGTTGTCAACTACGCCAATTCTCCTACACACGCACAAAAAGTCGTAGACGAGATTAAGCAACTGGGATCCGATGCCATCGCAATCAAGGCTGATGTTCGACAAGTTCCCGAAATTGTCCGCCTCTTCGATGAGGCAGTCGCACATTTCGGTCAGCTGGACATCGCGGTCAGCAACTCGGGCGTCGTCAGCTTCGGCCACCTGAAGGACGTTACGGAGGAGGAATTCGATCGTGTATTCAGTCTCAACACTCGTGGCCAATTCTTCGTGGCTCGCGAAGCTTACAAGCATTTGAACAACGGGGGCCGAATAATCATGACATCGTCCAACACTTCCAGGGACTTCAGTGTACCCAAGCACTCGCTGTATTCCGGGTCCAAGGGTGCTATCGACAGCTTCGTTCGGATCTTCTCCAAGGACTGCGGGGACAAGAAGATTACAGTTAATGCTGTGGCTCCTGGAGGAACGGTGACCGATATGTTCCACGACGTCTCACAGCACTACATTCCCAACGGAGAAACATATACACCAGAAGAACGCCAGAAGATGGCGGCACATGCGTCACCTCTTCATCGTAACGGATTCCCTGAGGATATCGCGCGTGTTGTCGGCTTCCTTGTCAGTGCAGAGGGAGAGTGGATCAACGGGAAGGT